AGTTGCTCCAGTTGCTCCAGTTGTTCCAGTTGCAGCATTCAATCCAGTTGCAGCATTTGGGCCGGTTGTAACATTTGGATCGGTCGCATTCGTGTATCGCGCCGCCTGGTTCGTGTATGCTTCCTTCGTAGCCAACCACTGTTTCTCAACAGCCTCCCACCTGACTTTCGCAACCAGTGCATGTCTGCTTGCCATTCTTGCTTTTTGTCTTGCTTCCTCAGCGGCGTGATTATCTGCTCTTTCCTGTTGTACCACGGACATTATGCCCGTACCAAAGGGGTTGGCCATAGCAGATAGTCTGTAAGTGAGGCTTGATAAAACGGCGCTCGTCTGTCAATTATGAGAAGTTTCGCTGCAATTTTCCCTGTTACTTGACGCGAATGAAAAAGCACCAGATACTGAAAGATTAGACAAACAGTCGCAAGGGGTGTTCACATCAGATTCGAGATATAGACTCCCCCCCCCTGGGGAACAACTGAGGGGTATCAACAAAATCTACAAAGGCGACGGTTGTCATATTGACAAAGGCGATGATCAATAAAGGTTGACGATATCTGAAAGCAGCACAAGGCAGACAGACGAACAAGACCGATGCAGCAGAGCACTTTCTAATAAAGAAAAGTCCACACTAAGAAACAAGAATTTACCTCGAAGGTACACGTGTAAAACAATTGCTCCTGTCTGCAACTGACATATGATACGTAATCGGCTCGTAAAGAACTGGCCACGAGACCTCCCTGCGCCCTCAGCGCGGGTTTCTAAAGTTCGGTTGGCAGGCGATGGAATGCCAATGATTTGCCGTGGCTCCGAGAAGCAAAACGCAGACGGAGAGCTTTGCGATTGGGATTATGAGCTTGTTTAATTAAGGAAAGTAAACGGAATTAGCCTTATAAAATACCATCTTCCGATACGGTTGGGTGGACGGCGATTGAAGGAGCGCATGAGCCAAAACTTTGATATGTGCATGCGAGCATCTGAGCCGGGCGGTAAAATTCCACCTCCACCGAATAGGGGCAATTAAGACACTTCAATAACAGTACCACGAGATTAGAGATAGAATAAAAGCAGATAGGCAATACAATACATTATTATCTCTTAAGAGGGTTGTTTGTTGGTAATTAGCCCTTGAAAGTGCTCGGATGCCCGTTCGTCTTTCCATACTTCCGCACTTTCCCGTTAATATCTGCAGATATGAAATAAGACACCAAGGCCACGATACAAACGAGTATGTTATCTATGACCCAGTTATTTCTCACTGAGCTGCCCCATGCCGAAGCTCTCATTATGGACCCAAGTAAGTTCGTCGTGATCAGGTACTCTCCGCTCTCCAGCCCTGAAATAGCAGCTGCGGCCACCGCATCCGGAGACTGCAATGGGTCTGGTTCTTCGAGAATCTTGGTAATTGCCGGCTTCCCAATGTTCTCATGAGCAAAGCCTGGCGTGTCGATCGATCCCGGGAATACGGTGTGAACTTTAACTGAGTCGCTGTAAAGCAGAATCTCCTGAGATAGCGTATCACTTAACGAGCGCATCGCAGCTTTGCATGGAGAATATGCCGAGTATCCCACAATGGGGTAGAACGCGAGAGTTGTGGCCGTAAATATGAAATGTCTTTGTCTCTCGCTCCTCGCTTCACCTGGTGCCAGCCACTCCTTCAGTATTGCCTGCGCCATTTCTGCACTTGCCCAGTAGTTGATATCCATCTGGTTCCTGAGCACCTTGCTGGGCGCATCTAGGAATAGCTGAGGTTCCGAGCTGCCAGCCATGCACCATACAACGTCGGGCGAGACACCACTGTTCCAAGCCATCACATCAGTGACGATGCGGGACGCTTCAGAGGCGTCTGTAAGATCGGCAGATATGTAGTGGAAGGTCTGGGTCGCAGAGGCTGCAGAAGCTTTGATTTCACTCAATGCTGCTTCCAGCTTGCCAACGTTGCGGGCGACGATAACCACGTTGGCACCTTTCCCCGAGAGAATTTTCGCCACCGAGAGACCCATTCCTTGTGATGCTCCGGTCAAGAGCACTGTCTAGGGATCATCAGCTATGAAGGCCATGGGGAGACTTTGGGGATGAGTATTGTACCTTCCCAGCCACATCAAAGTGGTTCTTGCGGCTAAGCCAACCCATTATGAACGCGCCGAGGCCAATGGCAAATATCAGAGAGGTCACAGTCTTCCAGGAGATCGCGGAGACGATATCGAGGCTCATTTGGGATTGTTGTGTGTTGTGAGAAGGATGGCGATCAGGAGGGGGCCCGTCAGCTCAGTAAATTAATGTCAGCTTGGTGGTTTTGAAATTGGAAACTTTTTAGGATCTAATTGCTCGAAGCTTAGTCTTCCAACTTCTAAAATATTGTAACTTGGCTTCAAGATACAGTAGCCATACCTTTCCATATATAATATATACGGCAGTTACTACAGGAATTCGCAAGAAATCCCCTTCAAGTCCAAAATGGAAGTCGCGACTGGCCGAGAGCCTCCTTGGCGGTACCTGGGTGTACTGATGCGGAATTACTTTTCGCCGCTATCTGGCACTAAGATAGTGGTATCGAAAAAGTTCGAGATCTCATCCACGACTGCGCTCAGTGAACGCCACTTTTCTAATTCTAACTGGACGTCACAAATACAAAATGGCAAAGAAAAGAAAGGGTTCAGGCCGAGCCGCTCCAAGCGGCCCGAAAGAATTTGACGAAAAAGATGGGAATCTTGGACCAATTACATCCTATAGGGACGTTGCCGACGAGGAAGATGACTTTCATATTAATAGAGACAAGGTGATGCTTGATGAGGGACCAGAGGCCAAAAGGCAGCGCAAATGGGCAGAGCAAGGTATGTTTAATGCGATTGTCTCCGTCGCCCCTGCGCCTACTAACAATAAACAGACGCATTCCTCGAGCCTTCCGATGAGGAAGTTCTTGGATACTCCGATGCTAGTTCCGAAGACGACGAGGCGGCAGGGAGCCGATTGAGCAAAAGCAAGTCGAATCGCAAGGCAACTTCGGATTCGGAAGGATCAGAGGCAGAGGAGGAGGACGAAGACGCTGAGGGTTGGGGATCATCGAAAAAAGACTACTACAATGCGGATAATATCGAGACGGAGGTGGACGCCTTAGAAGAGGAGGCTGAAGCAAAGCGTTTACAGCAAAAGAAGTTGCAGAGCATGTCCGAGGCAGATTTTGGGTTTGATGAAAACGAGTGGCTGCAAGAAGCAAAGGATGACGACGGAGACGTAGTCACAGAGATTCTAAAGGACGTGGAAATCACGGACGACTTGGGACCAGAGGAGCGACTGAAGCTGCTCCAGACGAGATACCCCGAATTCGAGTTTCTGGCAAATGAGTTCGTGGAATTACATCCGGTCCTGGAGGATCTCAACAACGAAATCAGCGCCACAGGGCCCAGGAATACTGTCGCGGTTATTAAGAGCCGTGCCTTGGCTGCTTATCTTGGAGCGCTGACAATGTACTTTGCCGTCCTCACTTCTACAGCAAAGGAAGAGAACGCCAAGTCAGCTCTTGACCCAATGGAACTCCGAGACCATGCGGTTATGGATAGTCTTCTACTGTGCCGCGAGATGTGGTCCAAAACAAAGACCCTTCAAGCAGAGGATATGCCATTTGGCGGCCTTGACGAAGATGAGATACTATCCGACGAAGCCACACCCGAAACCGACGAGGATGAGGCCTTTGAACGTATTCCATCAACCAAGAAGTCCAAAAAGGCTGCCAAGCTTGAAGCTGCTGCTGCTGCAACAGCTAAAGCGCGCAAGGCCCGAATCGACGCCAACGAAGCTTCTTTGACCGACCTCTCCTCCCTCATCCCCACCACCAAAACACGCAAATCCTCAAGCTCCAAGGCCAAGCCAGCTATCGTGCAAGACTCCGACTCCGACTTTGGAGAAGAAGAAACTCTCTCCTCGCGCGCCCTTGCTGAGAAGGCCGCCAAGAAGAAATCTCTCCGCTTCTACACCTCTCAAATCGCACAGAGGTCGAATAAGCGCAACGAGGCTGGTCGTGACGCGGGTGGTGATGCTGATCTACCGTACCGTGAGCGCCTGCGCGATAGGCAGAACAGGCTGAATGCTGAAGCTGAACGCCGTGGCAAGAAATTAGACGAGTATGGCCGAGGCGCTGAGCTTGGTGGAAATAGTGACGAAGAAGATGATGCGGATAGAGCCGCTGGCAAGAAGGTCCAAGACGAAGAAGATGAGTACTACGATCTCGTGGCACAAACGTCGAAGGCAAAGAAGGCTATGAAGGAAGATAAGCACGCAGCCCTTGTTGCTGCAGAGGCTGAGAATTCCTTGGCCAGAGTTGAGGGCGAGGATGTTGGTGAGGATGGCAAGCGTGCCATAGGATATGTGATTTCCAAAAACCGTGGACTCGCGCCGAAGAGGAAGAAGGAAGTCCGCAACCCCAGAGTTAAGAAGAGGATGAAGTATGAGGAGAAGATGAAGAAGTTGGGCAGCATGAAGGCCATTTATAAGGGCGGCGAGGAGCGCGGTGGTTACTCGGGTGAGAAGACTGGTATTAAGGCCGGGGTGGTTAAGAGTGTCAAGTTGTAGATATGGAGTCTTGAAAATGAAATCAAATTTGTTACAGACATGTACGTTCCATAGACCCCGGGCAAGCTACGGCATAGATATAATTTAACAAAAGTCACGGATCCCTTACGTGGTCACGATAATGTAGCTTGATGTGTTTGTAATGGCATATATTCATAGACCATCGTCCCTTTCCGCATCATGCAGAAGTCTGGTGGCTAGAACTGCTCTGGCTCGAGTAACACAAAAACGCCCGCTAATAGCATAAGCCCCGATGTGCAAGTGATACTCATTACAGTTATGTTTCCCGCACCGGGTCAGCTCAATTTCTTGAAGCTCAAGTACCCCAGTGGGTGTTTCCAGGTTTCGGTAAAAAAAAAACGAAACACTGTTTTCGATTCCGCTGTCGACGTCGCGCTTCCTTGTTCTGGGATCGACCCAGACGACCAGTTGTGGCCGGTTTCCAAATTGGAAGGCATCGCCGAAAGTCCACATGCTGACTGAGGCATGGGCAGATAGATCCCAAATGGGCCAGTTCTGCTTTCTTTCTCCATTTCATACAACGGTGGTGCCACGATCATGCACCAACCATCCCTGGGCCGTAGCTGCCATGGCGAGATGGGCCGTACTGTTGTTGGTTAAGCGCAGACTATCATATCGTTAGTTTTGTAGTAGAAATCAAGGTGACTCCCACTACCAACCTTCTTTCTTCTCTTTCCGGGGCCGCCCCGGTCATCGCCCTCGCCGGTTGAGTACCCAGCATCAACCATATCGTCATCAACATAGCCTTCCCCATAGCCCTCAAAGCTCGACTCATCATAGCCACGCTTCTTCACGGCTCTCTTGGGACGAGCAAGATCTGCCTTACTGCCGCGGGACATTGCTCCGGACTGTTGGCTTGCGCTCTTCTGCATACCGGCAGAGGTAGGCTTTGATGGGACTTGAGCGGCAGCCTTTTTCTCTGGAATATCCAACTCGCCTAGAACAGAGCTATCCCACATCTGCTTTGGTATCACACCTTTAGCCATCGTCATTGCCGCAGGCAGAGCCGCAAAGACATTCTGGGGCAACCCCTTCTCAATCTCTTTGCCAAGACGTTGAGTTACCATCCACTCATGTTCAGGTTCTCTCATCATAGACAGAAGGCCGCCTGAAGACTCTTCGTCGTTGACTGTGACGTCAAACTTCCCACTGATCCCCAAGTCCTTGATCTTGCCCTTGTATGTCTTGCGTAGTCCATTCTTCTCGCCACTTGGTAGAACTCGTGCCACTTTTGCCGCGGTTGGGTTGAGGCCGTATAGTTCGAATAGATCTAGTCCTAAATCCGGTTGCTTGTATGGATGAGCTAAATCAAGTCTGTGTTAACCAAATACTGAGGTAGATGATGCGCAGAACTTGAGATTCACAATGCCCGCACAAGGCGAACACCGAAACCTTTTGGGAGAGAAGGGAGCCTTACGAGTTCTGCAAAGTTGGTATATCTTGCCAACATCAAGGTGAAGGTCCTCAATACACAGCTTGCGTTCCTCGACATGAGCCTTCTTCTGCTCGCGATCACCAGTATCCTCCGATTCACGCTTGCGTTTGTTCGAAAGGTCATCAGCCTGGATGCTCGAATCGATCGACATCGGCGTCGCGCTATCGTGCGAGTCTGCCATAGTTGGCCCTTGGACTGTCCTAGAAATGGTTGAACTCATGTTGCCCGATACCCTGGTGTTTGGCACCTTCTCGCCCGAGGCCGTGTTTGGCTGGAGGGGGCTTTGTGGAGTCCGAGGTTGAAATGTCGCGGGCTGTGACCTTTTCACCTCGCTGTTCGGAGTAGGTGAGAGCGGGTACGATCTATTGGTAGCAGAATCTATTGGAGTCGACATCGATAAAACCTGTGAATGTGACGATGGTTACACGAAACAATGCGAATAACAGAAAATTGAGCCTGGCTCGCTACGTCAACCAAGACGAGCTGTCGTTTTCAAGAATAGTGCAGTTATAGGTGAAGAATCCGCCAGAGTGAATGTCAAGAGCTCGAGGATGAGGTGACCTCGGCGTTCAAGGAATCGATGGGTGCGATGACAGTGAAGATGTCTATCGGCGCGACCGGTCGCAATGAGGCGCTCGACCACCAACGGCGCCTTGAACAACAGGGACTCTATCGCATCAGTGAAGTCGCAATATGTCGATACAGGATGTATGCAAGGCGGTCACAACAGCGTATGGGCGTGACGGGTCGTGGTTGTCGTGGTGGTCGTCGTAGATGTGGTGGTTGACGGGTGAATTGGGGTCAAAGTGAACTGATCATCCATTTGTCGCCGGTGATTCTGGGCGGTGCCTCACTAACCCCAATACAGACTAGTGTATTGTCGGAATTATTTGTCTGCGACTTTCAGAATAATTTCTGCAGGGTCGATTATTTACTATCAGCGAGAATTACAATACAAAAAATAACCGCCCCCGCATTACAAATATCATGGGCGAAAGACAAAAGAGGCAGCGCCCTGAAGGGGAGGCCGAAGCTGCTTTTTTGCAATCCGACAATGAAGAAGTTTCTCCCAACAAGAAAGCACGCAAAGAAACGAATGCATCAGCAAGGAGATCTCTATTCGTCCGATCATTGCCTGCTACTGTTACCAGCGACGCTCTTACAAAACTGTTCTCGGAAAGCTACCCACTAAAGCACGCGACTGTGGTTCTTGACCCGGAGACAAAGCAATCGAAAGGCTATGGCTTTGTTACGTTTGCCGACGCAGAAGACGCGGAACGTGCGAAGGAGGAGTTCCACGGCAAGGCCTTTCAAGGACGGAAATTGAAAGTGGAGGTCGCAGAGCCCAGACATAGAGATGTGGACTCTGGCAAAGGAGCTGGAGGGAAGCGCACCAGCGTTATTTCGGCAGAAGCAGCTGCGGCCAAGACTAAGAGATCTGAGAAGATGCTCGAGGATCGCAAGCCTCCAAAGTTGATTATTCGAAACTTGCCTTGGAGCATTAAAGATCCAAAGGATTTAGAACTTCTGTTCCAGAAATTCGGAAAAGTCAAGCATGTAACACTCCCAAAAGTCAAGGATACTCAGGCTGGATTTGGATTTGTGGTGATGAGGGGCCGAAAAAACGCCGAAAAAGCACTGGAGGCTGTGAATGGGAACTTGATTGACGGCAGAATCCTTGCCGTCGATTGGGCTGTCGAGAAGGATGTCTGGGAAAAGGCCAAAACCGACGCTGGAGAAGAGCCAAAGCCCAAGAAGGCAGCTAAGAAGGCAAAGGCAGAGAAGCCAGCAAAGGAGGATGCTATGGATGTTGATAAGAAAGACGAAGATCCCAACGATGTCGACGCTGATGTTGCCAATTTTATGAAAAACTTTGGTGATGAATTGGAGTCTGAGCCCGAGGACGACGAGGATGAGGATGAGAATATGGATGATGCGGAGGACGAAGATGAGGACGAGGATGCCGACAACCTTGATGCAGAACTGGAGGAGCTGGAAGATGAATCTGAAGATGAGGAGGCTGCCGAGAAGGCGGCCGAAGCGGCTAGAAGAAAGGCCCAGTTCATTACTGATAACTCGTCGACACTCTTTGTTCGCAATCTTCCATTCACCGCTCGTGACCCTGAGTTGAAAGAGCATTTTATGCAATTCGGTGCCGTTCGATACGCCAGAGTGGTGATGGATCGCGCAACGGACAGACCTAAGGGCACCGGGTTCGTCTGCTTCTACAATGTTGAGGATGCCGACAACTGCGTCAAGAACGCCCCAAGATACCAGCCAACCGGAGCAAATGCTACCAAAAAGACCGATGCCAGCAATGTCAAGCATTCTATTCTCGAGAATGAGAGCGCAGACTCTTCCGGCACATACACCATCGATGGACGCGTACTCCAAGTTTCTCACGCCGTCGAGCGAGAGCAAGCTGTGAAGCTGACCGAACAGGGCATCAATAGCCGTGACAACAGGGACAAGGATAAGCGTCGTCTTTATCTTCTCTCGGAAGGTACCGTTGCCGCTGGTACTACTCTTTACAATGCACTATCTCCATCCGAAATCACCATGCGTGAGGACAGTGCCAAGCAGCGCAAGAAGCTCATCCAGGGCAACCCCTCGCTCCATCTTTCGTTAACTCGTCTCTCAATCCGCAACTTGCCGCGTTCTATCACATCTAAGGACCTCAAGGCCCTTGCCCGTGAAGGTGTCGTCGGTTTTGCCAAGGATGTGAAGTCAGGCCTCAGAGCCCAGCTGTCGAAGGAGGAGGAAGCCCGCGGTGGAGAACCCATGCGCGAGGCTGAGAAGCAGCGAAAGGCGAAAGGAAAGGGAATCGTCAAGCAGTCCAAGATTGTTTTCGAAGGTCGCGAGGGTGCCAAGGTGTCTGAAGAGAGTGGTGCAGGGCGCAGTCGCGGCTACGGATTCATCGAGTATGCGTCTCATCGCTGGGCTCTGATGGGCCTGCGCTGGCTTAACGGCCACGCCCTTGATGGCAACGGAGGAAAGAAGCAGAGACTGATTGTCGAGTTTGCGATTGAGAATGCTCAGGTTGTGGAGCGCAGAAAGGAGCGCGAGGAGAAGGCAAGAATTAGGAGTAAGGAGGTGCTTGAGGCGAGAGAGAAGGGAGAGCTGGAAGGCAAGAAGCCGGAGAAGAAAGCATTCACTAAGGATCAGCTGATGGCGAAAACACGTAAGGGAATGAAGGGTGGTAAGGAGAAGCCAGAGAAGAAGGGGAAGCCCAGGGAACCCGGAAAGGAGTGGAAGCAGAGGCCCGGAGCTTTCAATAAGGGCAAGCCGAGAGAAGAGAGGGGTGGAGGATCAGGCAGAGATGGTCCAAAGCCAACAAATGGAAAGGGGAAGTTTGCAGATAGAGTACCAAGGCAAGGTCCGGTTCCAGCTGGGAAGGACGCATCAAAATTCAAGCCAGGGTTTGCTGAGGGCGAGGAAGGGAGGTTGGCCAGAAGGGCTCAGATTATAGCTAAGAAGCGCTCGATGAGACGGGCGCGGAAGGCCTAGTGCGAGAGGCTTCGAGGGGAATTTTGTATGTAAATAGAAAATAATGGCGCTGGGATATCATCAATCAACAATTGGGATTTGACAGATACAATACAATCATCCGTGCTGCTGAAGTTTTGCTATTTTGCTTTCAACTTGATATAGTAAAATCTCCATGTAATAATTCTCTATATTAAAGTCCCTCTCTCATAAGTATCGAAACCACTGATTCCGTAAAACTCCCCACTTCATAGAAGCAATAAGAAACCCACTTATAAATTATCATGCCAAAGCAACTCTCACCGAAAAAGATCACGAACCCACTGTTTACCATTTCGCTGCCGATCTCCCAGGTGCAAACATGACAAACAACCCAAAATTTCCTGCTCGCTTAGACACGCGCTAGCGGCTCTGCGCCAGTATATAACCTCTCCTTCCCTCCCGAACCCTTTTCCTTTCTTCTTTATCATCTAGTAGGAGTTATAATTAATACTTATATACTTTTTATCACGGCTCCTCGCTTCGGCGCTTGCTGAGGGTTATTCAGTCCATGAATAGTCTTCCGTTCCCGGGAACCAAAATCAGATTCCAAGGTACCGTCTTTCCAAAACAGCCGCTCTCGACGCCTTTAGGTGGGGGAGTGACTGTGGGATGGTCTCTACATATCATTTTGAAAAGCATTGTTCTCTGAAGAAGACGAGCTGAGGGATTTGGTTGGCTGATGGCTTTTGCCAATGATGAGGGAATACACCGACCGATGCCCGGTCGGCAAGAAGATTCTTCAGATCGGACCCTTGAGGTCTCGTCTTAAGGATCATCTTGTATGGAGTGTGTGAAACAGTCCGACGTGACGATTCATACTTTTGGTTATTGTGTAGAGCAGCTCAACTTGTTCAGTGTGAACGTGCGGTCACCTAAGAGGGGCACGAGCTAGACAAGAAAACGGAGCGAAGATCGCATGCTGGTATCACCCCAAGGCGTTTGGTGAAGAACAAGATCCGACGACAAGAGTGTCTTGATTTGACACGGCGAACAGAGAGTCAATGCATCGACTTCGCATTCGACATAAACTTAATTTACTAAAGTGGCGTTTCGTAGACTTACTTTCAGTCCGATGTATTTAATAAGATTAGTCAGCAGAATTCGAAAGCTTGGGCGATCATATTGAGCTTATATCTACAACATTCCCACGACAACTGAGAGGATCGAACAGCTGGTCTACGCATTAGCAGCAAGTAACTACCCCATTTTCTTTATGCACAGAAATATGATTATATCTCGCAGTGTAGCTAACTCGTCATCTTTGGTAGGGTCTCTGAAATTCGGACGTCGCGAAACCTCATGGCGCAACAAAATCCCACTCAAATGATTCTCCTGACACAACAGCAACTCTACGGCGCAAAACCTTGCGAAACTCCCAACAGCAGGCGAGGTATGCTTATTTCACCATGGCAGCTTCTCTTGAGCTCGACAACGGGGAGCACATTACATATGAGTCGGCCCGCAAGAAAGATGCCAACATGATCAATGAAGCCACATACCCTGGAGCAAGGAGGCAGCTCTTTCAGAAGCTCCGGGATCAGCGTGTAGCGATCCAGGACATTGTTCGGCATCACCTGAGGCTGCGCGATGAAGACTCTTGTATTGTCGAAGATCAATGGATTCGTGGGAGCTTTAATGTGTGTATACCTGTGGAAGTAAGGTCGGCTGGCTTTAATCAGAGCCTGATCTTTCGCTGTCCTATGCCACACAAGCTTGCCGAAGCCAAATACCCTGCCACCGTTGACGAAAAGCTAAGCTCCGAGGTGGGAACCTACGTATGGATGCAAGAGCATTGCCCTGACATCCCTATTCCACGATTATACGGCTTTGGCTTCTCCGACAATCGACACGTAAGCCTTTTATATTACTTGCAAATTTCTTGCTAATATCGTCTACAGTTTATACACGAACAACAAATGCCTTTTTATGTCCGCTTTTGGCGTAAGCTTCAACGTTATTTCCGCAACTATTTTCGATACCCAACGTTATCTCAATATGTTTCCAGACCGACCTGCCCGCGTCTGCCCACTGCATATATGCTTCTTGAGCGTATCGGCCCTAACACGGGCGAAATACTTAGTGATGCATGGAATGAATATCGAAAGGAACCAGTCCGGAGGCAGAACCTCTTCCGAGATATGGCACGCTTGATGTTGTCTTTAGCTCGCATTCCCCAGCCTCGAATAGGCTCCTTCGAGTTTCACAACAACGGTACTATCACATTAACAAACCGACCACTGTCCTGTTCTGTCATCATATTAGAAAATAATGGTGCTCCAAGAACGATACCGAGAAATGAAACATACACTTCCACCGAGCCTTTTGTTGCAGATATGCTTACATTCCAGGACGACTTCTTTCTCGCCAATCCAAACGCTGTTTCAAGTATGGGAGACTGTCTCAGCCAGATGGCTGTTAAAGCAATGCTTCGGGCACTCTCGAATCATTATATACAGCGGGAAAGCCGTAATGGGCCATTCCATCTTCAGCTTACCGATTTTCATGCGAGCAACATCTTCGTTGACAAAGACTGGAACATTACATCTCTCATAGACCATGAGTGGGTTTGTGCGCTACCTGCTGGGATGCTTTCCGTGCCGTATTGGCTTACTGGGTGCGCTATCGATGACATAAGGGAGGAGAACCTCGGTGAGTTTGAAACCGTTCATCAAGAGTTTTTGGATATATTTGAAGAGGAGGAAGTCAAGATGGCGCCGACGAATCCGCCTGCAATGACGCGAATCATGCACGACAGCTGGAAATCTGGAGCAGTATGGTTCTGGCATTGTATTACGTCCGTGAATGCCGCGTGGTCTCTATTCGACGATCATATCAGTCCTAGATTTCTTGCGCTCTCTACAGATTCCGAAGAAGTACTTTCACAGTATTGGTGTGAGGGTTCTATGGTAGTTGCCAGGAGAAAGGTCGCCGAGCGGGAAGAATATGTACAACAGTTACAAGTTCTCTTTGACGAAAAGGCAGGCCTCTCTACAGATGGAGACATTCATAGCTAAGTCTATACTTCGGTAGAAATGCCGGCTCAAACAGATGTTGTTGGCCATTCAAACCTATGCCTTCTCCTTCCCATTCTCTCTTTCTCTGTCCTGCGGTTATTTTAACTCCTGCTCCTGCGCTGCATTTTGTTTCTCCTCTCTCGCCCTCTGCTTTCCTCTCTAAGTATCTTCAAACTTAAGGCCATGTTCTTTCTGTATAAAACCTCCCCGAATTTTAAGGAGGCCCGAATGGTCGCGATAAAGTTGGGCCGGGGGGGGGGGGGGGGGCGGGGGGGGGGGGGGGGGGGGCAGCGGAAGCGGTAGTCAGTGGCATGATTAGAACGATCGATAGGATGATCAACTGTGGTCGTCTTCTTGCTAAGGGGTCTTCTCAGGGAGGAATGGTTAAAGAAAATGATATATTAATAACAACTCCGTAGGCTTGCCTAGAAAATTCATGTGATTCTGAAACTATATATTCGTCTGTCGACGCAGGGACAGACGTTACGCTTTGAAATAGCATTGCACGCGCACCTAGGTCACAAATTGTTTGAAAATCTCGTTTTGTATGGCCAGCTTTTTGAATTTATATTACGCTAGAGCTACGAACCATAACTAGTATCTCAGTAAAGAGCGACTAGTATCACATCTAGTAGACGCGCTTTGGTGGGGACATGGAAGCCTTGATGGTCAAGCTTCCAACGTTCTGCCACCCCTTCTTGAGGAGAGAGACGAGGTAGTTGATGGACAACATGATGTTGGAGATCAGCTGGTCCTCAGTCATGCTGACGTTGCCGACAGCGACACCCATGCAGAGAACCTTCTTCAACTGGAACTTGATGGTGGACTTGACGTCGGTGATCTTGTCGGAGAGGGACTCGTTGTGGGAGACTGGGGTAGGGAACTTGCCAGCTGCATAATTTGTCAGAATTGAACGCGCATGTGGTGAGTGGAAAGTGGCTTACCCTTGGAGAGACCGGGACCCAAGAGACGGGGAATCTGCTTGATAAGAGCATCGGAAGCGATGAAGGCATCGTACTTGCGTGCGAGCTTCTTGATCAGCTTCTTGTTCTTGTTGAGCTTCTTCAAGTCATCAGCAGACATGGCGTCAACACCACCGTGCTTGGCACGATCGATATCGTGCTGGTCACCGAGAATGCTACAATCGTGTCAGCGCAAGTCCTTCCTTCATTCGTGCGTCGCAATATATTTGCGCTCGGGTCGAACATACCAGATGGCCATGTTTGGGCGGGGAACCTGGGGGAGCTTGATGGTTCCAGAGAAACGCTTATCACGTTGGGGATCGTAGTTCTTGAGGCCAATTTGCAACTCGACGGTCTCGAGGAAGTTGCGCTTCTTGGTCTCCAAGGAGTACTCAAGGAGCTCCTGGACGTGGGTTCGCACTCCGGCTGTGAGGGAAAGAAGTCAGCATCGCCATCGCTATCGCTATTGCTATCGCCATCTAGAGCGCTGCGGATTGATTTGGGAACATACCGACTGAGATCTTTGAGGCCATGATCGCAAGTCTTCCAATAGGGTTCTATTGGTGAGGATTTGTGCTGTGGTTAGTTGATCAGTTGAGGTTGATTTCGAAATTTCAATTGTGGGACAGCCCTCGCTTGAGGGCTTGGCGTTAAATTTTAGGTCACGTGGCGAACTTTTCCAACTGAATAATCTTACCCCACCATTTGACGCAACAGATCCCCACTGACATTATATGACAGTGTCCATGCCCAGCAATGTCGCTGCAATACGTCAAAAGCGATATCAAAATTTATATCAATCAAAGCATAAGTTATTTTTCATTATTTCTGCATCAGTATTTTAGTAATTGAAGCCGTATATCCGCGAACAGTGCGTGATTCATTCAAACAACCGCCTCAAAGATTGGTAATTATATTATTTAACTGGAGGACAAAAAATAAATAATATTTAATACATTGTCCATCCAATCTCCTTTGCGTCTTATTTCTTTATTATTCGTGTTGTAGACTATTAAGTCAGGTCTCTCTGATCCATTTACTGTCCAGTTTACTCACTGTTGGCGGATGGCATGTTCACCAACGTTTACTATGGTATATGGTGATGGTTCTTGAGTTCACTTCCATTAGACCATTTCATATCAATAGCTTCATGCCCAAGCTCTGCCACTACCTCACACTCATTTGATATTCATCTATATTCACACCCTGTATCCCCTTTTCGTCAACACGTTTTGAAATCCACAATCACAAACCTCGCCGACCATGTCGCGCACATTGGAAGCCGGAGCTGCACAACCAAGGATCTCCTTCACCAACTGGATCCTGGGAGGACCCCTCGTCACTGTGCCCCCAAGGCAGAGAAAACCAGGCGAACGATTACCAAGCGGTGATGCCAACAAAGAACTCAATCCAAAATGCAATTTCATTGACAACTCCAAACTCAACGAGAAGAGATATTACCAGAACAGGCGGGTGTCAAAGGACAAAGTCACAGACACGAAGAAAGATGCTGAGAAGGGGAATAAGGAGAAAGAACGAAGGGCTGAGGCTCTAAAAAAGGCTGTGCCGAAAGATGAAATTGCGAAGAAGGAAGAGGTAGACCCCCGCCCCTTGTTATTATCACCTATTATCGCCAGATGCTGATAATCGCGAGTAGCAGAACAAGCAAGCACAACAATCATCAGGATGGACAAAAGCCCAAGACGACAAGATCCTTGCCATGAAGAAAGCAGGAAACAGCTGGAAGATGATTGCCCAGGAAGTCGGCGCATCAAAGAAAGACGTCACGATCCGGTTCAAAGAACTCAGTAAGGCAGGCGAAAAGAGCGGCTACAACGATGACCCCTTCCCCTTCGGTGATATGCCGGGGATGTTTAAGGAAGATGAGCCGACTGAGGACTCCAAATCCCCTGCTAAACTCCAGAAGAAAGGCAAAGGGGAGAAGGGAGGAGGGAAGGCGGATAATGGCGGCAAGGGAGAGAAGGGGGAGAAAGACAAGATCGTGGTTGACAAAGCTGCGCTGGAGGCAGAGAATGGAAAGAAAGTACTGGTACCTGACTCCATCTGGACTATTGGCGACCTCGAAGTGCTGGCAAATGTGGAGGAACGATACAGGGAACTCAAGTGGATGCATGTCCAGGCGGGCTTCTATAACATGACAGGGCGGATGGTGGGGAGCGAGGTTATAAAAGCTAAATTTGAACAAGGCTGACTGGCTGGGCTGGAGTTAGAGGCGTCGGACAATTATGATTTGCACATGGGGGCTGGTTGCTATTTGACCTTGGATGGGGTGGTGGGGAGGGGGAGGCGTTCGGGGGGTTGCAGGTGAAGGCGTTAGTTGGCTTTAAACGCTGGTTGAATGCCGGCGCGCTTATATCAGAAAAGAATGGTGCAATGGCTCGCTTCTATTATTGGTAATCATAGAGATCGGGTTCAACAGATAGCTCTTAGAGTTTCACTGTTTTGTTGCACCTTGCTGCTGCTACTGACCAACCAGAAGATGCACACAGCTCCCTGGACTTCTAGACGGCATGGGGAATCATAAACAAGCTACAATCCGATAATAAACTTTATCCTTAATAACTCGATCCTGTATCGCGATTATGGGTGTTTCAAGTTCTCCCAATCTCACTACTATTGAAGGGCTTTGATATTTGCTCACAGGCACAACATCCAAGACCACGAATGTAGACAAAAAAACGTCTAACACCACAGGATTTCCAAGCACTTTAGCCACGCATAATAATTTGAAAAAGACAGCCTCAGAGATGGACTATCTTTCCCCCGTCTGGCAGTTTTCCGGTACCCCTCGCGTCCCAAATAACGCCGCAACATGCAAGCCAAGACTCGCGAGTAAGACGACAGAAACATGACAACTCACACCCGCCGGCCGGCTCAAAACCCTACAGCAAGGATATCGAAGTCATCGAGAAACCTCATCTTTGCAGTGATCCCGGATTAGCAGCAATGGAGCCTCCACCACGCCCTCGCCAAATATCGTTGACAGGATTGTGGAGGCGCAAGATTGGCGCGGAGACAATGGGAGAAGCAGCGTTTCTAGCGTTGATACAGCCTTATGGTCGTTGAAACGACCGAATAAGAATCTAGGGGTTGGTGTTACTGCGATTCAACTGTGCTTTCAGCTTGGTAATGGTAGTGTTACTGCGATTTAGCTGTGCCTTTCAACTTAGCGATGCAAGGGTGATGGGCGGCGATGTCTAGTATAGGTTTGGATGTCGTGATAGCTTCGCTTTCGGCCTTTTACCTTGAGGCAAGGCAAGGGTGATGGGCGACGGTGTCTGGTATAGGTTTGGACATTGTGATAGCCTCGCTTTCGGCATTTGGCCTTGAGGCAAGGGTAAAATGATGTGATATTCGCTGGCAATGGCAGTGATAAAATGGGTATATACAGGCCCCCCATCTACCACGGTGAGTATCTCTCATCTCATCATCACCACAAACAATCAAAGCCAAACCAGCAAAATAAACTCAAGATCTATCCAACCAACTCACACTTTCCAAACCATCACCATGCACTTCACCCAAACCCTCACCCTCCTCCTCCTCCCCCTCCTCGCCATCACCTCCCCCACCCTCCTGGAAGCCGCCGACGACATCACCACCCTCGACACCCGCACCGGCATCAACCTAGGCGCCCTCAAAGTCCTCCAGCACCGCCTCTTCACCGCCCACAACCAAATCACCAACATAGACAACGACCTCGTCGGCCCCTCCAACAACGTCGCAAACCAGTTGCCGGGAGCTGCGGGAGCGAGTTTCAGAGCCGCGTTGGAGAGATATCACGCTGAGCAGGGGAGGGCGAATGCAGATTTGGTGAAGTTGGAGAAGGGGTTGGGGGCGTATGTTGAGGCGGCTAATCATCATGAGAGAACTGATAGGAAGTTCTGGGGCAGAGGGGCTGGTGGGGAGGAATGAGGGGAGTGCAAGATGAAGCATCTTGATGAGGAACTTTGGATAAAAGACGCCAATGTATTGTGAAAATGCATTGGTGGAAACAAATAGATTTAAAATTGAAAGTGTTCTAGATCGATTCTTCTTGCCAGTTCTGTGCAGTTCATATGTTGTGTGTGGAAGGAGATGGAGTGGGATAACATTGCTGTGAACAACAAACACAAGGGAATCCAAAGAGAATATAGCTTCAAATGATGAGAACGAATGCCCTTTGGAACATCTCGTCATGTAGTTCCATACCAAGAACACCAACGAAGTCCGCACGCCACTTGACAAAGTCACCTGTCCCCCTTTCTCGCCTCGGCCCCTTAAACCCCCATCCCCCATCCCACCCCCTATAAAACCCTCCCCACCACCCCCCGATCGCTTAATCCTATATAAGGCCCCCTAAGCGTCCCCCCTCCATGAATCCAACAGCCGCCGGCCATCTGGTCGAACGGTAAGGCATGAGAGGCAACTTCACGCCTTCGGGTGTTCCTTAATTCCCTAGCGCTCGGGTTCGAGCCCCGTTCAGCTGGGAGCCTTTCTGGTGATAGAACGATTCGCTCTATATCATCAGCTGTTCCACGTACATCGTGGCTTAGTACAGTATGATCATTTGATGTTTCTTGTTCACTGAATTGAAGACTCATCATTAGTACTGTACCTTTCATTTTTGCTTTTTTTTGCACTTTTTGAGGCTTTTGAGGGTGAAAGGAGACAAGGAAAGGAAGGTAGGCGAAGAGCTCGGTTAGATTGTTTTCCATGTTTCTTATTCCTCGTCTTTGTTTTGCATAAAGAGTGGGCACTTTGTGACTTCGTACATTTGCTGATGATAGTAAATAGTATTACATCCCTTTTGTCCCAGTTGGATAGCTTCTTCACCATCCACAGGACTGAACCGTCCAAACATCTTAACATCTTCACAACTTCAAGCATACATTCGACGCCCACACCCGCACACACTCGCATCACCCGCATCACCCCACCATCCTACAAATCCTACACGCCCCCCTCATATCACCATCTACCTCCTCCTCACAACCCTCTTCTTCACAATCCCGATCCTGCCTTTTTTCGGCTTCTCGGGTCCCTGTTCGTGCACTTCTGGATCACCACCACAATCATCACAGCCATCAGGGAGCCGGATCGACTGCCAGACATGCTTGTTTTTGCAAGGCGTCTGGATCAGTGCGGCTGACGGGCAGAACCGGCCGAGGGCGGACGAGGTGTGCGTGCACGCGTGGATATGGAGATAGTAGTCGCACATGGTGAGGTGAGTGAGTGCCTATATTGGATGGGTGTGATCTTTGACAGTGTGATAGTGGTGCAGAAGATCAGACGGACGTTTGTCTGCTGCAGTCGTGCTGACGATGAGACGGAGTATTATGCTGACGGGCGTGATATAACGTGCCTGATGACTGGGCACGTGGAATATTTGAGGAGCAAGTAAAGCTGAGTCTTGAAGCGCATCAACGCTGACCGTGATTCAGGAACAAAACGTGCCTTGACGCTGTGTATAACTCTATCGTGTGATTGAGATTCTGTGTGAGGTAAAGAGCTCTACACTCCCCACCAGCGCACGCACGAACATTTATACTCCGCCACCTCCCAGGCCGTTGCCTGTCGATTCCACATCAAAAGCCTCTTTTCGTCAACGTGCAGAGACAGAAAGACTGTCCCGACTCAACGGGCATCATGTGAGGAGGCACTCTGCTTGCCTCGCCGCAAGCCGTCAAAAAGCTAGGCTACCAAACATCTTCATGGAAGCTGGCGGCCTCGGCCCGAGATTAAGAGTAACAGCCTCACTCGCAAACAGTGGCGCTGGAATTTGCAAACAGACGTCCAGAAATGGCAACAGGGCAATTGGGGTTTGTGTGTTTGGAGTAACAAGAGAATGCAAGGCGGATAGGGAATGGCAAATACTTGGCTTGCTGAGATGGAGCTAGTCTGAGAAGGAGGGCAGAGGAGAGGTCGAACCTCGGGAGCAAACCTTAACTCCGGCATATCAAGGTTTATATATATAAAATGCCGGACCTGACTACAGGTGTTTGACAGGCGTAACCCGCGATGGCGATCTGCAAAGAAGGGCGGAGATCAGGATTCAAGTAGCCGGTGCACGTGGGAGAAATATGAAAACGTAGCACAGCATGGTTGTATGAAACGAGACGATTTGGAATGAGAAGCAATGATGAGGCTGCAGGACAGCGAACTGACGTGACGGTGGACCGGGAAGATGCAGGGACGACGTGATGTCGATGATTAAGTTTAGGCACAGGTGGTGGGGCAATTTGAAATAGAAGATGAGGCCAGCAAACATGGTTTTTTGAGATATAATAATGTATTGAAATGAACGATGAAAAGGGGTTGCTCAACTTCAAACTCCAGACGAACCTGGTTGGCTGTAAAGAGAAGGAGCATCCATCATATCATATCTCATCTCATAGTGACATGTGAGACAAGAAGTTTTACACGATGTTTTGTCTTTTGAGATGTCGCTAATTGATATTGGACGTAGCGCCCTGAGATAAGGCGCTAAGCCCTTGATCTCCATTGATGTTTGAGCGCGCGGTTACCTTGTAACTGACTTGTACTATATGGTGTGTTTAGTATAGCACAGGTACATGGTTGCTTCATAGGGCTATGATGGTCAGGGAGGGGAGTAGTATGTTTGCGACCGTGAGAATGAAGATAGTGAGTGTATCAATTGGCGCGCGCGAAGGGTGTAGGATTGAGTATAATCGAGTATATATATACACACACACATCAAAAGCGGATCGGTTGGTTCTCTAGTCTAGACAAACCACACACGCACCGGAAGAACTATCAAGGAGAAAAGGAAGAAAAGGATCAATCTCACGGGCCGGCGAAAAAAGAGACAGAAACCGAAACCCGGAGTTTCCTTAGCGCCCATAACGTCCCGATCCGCGCGCAGGCCACCCCAGACAACCAAGACACCGAACTGACCCCAAACGGATCCAAACGGACCCAAACGGACCTAAACGGATCCCAAGGACCCCTGCTGGGAAACCTCGGTTGGCTAGATTGGCTAGATTGGCTAGATTGGCTTTAGTTGGCCATCGCGCATCTTTGCTCTTTGTCCCCGTTCAAACGTCCAATTCCATCTTCACCGCTTCACCGCCACTCCTCCTCCTTCACCGTGCAGCTCTCCTGCATCTGAGGAGAAAGGAAACGGTAACTAACACGCCATTTATTATCCCTTAGTCCTTATTCTACAAGGTCCAAACGTCAATCAGTCAGCCGTTCATTACCAGGGACAGACAGTACTACTGCCAGGACAGTGCTACTCCCAGTACTACTCCCACCACTCCAGCCCATACTCCCACTACTCCAGTCCACACATATAGCGCAACCTAACCTTGCCGCTATTACGACCCGTGGGTGGCTAAGTGCGTGTGAAGTGCGTGCCAAACCTGGGAGAGTGGGGAGAAAAGGGAAGAAAAAGAGCAAGGGCTTCGTTCGCCCTGGGTCTGTGAGGAGGCCGGTTGATGCGTTGGCAAGTGCAAGTGTCGAATACATACACGCATACACAACACCACACAGACGACAACACCAGGGAAAGAACGACCTTGCCCTGCCAACTTTATCCCGAATACCCAGTCGACCCCGTCATCCCCCACGCAATTGCCACGATTGACACGATTGACACGCTCGTACACGTCTAAATGCCTGAATAAACGCCCTATGAGGCCCAATTAACGTCGATTCCACCCTCAATTGACTCCCGCCTGTCCGTCTGTGGGACTCCCCATTCCTGGATTTGTCCAGCCACCTTCCCGTTCGTCGTTCATGGATCACTACTGCATATCCTCAATTGGCTTCTCCACCTCCGCTGCACCTACCATAAAACCAGCGTAGCGTCACGTCCCAGCGCGCGCATCCTGCGATGTCACCTCAATCTACCGCCGACACTGAGAATAAGAGTCCCCTTTCCTCGTCGCCGTCGCCGCCGATCTCCCTCTCCGACTTCTTTCTCTCAATTCCATACTTCATGGCCTCCACGGAGGTAGATCAGAAGTTCCTGGGGCAATTCGCAAAGAACATCGCCTCAGATAACCCGCTCCTGTCGTCCATGCTCTTCAAGCTACTTGGCCTCTCCGTCGTCCTTGCCAAGCAGCTCGTTCGCGCGCGCAAATTGCGAAAGCTCGATCCAACCCGTGCGACAAAGAGCCTGGACCTGTACTTCCACATCATATGGCTCAGCCGTGAGGGCCTCCTCATCGTGGAGCAATATGTCCTCCACATGGTCTCGTCGTTTGAGGAACTCAAAGTGCTGACCTACAAACTGCGTGCCTCCTTCTACCACATCTTTGTCCTCTTCCACAACCAACCGTCAATCAATTCAGCCGGGCCGCGCCAGATCACAACCCCACCAGGGCTACTATCCCCACGACAGAAGCAGGACAAGGGAAAGGCACCCGCCATACCAGGCACATCACATACACCAACCATTCCATCACCCCCCGAATCTCGCTCGTCCTCAGTCCAGCCCTCACACCCACTAGAAGGCGGACCTGTACAACACCCCGACGCCCAACGAGACGCGCGACAATCCGGCTCCGCAGCAGACTTCCTCCTCCAAAGCCGCGACTACATCCCTACCGCCATGGCCGCCTTCCAGGAAGCCAACGACCTCGCCGAGCGGCTCCTCTGGGGCTCCCACCCCCTCCGCCTCAGCGTCAAAACCGAATTCTCCGCCTTCCTCTACGACTGCGCCAAAGACGCCGACCGCTCCCGCCGCCTCGCCAAAAACACAATCGCAGAAGTCTACAACGCAACCGAAGGCATGGACGACGAGATGTTCGAAGACGCCGCCGAACTCGTGGGCACCCTCGGCAAGTTCATGAAGCGCGGCCTCGGCAGCGCAGGCGGCAGCAGCTCGGGAAGCAAGAGCACCCTCCGAGCTGGCGCCAGTGCGGCAGAACAGCGAGCGGAACCCCCGAGACCACTGAGGAGTACACCGCCCAGAGCCGAGAACCTGCGCAACGAAGCGCTGCGCGATGCCCGTGCGACGCCGCCTCGTGCGACACCCACGCGTGCCGTGCCGCCGAGGGGTCTGCTGACTCCGCCCGGGCACCCGAGGAGGGACGCGGAGGTGTCGCCGGCGGTGTCGGGGGTGGGGATGGATAATCCTATTTGATATGAAGATACGTTTTGATTCTGGCGTTTACGGTACGGCAAAGCGATGTTTTTTGTTCTATATCGGGGGGCTCTCTTATTACCAGTAGAGCGGAGAGACAGAGGGTGGGCGCATTTATGGCGGAGCTGTTTGCGCATGATCCATATGGCGTTGGGCTTTTGTATTGTTTAATGTATTAACATGAGATAGGGGGGGGTGGTGGCATTTGGTTGGAGATACCATTCTGTATATATTTCACCGTCGGTTGCGACGGTGATAATTTACTTTTTCGAAATGGGATGGGAGGGGGATGCATCAGAGCGGTGGGAGCGAGCATGGAGTGTGACGAGCGAGATAGTCACGGAATACAAATATTGATACTGTGGTATCAAGCTCCAAGAACTATTTTCGCTGCCCTGGCTGCCGATGACCGACAAGCAGCCAAAAGTGACACCCACTCCCATAAATCCAACCCCCCGCCAACCCCCATCCATCCGTACAACCCCCCAAGCATCTCACAAACACGACACCTCTCTTCCAAAATAGCACCCCCCTCACTCGCTCGCACTGCCCCTGAAAAAAAATCTAAAAAATCTCGATCTCAGCTCCCTCGCGTATCACGGATCATGTCTCACAACCGTCGATCGGTACTACAAGTAGGAAGGAGTAGGGTTCAGAGGTGTGAGACAACGTGGGGCGGCGGTAGGTACCGGGGAGGGTGGGGAAGGGGGAGGGGGGGGGAGGGGCTATTTATATAGCTTGGTTTTGGCGGAGGTGGATGGAGCGCTTCCTGTAAGGACCCCTCTGCTGTGGAAGGGAGGAACCAAAAAAAGCATTTCTTTGGCCTGGAGAGCACGACAGAGATGGAAAGTTGTCGGCGTGAAGAAGATGGCTGCTGTGTTGCTCACTGGCGAAAGTGACGGTGAGAGGGGGGAGAAGATCAACACTCCCATCCTGTCTCCTTTCAAGTTCTAGATATGGAAAGAACGATTACCAAGCAATGCCTCGATCGTAGCTTCCTCAGGAGCATTCAAGTCTTAGATATGGAAGGAACGATTACCAAGCCTGCCTCCATTGTAGCTTCCTCGAGAGCCTCCAATTTCTAGATACAGGAGGACCACCCGTTATTTGGAGTGTGCATCTTGACAGATACATGGAAGGAACGTAGGAGGAACGAAGAAGAGGGGAGTTTACATAGAAAAATGAGCCTAGGTTGGTAAGATATGTCTTATTTTATCCAACAGTATTCCTACTCGAGCGACTATGTAATCCATCACCTAAATACACCCCGATATACCTCGTCTTTTGAAGCTCCAACAAGCCTCCGATGATCAATGTCTTCAGCGTCCCAGATTGACCGTGTTTAAACACACTGCGAGTAGTAAGGTGGGGAGACGGGAGAGCAAGTTGAGCCGGACTATTTCAGGTTATCGTCAGCAGAGTTTCCATAAATCGGCCAAAACGAGACAGGAGAGAGCAACTTACAGCACAAACAGTACACCCCGTATAATCCTGCCCACCACACTGCTGGAACTTCGCAACACTGCAGCTGCCACCACCACCCCCGGGAGTTCCAGTCGCCGTCTGGGTAACTGCCGGCCCTGTCGTCGTCGCGGCTTCACCACCAGCAGAGCACTTCGAGCCGGCAACCTTGCTGCTTCCACCAGCGTAGACTGCGGGGCCCGGGTTGACGTAGGAGCTGATGGCTGCGTGGATGTTGATGAGGATTCCGGGATCGGTGGCCTTGTAAGCGCCGGGGAAGTTGACTGTTGCGGGAGAGGCGGAACCGCCGCCGCTGACGACGAGTTGGTCTGGAGGTTATATGGTTAGTAAGGGGGAGATGGGGTTGAGGGGTGGAAGAGACATACAGCAGCTCATGTAAAGCTGAGCACCGCCGGTGGAGCCAGCAACGTGAAGAGCGATGACTTCAGCGCGGAGAAGGTAGTCTCCAGCAGCGATATCGGATGGGATCTTCACATTCATCCTTCCACAGCAGTTGTTCAAGTCTCTGGTGCCCCACCAGTCGTCATCGGCGCTGTTACCGGCGGGGTTCTGGATAATCATTAGCATGAGAATATCCCGCGACGGATACTCAATTATCTTACCTTTGCCCAGGAATCTGCGTGGACCTTGAACCACCCTGTCGATCCATCTGCTGTCGAGGCATCGGCGACCTTGGACATATACACGTTGACTGGTCCCCAATGAGCACCTCCGATGGCTTCAGTACCACATGATCGATCTCCATTTTGCTAGAAAACCAGATCTCGTCAGCAACCCGTTCTATCACTGCATAGCATCACAAGAATTGAGACCATACCTGGTGCATCTCAACCGTCACGGTCTGACCTGCTACGACAGAGCACTTGCCAGACACGCCGGAACGGCCATTGCAGCGCATATCATTGCTCGTTACATCAGTGACTGGGTTATTTGTCAATGGCAGGCGGACACAAGTGGACTGGTAAGCACCGAGTTAGTCAACTCCATGAAGGATCTGGGTGGGGCTACATATCTGATCGACACCGTTGACCCAGAGGTCCTGGAACGTAGCGTGTCCAGCGACTTGCTGGGCTAGAATAGCCGCGACAATGGGAAGGATTGCAGATCTCATCCTGGCAGATATAGAGTATAGAACGATAAACTTGAAAATATAAACCTCGCAGATCCTGTCAACCAGACAGGCGAACGATCTTCATTATATGGAGGGATATAAAGAAGATCTGTGCTGGCAATGTCTCATCACAAGGCCGCCATATATTAAACTTACCCCCATTGAGAGTGCAATATATACGCCGGCCCTCGTGTCCAGCCAGCGGGACGGCGGGATCGTTGGGCGCTCACCAATATTTGCCTTCCAGACCGTAAGTGAGACTTGGAAGAGTCCGGGGAAGATCATGTGGTTGAACTGTATTCTTCCATCGATCTTGCCAAGGCGGTAAATTGTCAAAGTTTCATATGCAGCGGCCGCCGCCATTGGAGACCTTCCCCGCCAGGGTATATAGTATAATAACCTAGGAACGCCTACGGCTAAATTGATAGGCACAAATAAGCCCAAATCTTGTAGAGCCGGATCAAAACTATGGGGAGCCGGAGATTTTATAAATATGGGAGGCAACGGCAGTTAGCTCCCCGTTTTGAAATGGGTTTGGGGCGTCAGGGGCAACGTTGGGCCGAAGTGAGCGACGACTCCATCATCAGGGTAGGATCTGGTATTCACAATTCCAGCCTTTACAATATGACGCGTGATGGATGGTCTAGGCCGCACTTTATGCGGATGCGATCTCAATATATAATGATATCATTGAAGCTGCTGGATTTAGTTTCCTGTATCTCAAGTGCCGAAAGCTTAATTCCGCCATCTTGACGTCGTGTCTGCGCTTGACTGAATACCTCCCCTTAAACCCCATATACCGGGGCGACCGAACAGATCACTACTAGAAAGAACTCTCGCACTTTTGCATCTTCTTCAAGTATGTACATTCGCTCGGGCACCTGGTTGGCCGTATCTACCGCGGGATTAAACGCGCAAATAAACATACCAGCACGCCCGCCATTTCTAATAATGAACGTTTTCCTTCTTATTTACACTTCCAGCTCTCCGTTTTAACCAGACTGACATAAACAGGATGAAATATCTGATTGTAGGCTCAAGTATATCCACAAGGATGAGGACGTAACTACTGTCCAGACCACACTTCAGGTCCCGGGAAGGGGTATTCCTATTATTGTTAATAACGCAACCATATCACGCAAATTGTGGAGACTAACCGTTGTGTTCCACTCAGGTTGGAAGGGCGAACCATTGGGTCCCATCTGTAGGTTTGAGGTCAGCTCCGGTCTCATCACCCGCACAACTTTTTGTCCACAGCATCTGACTTTGGGGCAAAATCTAGACGCTTCGAAGGCTATACATACCCACCACTGCGACATCGCAAGTCCTGGATCTGTTTTCCTATTAGTCCACTTCACTAGGCGCATTCGGGGCCAGTCAACCTACCTTCATCCTTATATGCGCCTGGGAAGCTAGCGAGGTAATCGCCGCTCGGCGTCGCTGTTCCATTCCCAGTAATACTCAGCTGCGCACATTCGATGTAAAACTGCGGTGGCCTGCTGGCCAACATGATGACCTCGTGCCTGATCAAATACTTCCCTGGCTTAAGGTTCTTTGGGATGGCCACTGTATACCCAGGGGCAGCTGCAGCGGCGGGTTGGAGCAGCTCTCCCTGCACCCATGGACCGCGTAGATCTTCAGCCTCTGGCAATAGCCCAACCTGACCAATCTTGAACCACACATCACCACTGCCATCAAAGCCTTCACATGAGTCTCCCGGGCAAGCAGCCATGTACGCGAGTATAGGTCCTATCGAGTGAGGCCAGACATTGGGGAAAACATCCGGCATAAAGTTATCCCAATGTGCCGTGATGTTGTTGCCAGCACGTATGGGAGCGTGGATAGATGATGCCGTGGCGGTGCCATCCCAGTTACATGTCATGTTTCCGCTGGTTACGTCGAAAACGGGGTTGAAATCCCAACGCCTCTGGATACTCGGGACTTGGGGAGGGTCTGGGATGGGGTTGTTTTTCAAATCCCAGAGATGCCAAAGTGTTCTATATTTGTTGTCAGGTTCTTGGTCTTAAACGATAGTATAAGGGGATTGGTACCCATTATATTCAGCCCCGTCCACGGTATAGTGGCACACACCTCCATGAGCTGCCACCGTCGAAGCCAGAGCAACCAAGGACGCAATAACCCGAGACTTCATTTTGACGTGCTGTGGTTAAGAGTAAACCCAAATTGAGAGAAAGCCAACCCCAATGGGCATTGGAAGCTTCTTATATCTTCGTATGCCATTTTTGTCGATCCTAAATAGATTGTTACCAAGTCCCCAATCTCACCAGCTTTATTGCCGTAAGAGCTAGGCCGGGAGATGGGCAAGCATGCCAATCATAAAATCGAGTTCATATTGATAAAATCGGATCAATGTGTGGCATTAAGTGCAGCATCGCTCCCCGACGCCATTTCGTGAGGAATACTGGAGTCCCGTGTTTCAGACATATCAGATGCCTCCGCCAAGGCATTTAGGCACAGATTGTTTGGTGCTGATCTGCAGATCTATATGCCAAAAAATGGCAGCTATGACCGAGTCTCCGATGGCATTTTCTTGCGATCGACAACTTGAGGTTTAGCCGCCAAGTAATATATAGCCAGAAGGTTACTTCTATCAAAACTAGGCTGGATCCTTTACAAGTGTCGGCTTGACGGACCATATAAATCGCAAAAAGAGCTCACGACACGCGTCGGATTGTATACATTCTACGTGATGTTCGCTGATACTCCGGTTTACACGACTTTTATGGCATCGCTTCTGTCAAAAGCTGGCCCTACGGGCGTGCACATCTCGGATGCTAACATAAGCAATGCATCAGTTAGTTGGATTAGCAAAACTAGCTTCGAGGTCTTTAACAAGAGATCTCATAGGTCTGCGGCCATTCTTGAGCCCAGAGTAAAACTCCCTACACCATCTCTTTACATTTGCCTCGTCTAATAGCCCGTCCCCGTCCACATATTCACCAATGTAGGTCACCATAGCAATCGCGAAGCATTTGTACTTGCGGTTTGGCGACTTTGTGACGAGACGTACAAAAGCTTCTAAAAGGCGATGGGCGATAGGAATATATACTGGAAGAGGGCTGTTTTGGAAGGCACCGTGTCCTCGACCTGGTCTTGGAGGTGGGAGACGGGAGTCAGACGCAAGAATGAAGTCAGGCGAACAGAAAATTTGGTTGAGAGCTAAACCGGGGAGGAACCATAGCGTTGAAGATTGCGTATAGATCGAGACCGTCATCTCGGCATCAATATGGAAATGGGCTGCAGGGGGTGGAGACGTTCGTGTCTCCACCACCGCGGTGCACGATTCTGCTTCACTGCAGTCAGCTAGGCCTTTGTTTTGAAGTGCAGAGTCTGCCGCTACAACAAGATCATCTGGAACAACAAAATCGATCGACTGCACCATGTCAGTTGCAGCCAACATCCGACGGCTTGGAGAGGAGCTCACGTCAACAATGCTTGGGACTCCATATATCGTAAGAAGATAGTTTCCCCACAAGACACAAGGAATGTTGCATCTGAGTAGAATATGAGAGATAGAGGCGACTAGAGTCTCATCTATTACCGCCTTATTGAGGGTCTGATTCCCCATTGCTACTCCAGGCAAAGTGACATCGCCAGATAATACCATCACAGCGTGCTTTGAGATTCGCTGGATATAAAAAATGGCTATGTACAATATTGTGCCCATTTAAGGCAATTGGATGGATCCACTCGGGTAGTTGTATGCATTGCGGTCACTTCGTCATGTTGCATTTGTGACAATTAATTATTCAAGGCAAGAGCGTTTGAGGCCAAGCGCCCGCTCCCGAAGATATTATATCGCGTCCCGCGCGCTTACAGACAATAAACTGTAGACAACTGGTGATTAATAACACCATAACTCTACAGCCAGTGGGTTCAGGCAAAATGGATACCAGAGCCTGCTTTACCCTATTCCCAGCTCTGCCGACCGAACTGCGATGGAAGATATGGGAACATGCATTAGCGAGCCATTATATCGTCGATTTCATACCTAAGCCAAGTGCTCGGGAGGTTTTCATGGAGGGAATGGAGCCATCCTCTATGGGGCCCATCCTGTCTATGGATAATTCGCGCATTTCTCAGGCATCTAAAGAATCCTGGCTCGTAATACAGGAGCCATATCGCAAACTTGAAGTCACAGCCTGTACTATGCATGCTCCGTACCGTTATACGGACTTCATCGATTTTTCGAGATCGACCTTCTACCTGAACCACGGGAAGTCTACCCTCAACTGTGTCTCTGCCTTAACGCCTGCTCCTATCTCTACCCACGTTAAAAGCTTGACCGTTGCCTGGTGCACATATAGGGATATTATTGAGGTCTTGAAGCGCATTACAATGTTTCAAGCTCTTCAACAGCTTGTTATTTTAATCCCTGAAAAGCTTGAGGTGGGAGTTCCTCCTGACTTCCGTGCTACGATGACAGTACTTGATCTTTATCTTGGGGGCAAGAAGAGTTGCCAGATAAAGAATCCTCTTGGGGCTGGAGGCCAGATAAGATTACTACTGCACGAATTTATGGAAGGCCAGTGTCCGCAACTTGGCCCAAAATGGCCCACGATCGAAGTCGTGCATGTTCCAGATCCGCTGTGACCTGGGATTTCTATGCCATTTATACATTGATCACACCAGGGATCAGAATTCGAGGTAACGGATGCGGTGCGATAGTTTCCAGAGATGGGCTGAGTTACCCAGAGAAAGACGTAGGGTGCTAGAGGGCGACGGACAGAAGCCAACAGCACAGAGCACGGAGATAATCAGCACCTCTCAAACGACCAGGAGCAGTGGAGGCGAGCGGTCGAAGAATCAAACAAATCCATGGAATTCATTCTATTGCCCCCCTTCTCCTACTGAACCATGTAATATGTTATCTAGTATCTACAACTCATGTCTTCCTCGTTGGCTTCATACGTTCGCGGACGTAGGGAGCATAACGCAAACAAGACCATGCTTCAGATCTTTGAATTAATCGCTCATTCCAGAATCCATAGTTGGAAAATCCAAACGGCCTGCTCGCTGATATCTCCAAGCCTGTACACTCGCGCGTCTAACACACGTTCGGTCCGCTCTTCAACTGCGCTGCCACCTTCTGCGCGAGCACATCGTGCATGGGCGACGTGGGGTGCAGGCTGTTGAGCCAGAAATACTGGTTGACTGGGATGCCGCACGAGGGGTCGAGGGTATCTTGCGCTGGGGTACCACTATGCGCAATTAGCATCTTTATCACTATTCCTCACAAGACGGGAGGCCTATCAGCGTTCGACTTACTTCTGATATGCCTCGCAGTACGCGGTGGTATTCTTGTATCCAGCCGTGGCGGGGAACGCAGCGGGCTTATTTAGCACGTCCGTAAACGCCTGCCACGCATCTACCGTGAAAACGTTCGAATCGGCATAGTTCTTCCTGACGCTCGCGGCTAGACTCGCGATAGCGCTGTTAAAGGCCTTCAAATCCTTTGCAATGAGAGCTGCGCTGTCTGCACCTTGGCCAATCATCAACGGACTCCTGTCTGTGGGCGGCACGTTGAGGAAAACGAAATTCCTCGCGCCAGTATTATAGAGCTCCTTGACGAGACCGTCATAGACGGCGAAGATCTTCTTGTTTAAGATGGGGACCGCATCGTCGCCCAAGTAGAACGAGTTTCCGACATCGTTGATGCCGATGAAGATGCCGAAGACGGAATCGTTGCTCTTCCATTTACCATTGAAGGCGTAGTTTGGGATAAAGAGGTCTTCCACTTGGCTTGAGAGGGATAGCACAGTGTCTTGGTATGGCTTCACGAGCGAGGATGATACGGTCGCGCCACCGTATGCCAAGTTGTACGTCAATATTTCAGAGGCGTTGTACTTGACAGTGAGGAAGTCGGGCCAATTGGGGCCATTTGCGGCGGTCCAGCCCGGGTATGGGGGGTTACCCAGAGGATTGCCCGGTGCTGGCTGGGTTTGGGACACATCGAACCCGGTGGTCGTGTAGGAGTCGCCGCTAACCCTGATTAGATTTGGAAATCACAGGAGATCGGGGAGCCTACAAAATGAATGCATGCTTCATCGAAGCCCAGCCTTTGTAGTTGGAATTGGCACGGCAGCGAGGCGGTGCAGCTAAAGCCGCGGCCGAGGACACGAGGCCCGCTGTGAGAATCGCCGAGAAAAGCATCGTGAATACAAGGAACAGCGATTGAGACAAGAGCCAAGAATCCGCAAGAGCTTCAGCAAGCACGCAGAGCGACGATCATCGAGGGATGCATGGGCTTTATACTCGCCCTTCTCCGCTCCCCCTCATGAGACAGTGTAATCTCCATGTCGCCGCACAAGCAATCAAAATATAGTATCCCTCGCATCATCGATATAGACTTCTAGGAACGACGGCAGGCTATCCCAGGAGTAGTCAAGCATTTGGCACTCTGGCAAATGGCGGATGTTTACACGGTGGAGAGGGGACTCGGAGGGCGAGGCTCCGAGACAGTGTTTCGTTTAAGCTTCTCACCAACGTCCGATCTTTTCCAGAATTAGACTTCGCGACACTGTTCGCAGATGCGGGGAAGGGAAATGTGCACAGAGTCAGAATTTCTTCAAAACGGCAACAATGATAGGGGCACAGATGTATGGTTTGTTTCCATGAGGTCCTGTTGGTGAGGGGTTACCGAGATTGGCCGGTGGTCTTTGGCGGTGCGGCTATGGGAAAAGAGGAAAGCGCTGTTGCGGGGAACAAGACCCCTGTGGAACGAGGTCATGTACTATACAGGATGCGACAGGTTCATCGTTAAACTGTAATTGAAGTAGAAATGATTCTCCGGAGCAATAGTCTGCTCTTTCGCTCCGGACTCCGTTACTTCTACGATGTTCCTCGCATGCAACGGGGTGAGCACTGAACTAAATAGTACTGTACAGTCTACTGAATATAGACAGCGAACATCGCGGCATGTGCATGGCAAGTGCATGAAAAGTGTAGGGCAATCCCATGGCTGCAAAGTATAATATATGGACCACGAAACTAGTTCTTGCCTTCTAGACTGTTATACCAATGACGTCTCGAGGACACGCCGACCGCACTCTTCTTTCCCCGAGCTCCGAATTCTCCGTAAGCAAACCTCCCCACTTCGCATCTCAATTATGATAATTATGATAATTTCCATATTTCATATTCGCACGGTAACAGTGATTGGCCCCAAAGCGAAACGACGTCAATTTTTTAGTTTTGTGCGGAATTAGATAAAGTATTAAAGTACATTACGTCAGCTAGGCTTTCAATGTCGTCGTAGACATCATGTTGCTATAGCTGTTGGTCAATCACGGTAATCCATGTCATAACTACTTTTTGCTTATAGATCATGGCAATCTATGAAACCCGAGGTCCGAATGCGTCCCCTCACAGCTCATGCTATATCTAACTTCACTTATATAAATGTCTTATCTCTTAATATTCCAATCATATCCATCTTTGGATTCACTTATATAAATGTCTTATCTCTTAATATTCCAATCATATCCATCTCATTGGTACTGTACGGTCTAAACATTCCTCAATCACACCATGGCCTCATCTTCTTCCTCTCCCGCCGCTGATCTCCACGACAACCTCTCTCGAGTTAAGCGCTCTTCACCCATTGGCACCACTCTCTTCGCCGGCATTCGCACCGCCGATATCTTCATACAATATGGCCTCGTAGCATACGGCCTCGCCGCGCCCAGCCTCCGCGCCATTGGCGTCTCCGCCCTCCCCCCTTTCCTCCCCGGCGCCTTCTCCCTCCCAAATCTCGCCAACTTCGCCGCTCTCCCTCTCCAAGCCCGCATAATCATCGGCCTCGCAACCGCCAGCAGCATCAAGCACGTCTACTGGCTCTTCCGCATCGGCGAGACTGAGATGCGCCCCGCCGAGGGTATCGTAATCGGGTTCTTCAACACCTTCTTCAACTCCCTCAACTCGATCTTCTGGTCCATCGCCCCCCTCGCCCCTCTCCTCCCCACCGCTGCCTCCTCCTTCCTCACGGGCTTCGGCATCATCTCCCCCGCGCCCCGCGACCTGAGCTCCCTTACCCCAACCTTCATCATCGGGACAGCTATGGCCATCGGCGGCCTCCTCCTCGAAACCACCTCCGAGATCCAGCGCAGAAACTTCAAGGCCCGCCCGGAGAACAAGGGGAAACCATTCACCGGCGGCCTCTTCGGTGTCGCGCGACACATCAATTACGGCGCATACTGCATCTGGCGATCTGGGTATGCGATGGCGGCTGCGGGGCCCATTTTGGGCGGGCTGGTGTTCTGGTTCTTCTACCACGATTTTACGAGAAGGGGCATTCCCGTGCTAGACCGTTATTGTGCGGATCGGGTAAGTTGATTCGAGTCTTATTGATGAATACAGCGAATGCTGACTTGTGGATGTAGTATGGCGAGGACTGGCAGCAGTATCGCAAGAAAGTGCGATCATCTTTGCTTCCAGGGATTTGAGGGGTGGGTGCGGTTGTTGGGGATGCCTCCGTGGGTGTAGGATTCGTGTTAGCAGTGCTAGTGATGCGCGGAAAAAGGCTTCAATGGACAGATAACACTTAATGTATGCTTGGTCTCGGCGCGAAGGCTGGCGATTTGACGATGGAATATGACTTGGGCTATATGTTTATTCCACGGCTCCCTGTAACTTACTATCTTTAACTGTAGTGTAAAATTGAGACGATCTTTCTTCATTGGGCGCAATACTCATTTATAGCTGTGATATAAATCAAATCCGTAGATCTTAGGACAACAGCCAACCGCCAGCGTAACCGCTGATAACCGCCCATGTAGGTCTCACATTCATGCAAGCCACAAGGCCTTTGTTGAACCCCTTCTCATTAGATACACAAACGCCACTGACGCGTGAGACTTCTAGCCGCAATACGCCAGACGTCGTACTGCAGTGCGAAGTAAGATTATATACATACAGCACTCGGCCCAACTAGCCATATCCATCCACCTCATATTCCGTCCCAGACATCTGTTAAGTCCTGAATACCTTGACCAGCCTTGCTATTCCGAATACAAGTAAATCCGCCCTTTGATCCGTACTGCCGAAAGCGCGCCTTCATAATATATGTTTGTTCCTATCCCTGAGCGTTGGCCATTGTTATAACCTAGGACCTTTTTTGTCCTTAGGCAACGAGTATCGCAGTCTATAATTGGAGACTGGTTGATACCTGGATCAAGGCGGCAGCAAATTATAGGGATTGTACCACAGTTTTTGCTGGGCGAGTAGTCGCAGTTTGACGCGAATATAGGCTCCTCTCCCAGCTACCACCCCCACTCCACCACCCCACCACCAAACTCAGCACTCTCACGGCTCTGCCTCGCAATGCGCGTGATATGGCTGCAGGCTGACAGTGCTGCTCGACCTCCCTCCTCCCACACTATCGCGCTTAACCTCTTTCTCAACGCGAATCCCCTTATATGCTCTCGCCGGAGGCAACATCGTTCCCTCCGCAATCCCGCGCGCAAGATCATCCATCCTTGATCCCTTCGGCTGGCGCTCCCAGGCGCGGCGCCCACTATCAAACACCTCGTCCATCTCTTCAAGCATCTTGCCCTTCGTCTCCGGCGCTGCGATATATATATGCAGAAGCGCCAATCCGTTGAGTGTCCCGAAGAGCATGTACATGCGCCAGTTGATGTGGAACAGCAAAGGGGGAACAGCGAAGGAGAGGATGCAGTTCCAGAACCAGTTCGAGGCGGTGGCGAGGGAGACGGCCTTGGCTCGGACTTTGGACGGAAAGATCTCTGCTGGGTAGCACCAGGATGCGGGACCCCAGGTCGTGGCAAATGTGGCGACGACCAGGTATGAGCAGGCCACGATGGCGCCCGAGGCGGCTTTGTTGCCGCGCACGACCCAGGTGATGTTCGTACCGTGGCCGTCGACGGCTTCGCCGTAGACGGCCTGTATGGCGCCGGTGATGAAGAAGAAGATCATCATGAAGAGGGAACCGAGGAGAAGGGACGGCCGGCGTCCCCATCGGTCGATATAGATGATGGCAGGGAGCGTAAGAAGCACGTTGATTACGTATTGAATCGAGGCCGTGAGCATGGGCGATCCGATGTCTGCCGCCTGCATGACGTAGATGATGTAGTACATTAGCACGTTGACTCCACCCAACTGCGACCATGTCTGGATGCTCATGCCAAGAAGCACACGCTTGAACATGCGCGGCGCTACGAGTGCGCGCATGCTGCTCGTTGCCTCCTCGCGCTCAAAGCGCAGCGCTTCCTCGATCTCCTGGTACTCGGCCAACACCTTCGGATGGTCGATGTCGCCGCCTGCGTGCAGATCCGCAAGCACCTGGATCGCCTCGTCCCACTGGTCCTTGCTGGCCAGCCAGCGAGGGCTACGAGGCAGGAAGAACAGGCCGAAGAAGAGGATGACGGCTGGGATCATCTGGAGACCCCAGGGAATGCGAAATGCCGACTCGGGTTGGTTGGGGTCGTCGGGGCCGCCGCCAACAAAAGACGCGCCGTACTGGATGAAATATTGGATCAGGATACCCCATGTGATAGCCCATTGCTGGAGGGTGACGATGCGACCACGAATCTCCTTCGGTGCGATTTCGGATTGGTAGACGGGTACGATGGCGGAGGCGATACCGATACAGATACCGGAGACAGCGCGGCCGACCACTAGCATGGGGACGCCATTGGAGGCGCATTGGATGCTGGCGCTTGGTTAGCTGAGATGGATGACAACGGGGAGCTGGGAGCGTACATGGAGCCGATAATCCAGAGGGTGCAGGAGAATTGGATGGCAGTTCGTCGGGAGTACCGATCTGCGATGAAGGATGATATGAGAGCACCAAAGAAAGAGCCGAAGGGCATAGAAGCTGTGATGGCTCCCTGAACCGTTGAGACACTATCATTCCATTAGCACAATCCCTGACAGGCTTTGATGGCTGGACATACGGATTGTTATAATAACGCTTATAGGCCATTGTCCCAATGACACCGGACATCGAGGAAATATCAAAACCAAAGAGTCCACCACCTATACATTACACTCTGGTTAGCAAGATTGTCCTTAGGCGCAACGTCGAAACGAAGGCATTCCCTCGACGATAGGGAGTGAGGGGTCCTCTCGACATACCGATGGCAGCGAAACCGCAAATGGCGTAGACATTAGTAGCCTGATACATGATGGCGACTGCGCTGCGTCGCGCTATACTCTTGCAGACCGCGCCGTCACGTCAGACTTCTGAATATGTTGTTAAGGGACCAGAGATGGCGACGACAACAACGACGACATCAACGATTGATAAGAGACATCAATCGCACACAAGATGGTAATGGGGAAGCAAAGACTGGGGCTGGTCGTGGTAGATCTACATATGTATGCATGCTGGCTGTCACCCTGGTGCCCAATGGGGCGATGCATTGCGATGGACCCTGGGTTGGCGATTCTACTGTTGGTCCAGTCCAGAGCATGGGAGCCCTGTGCGCCAACTAGTGGCGACGGTGATGTGTGGTGGCGGGGCGGGGGGCAAAGAGGGGTCAGGGGCCACAGAAAGCTCCAACACGCAAGGGTTCCACCCACCATGTGTGGGGCAGGGATGGGGAGAGCGGGTGATTGCTCACGAGCCCAGTAGGAGCCTAGCAAATAGTATTGTTTGAAAGGCCGTCAAAGCCACACAATTAAGCCGCCGTCGGTGGATAATACCGTACATCAGTGGATTTGTAGGTTCGCAGCTAGCATCGAAGGCCCGACAGGTAATGTTCTGGCTTGAGCAATGTACAGTCAGTCAATACTGTTAGTACTGTTAGGACTGTTGGTACTGTAAGTATAGCATAGTAACAAATCATGGTTGGCTGGCTCAGTGTGTGATTTCAAATGTGATGCTGATGCATGCTGGCCTGTTATGCTGGCCGCCGTGCTTTGTACGACAGGATGTTGGAATGGGGGATTGAAATAGGATGGGATTGACTGGATCAACAATCCGTATTGGGAGCCAACCCGACTCCATCCAGTTCATCCATCCGAATTGGAGACTCGACGTCGATGATCTCCATGAGAAGTCGGCGATGTTTGAGTGGGACCATGTTGGTTAGTGTCCACTCCATGGCTCCATACTGTAAGTACGAAGTACGGTACGAGAAACAGGACCCCTCTAAGGGCTGTCAACACCCCCACAGCTCATTTCCCCAAATATATCGTGTGTGTGTAAGTATGTGTCGCTGCGTCTTGGCCCTTCACAACTTCCATCCCCCTCACTTCCTCCCCGCCTTTTCTTTCCCTTCTAGAAAAAGCGCTATTACCACTAGGAGCTTCTCTTTTGAGATCAACGGCCATTGTGGAACAACCGCACAGATAGCAAAACGATGGACTATCCGTGAAGCTCGGATGACTTGGGATGCCGCCTTCTCTCCTTCCTTTTCTTCTTTCAATATTTATGCCATAGTTGACAGCTCGAGCCACTTGAGACTTGTGTCTCAGCGTCTAGAACAGTCTTTCAGCACGTCCATTCACAACGCTGCCTCGGCTTCTGTCTGTACTGTACTTTGTAATGAGCGAAAGATTATCCTCGCTCTTAAGACCTAGCAGAGTAAATAAATCCTAGGTAGACTCTCTGTCTCTCTCTCCTCTGACATATGATACCGAAGACACCTAGATCAATGCTGCTATCTTTTCCTCTTTTGATGCCTTTTTTTTTCTCAAAAAACTTGTCCCGTAAATCGCCACAAGGAAGTCACAATCGACCCCACTCGCCCGTACGTACAAAGTATCCTACGCCTTCAAAATTCTCCACATCGCCCAGTAATGTCCCCTAAAAGTCCCCCAAAAGCCCCCCATATCCCCAATATCTCTGAAACAGAACTGTTAGGTGTGCATGTGTGCAACCACCACACCGCCTTGGCTTTCAGAAATCCCTTCCCACCACGCACGTACGACGCCGTCAGCATGCAAGGCACACACACGCACCACCACCACACCACCACGGCGTCCCGCTCGGACTTTTTACCACTGGTCCGCTAGGTCAGGTACCCCAAGAACGGGATATTTTGATAATTCCCGCACCACACAGACAACAGTCAGCCCGCTTTCGCCAGAACACGGAACTATCGATTGACAAATGTGCGTCTGTAGCTATGTAATGTCACGTTTCGCATCGCCGTGCGTCCCGTCCCCAATCCTCCCCCGAACGAATGCTCGGGTCTGTGTCTGGCCTTAGGTCGGGCTACCGGACACTTCGGTGATCGGGGACGGGGCCCAAATGTGACGCTGGCACAGTCATCTAATGTCGCCGTCGCCCATTTGTTAACGACCATCCCGTCTATTCCTCCCCCTGACCTGCCGTCTCCAGATCTTCAAGTGGAGTCGGAATGTGTCAATATCTTCATCCTAAGAGTAGCTCTTTCCCTCTTCCCGCCGCGAAGTGCCACTCTCCGCACCTTCCTCGGCCTTTCCGCTTTCTAGATGATTTCCCTCCCCCACCCCGCATCGGCCCTACTCAAGATGATTTCCCCGATTCTACCGCTGTATCAGCCTGAAGCATTTCGTAATCACCACAATTTCCTCCCAACATCATTTCTCTGCCGGCAAGCTCCTTTCATTGCCTCACGTCATGGTTTGCGAAACTCGTAATGGTGTTGTGCGGCACAAAGGTTTGGCTGAACGGCTTCGTCCCTCGATCCGGGTATGTTAGTTTCCGTTGTCTCGCGTTTGCTCCCGTTGGAAGCTGTTTCCACATCCCTGCCCTTCCCATACATACTCTCAGAGGATATACGCTTGGTTCACTCCCTGGCTCACTCATCTCCAATCATCGCGTCACCTTTCGGTCCTCGGTGTGAGCACCGCGGATCGGCCTCCGGCGATTGCCTTGTCACCATCCTTGGAACACCACCTAAATACCATGCACACACCGCGTGGCCAGTCGGCCGTTATCTGTGCCAATCGGGCGGTTTCAGCATGTGCAAGAGTCCCAATAAAGTCGCACTCTGCCGCTGTTGCACACGAGCCTTTTTCACTAAAGACGCCCTCGTAACTCTTGGGGTCCGTTATTCGCCGCCACCAAAACGCCCAACCATGAGGAGATGCAAGCCATTGCTTGGTGCATACCTAATGCCAAAGAAAGTAGAGGTGGGCCTAGACCGAATCTGGCTATAATAGTCACTTCCTGGCGTTTCTCATGGCGACCGGCTCTTGAGATTCGGTTCGCTTCCTGGCTGGGGAGTGTTCCACTAATCCTTGGTCATTATAAGGCTTTCATATCGATATTGTTTGATATTATCAAGGGTCGATAGAGTATAGCGAGCTTCAGCTGGTCTACCCCATCCCGATATAAGCCTGACAGGTGGCTGCTGAAAGGCCAGGGAGTTGTATCAGCTCCCGTATAGGAAGGCCCACCCCTAGGCTTCGCTTCCATGGCGAGCATTTGGCACGGCAGAGTTCTAGAATTGTGTATCCGTTTGGATGTTCACGACGCCGAGGGCGTGCTCAGCCGTCGGGATTCCCCGTATACACTGGTCTTACCATAGTATCACATGCCCTATGTACACTGTCGGTGCACACAGGTAATGCCAAGGGCAACCGGCAGTAGAGTCGGGTCCTTCCCGAGACAGGCGATCTCCCGACAAAGGGGTCATTTGCGATATAACTGTAGACGATGTGAGTGTAGAAATAACCTCTAAGCATATATTTTGTCAGCATACAACATGATCACACAATATAAAATTTCAAATATAATGTCCTGGGAATGAAAAAGCTAGGCGGACTGTCGTCGTTGTGAATACAGGACATGGCATTTGTAAAGTACATCAAATGGTAGAGGTGTGTATTAACGCCTGCAAAAGCCCCCCTCTGTTATGAACTCTCTAATGGTTTGTTATTTCCCCCTCGAAGACCAAACCCGTGTCTTCTCCCACTCTTCCGTGCTGCGACGACAATACCTCATCTTTATCTGCCGACGAACCTTTCGAACCTGGCAGCCATTCGAGTGACGAAGTCGAAAATTTGTGCGCTACCAGCCGGCCTACGGCACTTGATCTAAAGCCACGCATGACTAAAGGTGCCATCGTTCTAGGTCCATCGGGGCTCGTGCTTTCCCGTTTTCTATTGATGTGTAGAAGATTACACTGTGAATTGGATCTCGAACCCAATGAACGAGATGACTGTACTTGTTGAGTTCAGTTGCTCTGGAAAAGATGAAGGATATCAGATGGCTATGGAAAGAACGCTCTAATCTTGGCAACCTTGGTAACTGTCACAGAAGGAACGAAGATAGGGTCGTTACTTCCATTCTTGCCCGGTCATTCCTTTCCCCTGAAGTCGATTGCTCTTTCCCTTTGTAGCCCGTCGTTCCGTCCTTAGTCAATGGTCGTTCCTTCCCCTTCGAGTAGGTTGCTCTTTCTTTTCCGAGATCTTCTGGAGCTGATCGCCCTTTCCTTCTCGAGTCGGTCGTTCCTACTTCATTTAGTCGATCGTTCTTCACTTGGTCGTTCGTCCTTTCCCTATTTAATAGTATTAAAGATGGGGATAAGGTATAATGGAAGTCCTGATGCAGAAAATCCCCCCACATGAGTCTACAGAGTGGCCGCTATATGGGTTGATAAATTGGAGGCTCTGTCACCCAAGGCTTCGGGGTAAAAGTATTCATTCGTTCGTTTACACGGAGACAACAGAAAGATCCAGATATACTCGCTGAGATACGGAGTAGGGACTTGGTCTGCACGCAATGCTTTACACGGCAAGCCTGCATACGAATTCTTGTCTCCAACAGTTACTGCTGCCACCACCGTCGAATTCTCGTCGCAAGAACTGCCGCTGCCGCAGACGAATTCCTGCCACAAGAAACTGCCACCGCAAATCTGCGTCCCTGTCACAAGCTGTCCACAGAATCATCACCAGGAGAAAGGCGTCGGTAAGATTGCGGTAGCGCGGAGACTGGGTGGCCTGGTGTTCTGGCGTTCTCTGTTGGCTATCCGTATAGTATAGATCAAGTCGATGGCCTCGGCGCCTCTGACGCCGGGCGATGGTCATTGTAGGCCTACCAACAGTGAGGCGTCGGCAACAGTCTTCATAGGCCGCGAAGAATTGCATCTTTAACTGGTAATTAGAAATCGCACGCATCCTAACTAATATCCCAAAGGTGTTGGTTCTGATGGGTTTCCAACCCAAGTGGCAAACCTCGCAAACTAGGGGTGACTAAAGTCTTCACATAGTCTCGTCTGTAGGCTGAGATGTTGCTCTTGGGAGCCTAACAGCACATCTACCCCAACATCAACCTGCCGATCTACAACCTCGATATCCTTCTACCACCCAACCCCGGAAGAATTCCTCTGCCTGCAGCCTCTTCCATAGGGCCACATAAACCGCGCAGCCCTAACTCCTCCCCTCATAGGTCAGATTCACACGATGCCACAGCACCACGATCCACACCCTCACGAATCAAGTAGACAGACATCATACCACATACCATCGCCACAAATCACCAGGACACATCAGAGACCAGGTACTGACCACCCCCAACACGGATCACAAACATCAAAGACAGTCAAGGAGACGAACAAAATAATCGAATAAATCCATGCAATGCATTCTATCCCCACCCACCATATGATATGTTACGCGTATCTACAAACCACCCTCAAGTCTACATCCCACCCCTCATGCACCCATTACCCCTCTCCGCCCCCTTCAAACCATCCACTCTTTACACCTTCACATCACCTCCCCTCCCCCCCACCAGCAACAACAGCCGCCCCAACAGCAGCCCCAAGCAACGAGCTCTCCTCCGCCAAACACAACTCTATCCTACCCTGCCCCTCCCCACACAACTCATCCAGCGCCTCCTGCGCCCCCTGTCTAAAGCCAGGATAAAACTGAATCACCGCGCCCGCGCACGCAACCACCGTGTCCTCCCTCACAGCAGCCGCCGCCGGCGCCGCCGCCGTAATCGTTCCCTCCATCACCCGCTCAATAAGCTCCGCTTTGCTCGGCACAGCCACGGCAGCCGCGCCATCCCTAACAACTCGTAACGCGTAAATCGACGCAGCAACCACCCTCGCCGCCCTCGTCGCCACAGCCCCAGCAATCTGCCTCAACGCCTCCCCATCACCCTCCACAATCCCGAGACCGAGATTCTTCCACTCCCCAACCTGCAGCTTAGCCAACACCTCGCTGTCGAGACCGTAACCCCTCTCCCACCCCTTCGGCAGCGCCTTGGCGTCCGCGAAGAGAACACCGCGCTCGAATCCCTCGACGATGACGAGACGTGCGACTTCGCCCAGGTAGCGGCCTGAGACAAGCATCTCGAGGGGCTGGAAGCCAGGCAGCGCGTGTGCGGCGTCGAGGGCGGTGTCGAAGCGGGTTACTGGCAGCACGCCCGCGCCGAACATGCTGATCTCTGTGTTTACGATCACATGATCATGCGGCGGAAGCGCCGAGCCCATGCTGACGGACGATCCCGGCGACGTGGATAGCGACGGTGGTGAGGTGGGAGGGGATGCGGCACTGTTGATATTGCGCAGGGCGAGTTTGCCGGCTACGAGGGAGGTGGGGAGGTGCACGGCGATGTTGACGCCGGTGCCGAGGATGAGGCCGTAGTGCGTGTTTGGCGTGCTGTAGGCGCGCGAGAGGAGAGTGGAGGCGGCGTCGTTGACGGTTGCGGTGAGGGTTACCGGGAGATGCTGAGTAGTGTTAGTTACGGATAGATATATAGTAGGACAGCAGAGGGAGAGACATACCCGCCGGTCACAAGCGCCCTGTAAAACATCTGCCAGATCCGCCCCTAGAAGCCCCTCCATCGCTCTAAATCCCTTGCCCATCCCATGGATCTTCCCACTACGCAACGACGTGTGCTCAATGGGAAAGCTCCAGGACAACCCCATATCCATCTTCGCCATCTCCTCTCCCTCCTTCGTCTCTCCTAGCACCTCCCTCAGCGTCTCCTCAATCCTCTCAGCCAACCACTCAAAAAACGCAATCCCAACACGCTGCTTCACCACATCATCGATCTTGAACGTCCTTGCCCCGCGCACAACACTCTCATCCCCCTCGCCCTCGCGCCCAAACAACTCCAGCACCGCAACGCGGAACGTCGACCCGCCAACATCAAGCGCGACGTAGCGCCCCGTTTCTTCGCCCGACGGCAACACATGGCTGTAGCTAGGCAGCATACACGCCGGGTTCTCGCGCAGCGCGATCACGTACTGGGCCTGCAATCCATCAGCGAGGCGGCGCAGGCCCGGCGCGTCGAGGGCCGCGAAGAGGGACTCGATCTCGGCGGCGTAGGCGGCGGTGGGGGAGAGGGAGAGCGCGGGCCGCAGGGACCGCAGGAAGGTGGCGAGGAGGGCGTGCATGCGCTTCGTGCGGCGCAGGAGGGCGCGCAGGGCCGACAGGAGCGTGGTGTGTAGGGTCATTATCGCGGTGCGGATGCGGTGGGCGAGGGATGGGGTGGTCGGTGGGGTAGGGACGGAGGTCATGGAGGCATAGGTATATAAAGGGCCGGGTTGGGGGGAGGGGGGGGGTTGAGGCGCGCGCGCACGGCGGTGGTGGCTGGAACGTGGGATAGGAGGGCGGCGCGGCTGAAGGGGGCAATGGCCGCGGTGAGGGTAGGGTGAGGTGAGGTGAGGTGAGGTTGCAGAGGCCGAGATGGGTTCGGGGTAGGTCAGGACGGAGGATGTCTCGTATGTTTTCTGGGGCGCGGTGGATCGGGCCCAATCACAGCGAGATCAGTTCGGCGATGGTCCGTAGCAGATGGGCTCGTGTGTGCGTATGTAGTAGATTGTGGGGTGATCGTAGCGCGCGCGCGTTTGTGCGAGTACGTAGGTAGGGGAAAGCACGAGGTTGTAGGAGGGTTGGGTGTGGAAGTGGATGTGGGAAGGAGCGGATGAGGTTGAGGCTACACGACGACGAAAGCAGCCTGCCTCCACATTCTCTGATTGTCTCTCTTTTCGCCCTCGGAGCTTCTCTCTCTTTTCGATCTCGCCGTGGCAGATGCAGGTGGAGCTAGGGGAGATGAGACAGGTGTGATGGGAAGGGGGGGGGGGCAATAGAGAGGGCTGATGGGACTGAAGGGGGAGGGCACGCAATTCGAGCAAGACCCTCCAGCGGCAGCAACGAGTGGTAGTATAGCGTGGGGTAGGAGGTAGCAGAGAGGAAGTAGTAGTAGTATAGAAGGGCAGATTAAAGGTTGCAAGCTAGAAATAGTAATGGGGAAGGTAGGAAGCCAGACCAGCCAGCCGGAGAGACACGCCAGAGACAAACAAGAGTCGATCTGAGTCGTGTTGTAGTAGAGTTTGTAGTAGTGTGATGTGGATAGTAGTATAGTAGTATGTGAGGCGTGTATGGGGGGCGTGTATGGGGGGCGTGTATGGGGGCAGCTAGTGGTAGTAGAGTAGAGTAGTGGTCGCAGAGGCGTTGTAGTAGGAGGTACGTACCGCGCGTCCACAGCCAGGGCAGGTGTTGTTTAGTAGGTAGTTAGTAGTGGGTGCATCGCAGCTTCCATGTCGAATTATGCCAATCATAAGCCATTATAAGCCCTCCAAGGCCAAACAAGGCCATACAAATCCCATCCTTCCTTCTCAAAAACATCCATGGCCCTGTCGTTTCTTCTTGTTCCTTGTCGTTCCTTGTCTCCATCTGCTCTTCCCCACCATGTCCGTAGCGGCGGCACGTAGCTATACCCTGTATGAGCCGAGTGCTACATTACTGAAAAGGGGAATAATGGATGGCACTTAGGATTGATTGAGGATTGGGGTATTTTTGTCGTATTTTTTTATCTCTTTTTGGGTGTATTTTGTCATGTTTTTTGTGGATTTTCTTGTATATTTCTTCAGTCTTCGGATTGATGGGTGCTGGGTACTATCGATATGTAGCAGTGGTATTCGTAGGCTATAGAGTATTGATACTCGTAGTCTTCGTCGTGGTACTCGTTCTTCATAGTAGTACTCACTCGTCTTGGAGTAATGATACTCGTAGTTCCTCATAGTGGTACTCGTCTTGGAGTAATGATACTCGAAGTTCTTCATAATTGGTACTGGTCACTCAATCACCCACTTTAGGCCAGGGACCCAGGGAGGGAGAGACCGCAGATTGTGGATATGGTGCCTGTCTCTGTCTCTCTCCTGTCTGTCTGGTCTCCTGCCTCTTGTCTCCTCCTGGCGGCTGTGTCCTTCCTGTCTCCTACCTGCTCGGTAGGTCAGCCTCTCCCGTGCATACTGTGCATACTGTGCATACTGCGCATACTCGCACATACCACAGCACAGTGGCATTTGTGCTGGTGGTAGCACTGTACTGGCAGCACAGGCAGGTGCTCACTGTTGGTTCAGACAGACGCCTCTCTGGGACAAGCCAAGAGATGCATGGAGGGTACATGCCAGTGGGGGCTGTTCCACAAGGAAAGGAAGGTACTTAGCATGCAGATTGGCAGCGATTGTTCGTCGTCGGCGGCTGTCTCCATCGACGGGTGATTTGTGAGTGGTGGTGAGTGGATTCTGGTGGTTGGTGGCAGGTGTTTGTGGGTGGTGATAATCATAGATTTCCATAATTTTGGTATGTTTTTGGTGGAGTTTAGGAAGGAATGACCCCTGTTCCTGTGTGTTTCCTGTGGTACTAAAATCTAAAATGGTGGTAGGTGGTAAGCTGCAACGTTCCATCTGCCATCCGTCGCCGCGTCCATCAGAATCTAGTTGGTGTATCTACCAGGGTGGTCTATCGGAAGAAGTACCTTCTCTAGTAAAGTACATTGGGTGTCATAGTATATTACCACAGAGGCAAAGTATATCTCTAACCACACTACTTCCATTACCACAGCACCACAGCATTTCTACTACTCCCTCCTGCGGGTGGAACACCGGCGCCGGTATTGGAGTAACAGTAACGATGCTACAGTACAACCACAACCACAACCACAACATCTACATCCACAACATCCACCTCCACCACCACACAACAATCCACCAACAAACAACGGCTCCAATTGAGATTGACGAGCCGTTGACGACCAATTCGATGCCAATTCCAAGATTGGCAGTGGCAATCTATAGGCTGTGAGTCCACAACAACAGACCACAACTGTGGCGACGACATCCAGAAACCACAACTCGTGGAAGAATTCCATGGCCCCCCCATCCATCTCGCTCCCCACGCTCGTCCCATTCCCACTCCCACCAGCCAAGAGCTAACCGTCTCCATCCAGAACCACCAGACTACCACTGCAACATCTCAAAAAAAAACATTCGCCGCATCCGGCCCGACGACCTGGCTCTAATCCGACCCGCCGCGGACTGAGACTTTACCCTGCCTAAAGTCTCAAAGAAGCCAGAGGAGAGATAGGACGTGACTGACGGCGGGTGGGTGACGCCTGATATGAATGACCCTTACATAAGTCCTGTTTATGCTCTCCGGACGAAACACCGACGCCGCCGAAGCTAAAGTATGGAAATTATAAGCCGACGATACTACGAAGTACGTCTATCTACCCGACACCATATGTCCCTACCCGACAGATACACAAGAGGAAAGGCCGAGGGGCTCTTAAATCAAGAACCTCTCATACAGATACAGAAGAGGGAAAGGCCGAGGTACTCTTGGATCAAGAACCTCTCATCTTTCCTTCTAAGAACAAGTCCATCCCTCTCGGAATAAGTCCCTCCCTTTCGCCCCTTCCTCCATCCGGCGGTAGTCCCATCCCATCCCGCACACCCCGACCAAACACCCCGTCATCCCATACAACGTCAACTTTCAAAGGCAGGCAGGCAGGTGATATCCCCCCTCCCCTCCCGCCACTCCCCATCCCTCACAAATATACCTCCCCCAAACCTAGGGTGGGGAAAACCCCCGGGAATTGGAGAAACATCTCCCCCCTACTCCCGACGCGGGGCAACAGTGACGTTCCATACAACCACCCACCACCACCACCACCATCGTCACCACCACATCCCCCATCCACCCATCCCACACTCCCCAAATCCCCGACCGAACCACGCCTTCGCCGACGGAAACGTCGGCGCGGCGCTTCGGTCGGTGGTAGGGTCGTACTTTTCTGTACTGTACCATACTCTGTAGTAAGTAAGTAGTAGCCACGCCACGCCTGGTTCTACGTAGCGTAGTGTCAGTGAGGTAAGGAAGGTGGAGTGAATGGCCACAGACCTGTCCACGAGCCGGCGGGGAGGGCGGGGACTGGAGGGTAGATATGCGATGAGGGTCCCGCCGGGGTGGTCGGATGGGTATTTTATTTTCTTTCATATACCTTATCCTATACTTTCATACGTAGTTTTTTTTGTTATATGAAGTAATATCGTGAGAAGAGGCTTTTGTCTCAGTTAATATACCGCCTACCAACCTACCTACTACCTACATACATACCTGCTGAGCTGTCCAAGATCTATCTCGAGCTGGCTCTACGAAGATAAACTGCTGCTGCTGCGTCGTTCATCTATCATCCTCTTATCTTCGAACCAAATCGACCGACCTACCTATCTACAACTTCACAAAGCACAACCGCAGCCATGCGTCTCATTATCCGCGAGAATCCGGACTCAGCGTCGGAGTATATCGTCAACTATATCATTAGTATGCCTCACTCCATTCTCATTTCACCTCATTCCCTGCGGCCAGTTTACTCTTACCCTCGCGCTCACTTCCGCTGCCTCATTCTCACTTCTCCAACCTCACTCCCTCACTCCAATCCGACTCACATTCCCCAACTCTCACTTCTCCCACCTCACTCCCTTCCCCAATCCAAACCTCACTTCCCTTTCACATCCCACCCTTCCACAGCTCAACCCAACTAACACACACCCCACAGACAGAATCAAACACTTCAACCCCACCCCGCAACACCCCTTCGTCCTCGGCCTCCCCACCGGCTCCAGCCCAGTCGTTATCTACCGCCTCCTCGTCGCCGCCTACAAAGCCGGCCGCATCTCCTTCGAGAATGTCGTGACCTTCAACATGGACGAATACATCGGCATCCCCGCCGCCCACCCCTCCTCCTACCACTCCTTCATGTACACCCACCTCTTCGCCCACGTCAACATCCCCCCCCAAAACATCCACATGCTCTCCGGCACCGCCCCCAACCTCGAAGCCGAATGCCTCGCCTACGAAGCCGCCATCCGCTCCGTCGGCGGCATAGACCTCTTCCTCGGTGGCATCGGTCCAGACGGACACATCGCCTTTAACGAGCCCGGGTCGTCCCTCGCGAGTCGCACCCGCGTCAAGACGCTGGCGTATGATACTATTCTCGCGAACGCGCGCTTCTTCGGAGGGGATGTGGAGAAGGTGCCTAAGATGGCACTGACGGTGGGCGTGCAGACGGTGCTGGAGGCGAGGGAGGTGCTGATTGTTATCACTGGGGCGCATAAGGCGTTGGCGTTGCAGAGGTGTATTGAGGGGGGTGTGAATCATATGTGGACGCTTTCGAGTCTGCAGTTGCACCCGCACCCGATGATTGTGGTTGATGAGGATGCGACACTGGAGTTACAGGTTAAGACTGTGAAGGTTCGTTCCCTCCTTCCCCCTTCCCCATTTGTCCCAAACGACTCTTTCCCACTCCGCCCACCCCCCTGTTGAGACCAACCCGTTGACGATGACACGCAGTACTTCAAATCCATCGAAGCCGTCGCCGCCTCCCAAGGCTTCGAGCAGATCCTCCCCTCCGCCGCGCGCACCGGCCCCCGCCCCCCTGCCATCGACGCCCACTACGTCAACGGCGCCAACGGGATGACCACCAACGGCACCGTCCCCACCAAGCTCGCGCCCACCATCCTGGCTCCCCAGCCGACGACGAGCACGCTGCTCAGCGCGCCGGCGACGGATTATCCGGTGAGGAGCGTGACGCCGGAGTTGGTGCCGGATAGTATGGCGAGTAGGATTGAGGGGGCGGCGAAGGTGGAGTTGAAGGGGGAGCTGGAGGTGGATAGTATGGCGTCTAGAATTGTGGCGTAAAGGGTGGGAGGGGAATGGGGGGAGGGGGAGAAGAATGGAGGGAGGGAGAGGGGAAGGGAGAGAGCGATGAAGGTAGTGGAAGCTGAATGAACGGACGGAAAGGGGCAGATGACTGAATGCGTTGATGCGCGGCTGGACGGACATTTTCTGTAGATATGATAACTTACCTGTTAATACCCTACCGTTCCCTCTGCTGTGCAACACCGTGATAATATTGAAAAGCCGTATATGCTGTGGAAGCAATGATGTCTGCAGAAGACGTGTAATTATCTCTGTGGCCGCCATCAAGAAGAGAGGATGCGACGAGGGAAAACGTGGGTGGAGCGTGCGGGATTGTGGCTTGCAGGAGGGAGAAGGGGGGGGAAGCGAGGGATCGGCGGGGAGGGGGAAGTTAGTTGAAAGGTACTTCGGCGTTGGTGGTGGTTTGGGTGGGAGGTGAGGTATTTTTTGGTTAGAGTTGATTTAGGAGAGGATAAAGGGAGAAAGGAGAGAGGTCAGAATAATAGAGTCAGTCGTTGGTATTATAACATTGAGGAAGCCACGTTAGTGTTGTAGTTGCTGCAGTTGTTGTAGTTCTTATAGTCGTAACTTCCCTGTCTTGCCTGTACTCTACTGTGCTATAATCTCACACCCTCGTATCTTTGCCTTCCACATCTTCAACCTCAAATTCAAGCCTTCGCCCTCTCAACTACAACAACACCTATCCAATATACCACCCCATGTTATACCGCCTACAACCTCCAGCCCTTCGCCGTGAGGGTGTACGAGTAAGTACGCACAGCATATCCCCATCACACACACCGCACAGGGCATCCCTATCACACCCACAGTGCTACAGGATATCACAATCACACCGCATCTTCTTTCTGCACGGCATTACCGCATCTGCCGCACAGCCGTCGTCTCCGGGTTCCCCGTGATCACGATGGAAGATGATATATCCCATACACAAGTTCGCGTCGCGTTGGAATATCCCTCTCCCCCCTTCTAGATCCTCATACTAATCACAAAGCAGGCCTCGCCGCTTGACTCACCATGCTCACCGTGCATGCCAAGCAAACATGGCTCATCCCTCCTTCCCAGGTCGTGGTTATGCTTGCAAGTGCCTTAGTGCCTTAACATCATCATCATCCCCACCATCGTCGACTGTTAATGGGCAAGATCTTTGACAATCCGACCCTACCAACGCCACTAAACCCTATGTGGCGCCCAAAAGCGTGTGAAAAATGCGGAAATGTGGTGGTTTCAGCGTGTGTTCGGCCTTCGCTTCGGCCTTTACTTGTCCAAAAATCACTATCCTCCACTAAGTGCCAACGACCATCCTTACGAACTTATTACTGTATTATACGTACTAACACTACTAGCACTCCCTGCGCCCCCACCGGCGTCTTCCAGGCATTCTAGCCCTCTCGGAAGCTCGCCTGCCTGCCCCAGGAGAGCTAGGGCAGACATCAAACTCCGCCAAATCACGCTCCGCTTAAACTGCGGCAGGAATAGACAGACGCCAAGAGGGGCCATGGAGGGGGGAGCGGAAGAATTGGAGGACACTAAATGGGACGAATACTCGGCGTACCCCACACTTGTACATTACCACTGACTACCCCAAATCTCGGATTTTACGAAGAAGGCGCCACCTCCCACCTTTTTGGCCTCTTCCCGCTCTGTTCTGTACTGTACGTATGTACGTCAAGCTGAAATGGGGAAGGTAGGGATGAGAGACGGTCAGTAAAAAGGAAGGAACGAACACCAAGCCACGGAAAGACGGCACTTGGGCATCTTGGCTTTTGCCTTCCTTCAATTTATACTCTACCTCCCCTTCCGCGGCTAACCTTTTCCACTGGCTCCCTTGTCCAGCGCGTTCCTGGGATTGGGACGCCATGTAATTGGGGTAAAATGGAAAAAGTTGATTTATAAGGCTCCCGTCAGGATCTCCACCATTTAGACTTTTCTTATCCCCGCCGCCGCCTGGCAGAATACTTAGCTCCCAGTCGTCGTATAGGTTGCTGGCCTTTCTTTTTTTACCCTATCTACTCTACTCCCCTCTCTCTCCTCTCTTTACCTCTTTACTTTCTTTCTCTCCCCCCCCTCCCCTCCTCATCCCCTCCCTTTCTCTCCCCGTCTCCTTCGTTTGGCATCTCATAAGGGCTAAGCCTCGCCCTCACACCACCACATACTGGTCTCACGATATCATTCTCACCATACCACCCGCCTTACAACATACCTACCGCCCTTAGTGAACAACACTCACTCTCGTCCAACCATCGGGCTCTCCCGAAATGGCAGACACCGCCATACTCCCCGTCTCCTCTGCGCCCTCCCGCTCCTCCTTCGAAACGGCAACCGACCCAGAGAAGCAGCGCGAGGCCGCCCGCAGCAGCAACCCGAATGGCTTCGTCCAGCCCACCAGCGGCGTGTCCGTCGCCGGCGCTGAAGCCGAGTTCGCCTCCCTCCAGAAGGAGCTGACGAACATCTCCCGCGTGGCCACGCGCAAATCCGAGGCTGGCGCCAAGGGCGAAAAGGACGTCGAGAAGGTCAGCTCGGCGAGCACGGTTAGCGAGCCCTTCGATCTCGAGGGCACGCTCAGGGGAAACAGAGAGGCAGACGAGGTTGCGGGGATCCGCGCCAAGAAGATTGGAGTGCTCTGGGATGGTCTGACCGTGAGGGGCCATGGTGGGGTTGCGAATTTCGTCAAGACGTTCCCGGATGCGTTTACGGACTTCTTTAATGTCTGGGCTACGGGGAAGCAGATTCTTGGTCTCGGGAAGAAGGGGCGTGAGGTCGATATCCTGAAGGGGTTTAGGGGGCTGGTGAAGCCGGGAGAGATGGTGCTCGTGCTTGGGAGACCGGGCAGCGGATGTACCACTTTCTTGAAGGTTATTGCGAATCAGCGCTTTGGATATACGGGCGTCGAAGGGGATGTGTTTTACGGATCCTTTGATGCGCAGACGTTTGCGAAACAGTACCGTGGAGAGGCCGTGTACAACCAGGAGGACGATGTGCACCACCCCACCCTGACCGTGGCCCAGACGCTGGCCTTCGCGCTGGACACGAAGATCCCCGGCAAGCGACCTGAAGGGATGTCCAAGGGGCACTTCAAGGAGCGCGTCATCCAGACGCTGCTGAAGATGTTTAACATCGAGCACACGGCAAACACGGTTGTCGGATCGGCCTTCGTCCGTGGTATCTCGGGCGGAGAGCGCAAGCGTGTCTCCATCGCTGAGATGATGGTGACGGGTGCGACGGTTTGCGCGTGGGATAACTCGACGCGCGGACTCGATGCGTCAACTGCCCTAGACTATGCTAAGTCTCTGCGCATCATGACCAACATTTACCAGGCTACTACTTTCGTTTCGCTCTACCAGGCCAGTGAGAACATCTACAAGCAGTTTGACAAGGTCCTTGTTATCGACAGCGGTAGACAGGCGTTCTTCGGCCCGGCGGACCAGGCGCGTGGATACTTCGAGTCGCTCGGCTTCAAGGAGAAGCCGCGTCAGACGACCCCCGATTTCCTCACTGGCTGCACCGACGAGTTCGAGCGCGAATACGTCGATGGTTGCGAGCCACACACACCAGAAACTCTCGCTCAAGCCTTCACCGATTCCAGCTTCTCAGAGTCCCTCACCACCTCCATGGACGCCTACAAGGCCTCCCTCGAGCCTAACCGTCAGAGCCACGAGGACTTCCGCGTCGCTGTCACCGAGAGCAAGCGCGGTCGCGGCACTGCTCACTCCGTCTACTCCGTCCCCTTCTACATGCAGGTCTGGGCTCTCATGCGCCGCCAGTTCCTCATCAAGTGGCAAGACAAGTTCCAACTGTGTGTGTCCTGGGGCACCTCCATTATCATCGCCATCGTCGTCGGTACCACCTGGCTCAACATCCCGCAGACAAGCGCCGGCGCCTTCACGAGGGGAGGAGTGCTGTTTATTAGTTTCTTATTCAATTGCTTTCAAGCTTTCGGCGAACTGGCGAGCACTATGCTCGGCAGGCCGATTGTCAATAAACATCGAGCGTATACATTTCATCGGCCCAGTGCTCTATGGGTAGCCCAGATCGCGGTCGATTTGTCGTTTGCGGCAATGCAGATCTTCTTGTTCTCGCTGATAGTTTACTTCCTGTGTAACTTGGCGCGGGATGCTGGCGCATTCTTCACGTTTTATATTGTTATTGTGCTAGGGTACTTGACGATGACGTTGTTTTTCAGAGTCATTGGATGCTGGTATGTAGACTTCGATTTAGATCCGTGTTTTTCTGCTTTGCTGACTTTGTGGATAGCTGCCCTGATTTCGATTATGCTATCAAATTCGCCGTCATCACGATCACGTTCTTCGTCCTTACCACTGGGTATTTGATTCAGTACGAGTCCCAGAAGGTCTGGCTGCGTTGGATTTTCTGGATTAACCCGTTCGGTCTCGGCTTCTCATCTCTCATGGCCAACGAATTTAGTCGCATAGACTTGACCTGCACAGGCCAGTCCTTGATCCCCAACGGACCGGGTTATGGAAATATCAGCCACCAAGTCTGCACGCTCGCTGGCAGTATCCCGGGGAACCCTATCGTCTCTGGCAAGGACTACATTCAAACATCGTTTGCATATAACCCGAGCGACCTTTGGAGAAACTTCGGCATACTCGTTGTTCTGAGCGCCTTCTTCTTAACTGTTAACATCCTCACGGGCGAGTTGCTGAACTTCGGCGCTGGCGGAAACGCGGCAAAGACCTTCGCACACCCAACGAAAGAGACCGACGAGCTGAACGCGAGTCTCATCGCCACCCGCGAGGCGCGACGCACTGGCAAGGGCGAGGCAGCGAGTTCGGACCTCAAGATCGAATCCAAGGCCGTCCTGACCTGGGAGGGGCTTAACTATGACGTGCCGACTCCTTCTGGACAACTGCGCCTCCTGAACAACATTTACGGTTACGTCAAGCCTGGAGAGTTGACTGCTCTGATGGGTGCATCGGGTGCAGGCAAGACGACGCTTCTCGATGTGCTCGCTTCGCGCAAGAACATTGGTGTCATCTCCGGTGACGTCCTGGTCGATGGTCTGAAACCTGGCACTGCATTCCAGCGCGGTACTTCTTATGCGGAGCAATTGGATGTGCATGAGCCGACACAGACTGTTCGTGAGGCCCTGCGCTTCTCGGCTGATCTCCGCCAGCCTATCGATGTCCCGCGGTCCGAGAAGTATGCTTATGTCGAGGAGATCCTGTCTCTGCTTGAGATGGAGGATATGGCCGATGCTATTATTGGACACCCCGAGAGCGGGCTCGCTGTTGAGCAGCGCAAGCGCGTTACAATTGGTGTTGAACTTGCTGCCAAGCCAGAACTGCTACTCTTCCTCGACGAGCCGACATCTGGCCTCGATTCTCAATCTGCTTTCAATATTGTGCGTTTCCTGAAGAAGCTCGCGGCTGCGGGCCAGGCTATCCTCTGTACCATCCATCAGCCAAACGCTGCTCTCTTCGAAAACTTTGATCGTCTTCTTCTGCTTCAACGTGGTGGACGTTGCGTCTATTTCGGCGACATTGGCTCGGAGGCCACGACTCTTCTTGATTACTTCCACCGTCATGGCGCCGATTTCCCTGCCGACGCCAATCCCGCAGAGACCATGCTCGACGCCATCGGCGCTGGCCAGGCCGCGCGTGTCGGCGATCATGACTGGGCTGACATCTGGGCCGAGAGCCCTGAACTCGCCACCGTCAAGGCACAGATTACAAGCATGAAAGCGACGCGGATGGCTGAGGTTGGCGCTTCGACCGAAACCACCGATTCGCGCGAGTTCGCGACGCCTCTGATGCACCAGCTGCGGATCGTCCAGGCCCGTACGAACCTCTCGTTTTGGCGGTCGCCGAACTACGGCTTCACGCGCCTTTTCAACCACGTCGTCATTGGCCTTGTGACGGGGCTGACCTACCTCAACCTCAACTCGTCGCGCGCGTCGCTCCAGTATCGTGTCTTCGTCATGTTCCAGGTCACCGTGCTTCCCGCCATCGTGCTCTCGCAGGTCGAGCCCAAGTATGCCATCTCGCGCACCATCTTCTACCGCGAGTCTAGCTCGAAGATGTACTCGCAGTTCGCCTTTGCCACCTCTCTCATCGTGGCCGAGATGCCTTACTCCATCCTCTGCGCAGTCGCCTTCTTCCTCCCGCTTTACTATATGCCGGGCTTCTCATCGGAACCTACGCGCGCGGGATATCAATTCCTCATCACCCTCATCACGGAGCTCTTTTCCGTTACCCTCGGTCAGATGATCGCAGCTCTCACCCCATCCCCCTACATCGCCGTCCTCCTCAACCCCTTCGTCATCATCACCTTCGCCCTCTTCTGCGGTGTCACTCTCCCTCCTCCTGCCATGCCCGCTTTCTGGCGCGCCTGGCTCTACGAACTCGACCCCTTCACCCGCCTCATCGGCGGCATGGCCGCCACCGAGCTCACTGGCCGCGAGGTCGTCTGCGCCGCTCGGGAACTAAACCGCTTCGTCGCCCCCATTGGGCAGACGTGCGGCGAGTACATGGCTGATTTCTTCAAGGCGGGCGGCATGGGTTACCTCGTCGACGAGTCGGGGAGCAACTGCGAGTTCTGCGCGTTTAAGAATGGGGAGCAGTTCCTGCAGGGGATGGAGATGCATTGGTCGAATCGCTGGAGGGATTTGGGCATTTTTGCGGCGTTTATCGTTAGTAATATTGCGATTTTGCTGGTTGCTGTGAGTTTTTTCCCTGTTTCCCTGTCTAAACTGTCTATGGAGGAGGATGCTAATGTGTGATGATTATAGTCGAGATATCTGAATTTTAATAGACGGTAAGTGGACTGAGATTTGAGGCGAGAGGCGCCTATTATACAAAGTAATACAGTACAACATGGTACGGGACCGACCGGAGGAGACAAAGGCGGTACAGTAAGTAAGAGGATATATTTAAAATGGTGGGATGGGATAGGATGGGGTTCATAACATATATGGCCATATTAAAAGAAAGACTTCCTGGTTGGGAAGCGGAGACTGAGACAGTTGGATAATTTTATTTTAGATTTTGGGGGGTTATATGGTGGTGGTATGGTTCATTAAGACAATATATATAGATATTTGGATTTAAAAAGAGAAATATAACAAAAATAACGAATATTGGCCTTTGGTTTTATTGGGTTGGTTGGTGGGTTTTGAAATGCTATATAACCGTGCGAAGCTCTTGCTTCCAGGTCTCCATACAACAAGAGGAAGACTGTGTTCAGAAATTGTTTAAAAGAGAGTGAGAAGCCGCTTCAAAAACCATTACGCATAGCCCCGTTCGTGTCGCAGAGGAACCGCTGTATCGGCGTTCAATATTTTGAGGATGGGAAAGGGTGGATTGCGAGAAGTGGGTGTGTTGGAACGGTGACAGGAGAGTGTCGGCGACGACATCTAATATCGGTGGCTAGGTGGTAGCTGGTAACAAACAAAGACAACTTCACGGATGGGGCATTCCACCACCTTCATCCTCATCGTCAGATGAGACCACACACTCGGGGCCTCCGTCGCCCTGCTTTATTCAAACATTCGTATCGTCCCAAGCAACTCGAATCTAACCTTCTCTAGACCTGTTGTATCTAGATAGTCCCCACGTCGGCAACGCCCGCCTGTTATTCCTGGCCTTCCCATCTAACGTAGAGCCGCGAAGGTGATAGAGGATCAAGAGGGTTATCTTATAATTAGATGTGAGAGGTCATACGGGGGAAGGCGTCGGATGGAGGAACGGGTCAGGAAGTGATGAAGTGGAGTTGGTCACAGAGAGAAAACAGAGTGGTCTTTGCCGGGCGCCAGGGAAGGGGACCAGGCACTATTTCAGAATTATAGTATATAAGCACCCAAGAGTCTTCACTTTTCATGCTATGCACAGGAGCGAAAAGTTTCGTGGCCGCGTACGTACGTGGGGTGGGTGTTGGGTCATTATCATTACATGCTGAGCGGTGTGTGAGCTGGATATAATGTTGGCTGCATGATAGTTTTGGGTGGAAACGGGGTGGATCCTGCGAGAAGTGGATGTTAGTTAGAACGGTGACAGGAAAGTGGTGACGGTGGTGATACCGGTAGCGAGGAGAGTGACGACAGGAATCAGCAACGACAGGATTAGTCGGGAAGCTACAGCCGTCAGTGATGCTGCAACTTTCACTGGTATGACGGTAGGATGTAGGATGTATTATTTTGAACTCGCATATCATGGTTCCTACATTCTCCTCCATATGTCCCATATGTTACACCATTTTCCTTAAGGGTAGGACTTGCTTGGCTGACTGCTATGGCTCTCTTAAATATGCGTAGACGATGGTCGGAATCCGTAATGGGCTTATTTCACCGTCGCTTGAAGTATTATGGATTCAGAGGTGGGGTATATGAGGGGTGGATGAAAAAAGGGGAAAGATAAAGGGATAGGAGGGGATATAAGGGATATTTTTGCGGCAAGGGTGATTTGCTGGTACGAAATTTTGATATGAAAGCGGCCTATAAGACCTAGTTCACTCAGTGTACGATAATACAGAACCGAGGGTAACAGTGAGGGTTGGTGTGCCGGTACGGACTGAGCAGCGCTTGCGGAGAGAAACTGATCTACTATTTGACGAGCGGAAGAGGGATGAGCTAGATGAAAAATGAGTAGCATAATAATAGCATCAGGAATCAACGGTGACGGTGGTAGTATCGGTGGTGGTTGGCGGGGTTGGCGGGGTCGGCGACAGGAATCACCGACAGTGGTGGTGATACTGTGATGATGGAGGAATGGCACGGCTGTGAGTGATTCTAAGAGGTTCGTAGGCAAGATCATACATATGATATCTTCTTCCTCTACGCGCTGGAAGGCAACGCTCGCGATTACCTTTCTGTTTCTTGTATTTGCTGTCGATGGCTGGCTTTCAACTGTGTTTTATATTCCGAGGGAGCGAAACTACAGATGGAAACTCACACAAGCCAATTTACGAAGATAGGCTGGGAGAGATTTGTAGATATTCTTAAATTTTGTTTAATTTTGATCATATTTCCAGCCCAAATACATATATCATCCTCTCTGAGGTAATTCACAGCCAAGATCCGTAAACGAATTCAGCACCTTGAACCCCAAGGGCGCAATCGTCTCAAGTAATTGAGTAGGCACCTATTTTCAACGTTAGCTCTCACTCTCCACAAATCCGGACGGGGACTCAAACTCACCAGATCCAAATACGACGTCCAAGCCCTATGCGCCTTATTCTGCCTCACCCCCAACAACAGTAGCCCCTGCAACAGCACCCCATCCTCCTCACATCCCGCCCTCACAATGGGCGATAGAACGCCTCCCGCCCTCCCACCAACTAGATGCGGATGCCATTGCGACAACAGCGTGCTCGAACGACATAGCACAACCGTCCCAACAAGCCGTCCATCAGCCCTGCTCTTCGCCCTGACCACCCCGCACGCGTCCGCATCCGCTAAAGCAAGCGTATACAATTTATACTGCTCCCAGCTGCCATACGTAGAAATATGCGCCGCGACCTCGTCATCAAACGCGCCGAGGCCGTGGATTAAATCGAAATCGACGTGTAAGCGCTGCACCGCTTTGACGACCTGCTCCGGCGGCGACCAGTGATGCAGGTCCTGGATGATACAGCTCGCGAACTGGTGGGAGGACACCGTCACTGCGGGCGGGAGCGACGCGCCCAGCCACCTCCGCAGCCGGGGAACCGAACCCTCCGTGCTTGGCACGCCGGGGTAGATGGCGGGGATGCGCGTGCCGACCTTGATACTCTGGAGACCGGGACGGGTGGTTAGGGATCGGAGCGCTCGTTGGTACAGGGAGTGTCCGATGGAGAGGTTGCGCTTGCTCGGATCGACGAAGAGGGCGCCAATGTGGCCGATGGTGGCGGTGGCGTAGGTGGCGCAGAAACCGTAGAGTGCACCGGTGCTGGAGTTTCGGACGACGAAGTGAGCTTCTGCTATGGCGGGGTCTCCGAGAGAGAAGGATAGGGCGGTGGCGCCCCAGAGGGGTGACGGGGAGCCCGGGACTGAGGCTTTGGATACGGTCTGTATCAAGGTGTTGAGAGAGTTGACGTCTTTCTCGGAATAGGACTCCACCAGCCACGCTTGCCGGGATTTTTGGGCCTTTGCAACTTTCCGTAACGATCCAGGGAGACTTCCTTGGGGCCTCAGCTGTCCAAATAAGACGCGAACCAGGGCTTCCATGGCAGTTTCAGTAAAGTCATAAGTGCAAATATACGTCCCAATACTCTTATCTCGGGCGAAATCGTACGGAGAGGAGACCGATACAACGATGAGGGATTTCTTCTTCCCTGTCGGGGTTGGTAACGAGCACATCATCGAGACATGCTTCGTAAAACCTGACTGATATAAGTTTCGAGTTGCATCCGCAGTAACGATAATAATCGAGGATGCGCGCTCTATAAGATGTTCGTGTGTAGGTCTAACTCCGTTGGCGGTGTATGAGGTATGGAGGAGCTTTCCGCGCCGTTGGCGCGCCAGCTGTCTGCCAAGCTCTCTGAAAACACCCTCGCCAGACATGATAGATCCGCGGTCCATCCAGCGATCGTGGTCGATGGCTGTAGCTTTTCCCTCAGCGAGGAACTTTGTCGCAGCAGACGCTGGTAAGGGCTTCAGAAGCGGGGTAAGGAGAAGGAGATCTTCGCTCTCAGACATGGTATGAGAGAGTGGCAGGAGTTGGTTGTTGTCGCGCATGACTGTTATCGAGTTGTCATACGCTCTCGTCGACAGAGCAAGATGAGACTCGTGAAATTTAGATAGAAGCTTCAGACCCGGTGGGTTAAGGGCCTTTTCCCAAGATGTGCAGTTCGCCTTGAGCTTCAAGACCCGACGTAGTGATGTTCGCACTCGGTCAACTGAGACCATACCATTTTCGAGTCCGATTTTCAGTCCCGACAATGCTTCTTTTTGGACTGAAAACGAGCGGCAGAGCAGGACAAGATCGCAGCCAGCTTCTATCGCCATAACGCAGCCTCCTCGGAAGCCGATATCAACATTCAGCGCCTCCATTTCCAAGCACTCGGACACGACAACTCCGTTAAATCCCAAATCTCGCCGTAGTAGGTCGTCTACAACCTCTTTTGAGAGACAGGCATGCATGATATTCATGTCTTTATTATTGATAGCACAGCCGCCGACCATAATTGAATCGAGTCCTGCATTGATTGCGTTGCGGAACGGCACCAAAGCACCTAGGCTAAGCTGTTCCAGGGTTTCTGTAATGATTGGCATATCCAACGTAGATCCGAGAAACGTGAGGTTTCCGTATGAAGGGAAATGCTTCCCACAGGTCGTCAAACCCGCATCTTTGTATCCGTTCATGGACGCGATACCATATTGAGAAGCTTCATGAGGGTCATCACCTGCAGCTCTCACGCCAAGCGGCTGTATTTGAGCATTATTTAGAACATCTAGAACAGGACCAAGGATCATGTTGACTCCCACTGATGACACTTCCAGGGCAGTGGCATTTGCTACCTCGTATGCCAAGTCTGGCGATCCCGCAGCTGCGACACCCATAGCGCTCGGGTACTGGCATATGTACTCTTCGTCGTACAAGCTATTGACACCTCCGTTCTCCTGGTCAAGAGCAATAATCAGTGGAACGGGGTGGCCGGCGTCTCGGGCAATTATCTGGAGCTCCTGGGTGAGTCTCGCCGTGTCCGCGGCAGCTGAGAAGTCGTTAGATGTGTGACAATGAAGAAAAACTCAAGTATTTGGAAAAGAAGAAGAGATTCAGCCTACATTTGAGGTTTTTTGCTGTCAGGATGATAGATCCGAGGCCATAATCTGCGATGAGGGAACGGATCTGGGGCGTGACTTCCTCACCTTCCCATCCCATCATGAACAGCTGGCCCATAGCCCTGTGGTGGTCGTCAGTTCCGCATACACCATGAATAGTCTCAATAGAACAACTCACCGGTCCATGTCGTCCCATATTGGGTCCAAGTCCTCCTGGAACGCGGCCATGGTTGCGTGGTATCAATTGATTATCGAGATTAAAGTCGTATATTGAAGAAGTCAGGTGGGGTCTAAGCTGTCGCCGCCAGGCATGAGAGAGCACCGAGGCGGGAACATAGGCTCACGGGCTCCGGCACACGAGATCAGAGGTTATATAAGAAACTAGAAGGTACAATAAATCATCGTGAGGCCGTAAATATATGTTGTATAGGTAGTATAGCGGACAAATGGCGGTGTTTTTGACCCGATTGAGGCTCAAGATGGGGGGGGTCGGTTGGAGGTACCTAAATTTGTTTTGTTCTGTTCCACAGAGAGTCGGTGGTTCCGTGGTATCGTGGCCTGTGGTTGACGAGTGGAGAAAAGAGGTGGAGGAGGGTTAGAAGGGGGGGGGTAGGGGGGGGTGGAGGAGGAGGAGGAGGGTGGAGGGAGGTGGAGCGTCGGGGAAAGGATGTCGGCAGCCCTGATAAGAAACAGACGCTAACTAAGCACTAAACTGGGGCGCTGTGGTGGTTTGTCACAAGGATATCACAGGGTCATCACAGGGGGGTCACAGGGATGCACACGCTAACTTGTCCACTAATGACCTGCTAATTAGCTGCTAATGAGGTACTAACAGAGTACAAATCCACTACTAATCCACCGCTCGTCCAGCGCCCAACCGAGGGCCAGTCAGGTGCTAAAATGCTAATATAACCTGGGGAAATGGAGAAAACGGATAGGAACACACCAAGTACTCCACGAGTACTCGACTACTATTCGACTACCAAGCATCCCCAACCACAATCCACAATCACAACCGCTTCTCGGTATCCCCCGCAGCACCGAAAAGCCATGAGACCTTCATCAACAAACAATTCTACCTCCATATCCATCCCTCAACCACCGCAATTATATACTCTTCTACCCAACTACTGCGATCGCATGCTAGAGTACCGTGCGATGGTGAGATGGCAGGCTACGATGGGTTGAGCATGTCGTCGCAGCCCTCGGTGGATGTCATGCGTCTTCCTCAGGGAGCTGGCGACAATTCCGAGGCATACAGCCAGGCCTCTGACTTCTCCGGGGAAGCTATGTTGTACGTTGATGATGATCTCGGTCGAAGCATGCGGACTTACCTTCGTGGCAGTAACGACCTAAACGTGGACTTGTCGTCCCTTCCCGTCTTCACTCCGAACAACCACTACGACTTCGCGCCAGGCTTCGACGACTCGCTGGCATATAACAACGGCGGCTACTTCGACAACCTTCTCGACCCAGGAGCTGCTGTGCCCGAATTTTCACCCGCGAATCTCGACAACAAGCTCTTGGGCTTTGGTGCGCCTATACACAAGACCCAGGTTCTCGACAGCGGAGGACAAACATGGCCTCGCTTAGCTGCGGAACTGAATGGCATGTTCTCTATTGCAGAGGACGTGTTCGAAGGAGAGACAGGTGGGAGGCCGCTGGAGCTGACATGCTACCGGCGGAATCTGTTCCAGATATCGGGAGCCATTATTCTATCCCGGACCACGGCGCAGGCACTCGTGGAGCAAGGAGGACAAGTGGCAATTCAGGACCTTGTCGCGGTGCTGTCCGCCACGGAGTCGATCGAGGGGAAACCAACAGAAATTATATCAGTGCCATGGAAGGCGGCGGCTGCAAATAGCTCTGCATCGGAAGATAAGGCCGGGGCAGCACCAGCGAACATCCCGATAGACTTGTCGTCAAATCAGGAAGCCGATCCCATATACGTCAATATCCCGATAGCATGGCGAAGACTGCAGTTCAAGTACGCTACTGCAAACAATGGCCGACGGAAGGGCCTACAACAACATTACCAAATCCAGATCACATTAATGGCCAAGACAGAAGGTGACGGCCAGCTGATCAAGATCGCAGAGATCCAGTCCAATCCAATTGTCGTCAGAGGGCGGAGCCCTAAGAACTTTGACAGCAGCAAAGATGTGCCTCTCAGCGAGCGAAAACAGTCGGATCCAATGAACCGCATGAGAAGCGCGGGGAGTGTAGCGGCAGCTACCCCACAATGGATCGAGCCGGCATTATCCCAGGCATCTAACAAGTACTACTCACAGAAGTCGTATATTGTAAGCACGCCCCTCGCGCAATCTGGAACGGTCTGTCAATCAGGGGAATTGGCCAATCATCTGCCTATGCTAACTGTACTATAGCAACCGCCATTGGAGCAAGTGTCATCATGGCCTCATATGTCTCCGACTCCGCCTTCCCCAGGTCCTCTCGAGCCTCGTGCGAAAAGACTAGCGTCCGGATCCCCAGTTGCAGCAAAACGCCGGCCACCTGTTCCGCCCACGGACTGGCATCATACGGAGATTAAAGAGGAGTTCCGCGCTCCCCCTGCACAGAAAGCTCCGATAGGGCTGTCAGTTTCAGATGACGATGTCCATACTGTAATTTCAGATACGTCTGCCTCTCCCCCGACGGATTCTATCCCAACAAGACCGTTGGCTGCGAGCCCTCTCGAGAAGCTCGACCAGCTATACGAATACTTTCCCCTCAGCTTGGATGATTGGATGCAACCTGTTGATGCCATCTATCGGCCTCATGTCGTCCACCATTTGAGAGCGCCAGAAGTCAAAGCTCAGGAAGTGCGGTCCAAACCGAAGCGGTACTTTTCCGCCATGAACGACTGAAAGTGTCCGGACCTAGTATCCCGTTCAGGGGAGCTCAGTGCTTGCATCACACAGTTGCATGGCTTGAGCCAATGGGCAGTATAATTGGTCTAATTCCTAGCTTCAGGGAGTAAGGGTGCTCCCATAGCTGCGGTAATATTCACCTTGCAACAACGCTACGTCGCAGGGGAAAGTCCCGGTGGTCCGGCTCGACAAAACGTGGAAGGGGCGTTCAAACTATGCCAGGAAGGGATATGGAGGCAGGCCACTGATTCTAGGGCTGGCTGTGCACTATGCGAGCCAGTCTTTTACCATTTCTGTGTTGAGGCTCAATGATCGTCAGGATTGGAGAGATACCCCACATATTGTCATATATGTTGTACTGTACCCTGAAATTCATATTATATATTTCAGAACACGGACGCATGCCTATTATTCTATGTCTAGTGCTCTGATTCTTCTAACCTACGAAATAGAAAATCTCTTCGTTTTTTTTCACAATGTTATGGTGGCAATCAGGTTGGTGTTACATACTGTATGGGTCAATGGGGACTCGCCAAGTTTGGGGATGTTGTTGGTTGCATCTTGTCTCGGACCCCGCCAAAAACATTTTGGTGGTGTCGGTCGGGTCTGTACTGGGCAACGTTACATGGCCACCACCGCCCTCTGCCGTGCAGAACCACCCACCGTTACTCCAACGTCATCAGGACATCTACTTACTCCAATTATTCATCGCAACCATCAAGTCACCTCTGGGTCTAACCATCCACTATCTGATACTTCAATGGTATCGTAGCTAGGCCAGGTCCATTTCTTTATTTTATTGTTATTCACGATGTAGGTAATATACTTCTCATCGCTTCAATTACGACAGCGATAGGTCTGCTCTTTCATCTCATCTCATTTCCATCCTACCGCTGGGCCGATGCTCATTCCTTCCTCGTTCAACATGCCCAGCTCAACCAATACAACGGGTCCTCGGGACATCATCACCAGGTTCACCAACTGCCGCCTCCTCCGCCACAACTCCCTCGTTCGGGCAGACCTCTGGGTCTCCTCGCTCACGGGGAAGATTCTTGATGGACAAGATGTCTTCTATACCGAGCAGCGCCTTCCTGATGTCGTCGTTGACCTGGGCAACCGCATCCTCTCTCCTGGCATGATTGATGTCCAATTAAATGGCGCGTTCGGAATTAACTTCTCAGACGTGCCGGAGGAGGAAGGCAGCTTCCCTAAGAAGTTGAAGGAGGTGAATCGGCAATTAATATCGACGGGCGTGACGAGCTACTTGCCGACGATGACAAGCCAGAAGAGCGAGGTCTACCATAAGGTTTGAACAATTTACAGCTCCTGTATCCATATGTGATACTAATAGCAGCAGTTACTACCCCATCTCGGTCCCTCAGGCAGCGCGCGCGACTCGACCGACGGCTCCGAGTCTCTCGGCGCCCACATCGAAGGCCCCTTCCTCTCCCCCACTAAGAACGGTATTCACAACACCGAAGTCCTCATCTCCGCCCCGAACGGCTTCTCAGACCTCGTCGCCTGCTACGGCAGCGACAACCTCAACAATGCTAAGATGATCACGGCCGCCCCTGAAGAGGGTGTCCAGCAGGCCATACCCGAAATCGTCTCCCGCGGCATCGTCTACTCAATCGGCCACTCAGAAGCCACCTACGAGCAAGCCAGCGCCGCCGTCGCCTCGGGCGCTACCATGATAACCCATCTCTTCAATGCCATGCGTCCCCTCCACCACCGCGACCCAGGCGTCTTCGGCGTCCTCGGCTGCACAGAAGTGACCGCCCCGCGCACCACGCCCCCAACCAGCCGCCCAACCAGCACCTCCTCTTCCTCCAGCTCCAGCACCGACTTCCGCCCGTTCTTTGGCCTGATCGTCGACGGTCTGCATTTGCACCCGACTACGGTCAAGATCGCATGGAGCGCCCACCCAGACGGATGCATCCTCGTCACGGACGCTATGCACCTCGTCGGTCTCCCGGATGGGATGTACACCTGGGGCTCCTCGGGACGCGAACGCATCGTCAAGACTGGCCCGCGCCTGACGCTCGAGGGCAGCGATAAGCTCGCCGGCTCCGCGATTTCGCTGGTGGAGTGTGTGAACAACTTCCTGTTGTGGACAGGGGCCAGTGTGCCGCTGGCGCTGAAGACGGTGACGGAGACGCCGGCGAGGGTGTTGGGGATGGAGGGGGTGAAGGGGAGCTTGGTTGTTGGGGCGGATGCGGATTTGGTGGTGTTTAGTGAGGTTGGTGGGGAGGGGGGTGTGCAGTTGGTGGTGGATGAGGTGTGGAAGTTTGGGGAGAGGGCGTGGATTGGGGAGGGGGAGGGGAAGGTGGGGGTTTGAGAGGCGGGGGGTGGCAGAATGCATGGATATACGTATGACTGGGAGTTTAGGGTTCCATAGATCAACTTTGTTTTATTGTTGATAGCGTAGATATGGCGGCATGTATTTTTGGGGTTGAATATTAAATTGCATTATAGCCATATATAAAACCGATTTATTTATTCGTAAAATTGAATTATAGAAATAAATATTCATTATTCATATCCCAAACAATTTAAGCAAAAAGATACATACCATCTTGGATCAATAAATCGTCTATTATACTTATTTATGTATCATTTCTAATGATTCTTCTTTTATAACTGGAAGTTCTACGATATTACGTGCAAGTCTCAACCGCCACTTCGAGCGATGACACCATGACGCACCCTCTCAAATACATCATTACCCATCCCCAACACATGAAATAGGCCTGCTGGCCCAATGGCAAGGCGCTTGACTACGAATCAAGAGATTGCAGGTTCGATCCCTGCGTAGGTCACTATTCATAACATCTCCTCTTCACCGAGGAGCATATCTTTTTCGCAATTTTTTGTATTTTTTTTTGCCCACCTAAATGTCAACCCCACCAAGGCTTCGCGAATAATATGTTGCGCCCCCCACCATCGGTGATCCACAAATCGATCCACAGCTATCTGGGTGCGAGGAGGATATTTTTTTGTGGGCTTTGGATTAATTGCCAAGGAAGAGAGGAGATTCTTAATGTGGAATTGGCGTCGCTATGTTATAAATGATGGCCTCCTGGCCCAATGGCAAGGCGTTTGACTTCGATTTCCGCTTCGGCGCTATATGGTATCAAAAGATTGTCGGTTCGATCCCGGCGGGGGTCAAAGCATCATTAATTTTTTGTTTTTGTTTTTGACGGTACAAAACGGATTTTTTGCATGCTGGTGTACGATATTACTATACTAGAGATTTGGCCTTTATTTTTGTCTCTTTGTCTGTAATGCGGTCCGGAAATGCTGTGGGGTGTGGTTTGCTTCGGGTGGCATCCCCAACAAAGCGACCAACAAAGCGACGACGTCAAGACGACGCCAAGACGACGCATAACCTCCTGGCAATGAAGACGATGCATCATGCGAGGCATACAACGACTATGTACTTCTTTATTTATCTAACTGAGTGTATTTCCTACTCCTAAAATACGAGCTTGCGGTTTGGATCGTTGGTTGCGCGTGGCCAGGTGACATCGCCAACCGTGAACGCGTAAGCTGGCTGTGGTAACCAACGCAACATTCATATATCTAACCTACTAGCCAGCTTGTTGTGTCAAGTCCATAGATTCATTATCTCAGACAAGATGGCCACTCTACCAAAACCCCCAAATCCACAAGTGCTTCGAGCAGACGATGGCGTGGAACTCAGCTACTACACTGTCGGCTCTGGTGCTGGCATTATCATAATCCCAGGCGCCATGTCCTCCGCCCTTAGCCAATATGAATTAGCATTATCACTCTCCTCATCCTACACAGTCCATCTATTTTCCCGCCGCAGTCGTGGTCTCTCAGGACCATACCCCTCCTCCGTGACAGAACCTAAAACCCCCCTCCTGCGCACCCCAGGACCCACCGACGACAACCCCATAGACCTCCCATACGATCCCCAATTCTGCCTCAACGTCCTCAAAACAGACCTTACAGACCTGTTCGCCCTAGTGCGACACACAAGCGCAACATCTCTCTTTGGCATTAGCAGCGGCGCCCTCCTCGTCCTCGCCGCATGCACACACCGTCCCACCGAAGTCCCAAACCCCACTATCCAAAAAGCTATCATCTTCGACCCGCCACTCATCCTATCCTCCCCACTAGCCACGCGAGACATCCTCCCCGACCTCCCCAGCATCCGCCGCTACGAAGCTGAGATCGGAACTGGGGATACAACTTCCGCGCTCGTAACGGCAATGCGGATCGTGCAGCTTGGTCCGGGGTGGCTGCGTAAATGCCCAGATTTTATCATCCGTTTCCTGACGGGACTGATCATGTCCGCCGAGGCGAGGGAGCAAGGCAGGCGAAAGGGAGCGGGGGAGGAGGATGAGGGGGTCGTGACGATGGAGATGTTGGCGCCGGTGTTGAGGTATGATTTTGCGCTTGTACAGGCGATGGTGGATGATGCGAGGGTGTTTGAGAGAGTTGCTGAGGGGAGGAAGGTTTTGTTTGTTGGAGGTGGGGGGAGTCCGGGGTATATGGGGTTTGCGATGCGGGGGTTGGTTGATGCGGTGAGGGAGGGGGGGTTTGAAGAGGGGATGGAATGGGAGGAGATTGGGGGTGTGGGGCATGAGTTGTTTGAGAATAAGAGAAGGAATGGGAGAGTTGAGTTGGGTATCGAGACTGTGAGGAAGTTTTTGGCAAGCTGATATGAGGGAATGAATTGGCTGGTATGTCTTGTTTAACTACAGTTGGTTTGTAGGCATCCTGATTAATTTCAGTATACTAGTAATATATACAATACCAAACATCAATCTATTTGGTCATTCAGCAATGGATCCTCCAGCAGTTCCTTTGCTGTTTTCCGATCCTCTAGTCGCCACTGCAGCATCCCTCTCATAAAAACCAAAACAATCTCTTTATTCTTTCCCTCCAGAAACTCGTCAGACCTCTCCAAGCTCGTATCTTGTGGTACGTCCACCTCGGCTTTCCATGCCCCTACAAATAAGATCGTTAGAAGCTTGCTTCCAATGGCAGGCGTTAAAAGGATAGAGCATCATGCGTACCATCCTCCGCAAAAAACTCGTGGCTACGTATCCCGCGCCCGAGGAGATCCATGGGCGGCGGGCCTAACATCCCAATCACCTCCGCAAGATGCGCGCGTGTTGAATATCCCTTCCCAACTGGGTCGTTCCCGTAAAACATGTGTCTACCCTCGAAAAGATCCCAGATCTGATGAGCCTTGGTAGTAATTTGAGGGAGTGCTATGGGGGAGAGAATAGGCGACATGCCATAACGCCAACATTCCATATATCGACTGGATAGCTCCATTCAGTCTTTAACATCACCTCTGGCGACCTGTATACATTAGGTTGTGCGTCATGATTTCTCTTCTCATCCCCGCGCACTGCAGAACCGAAGTCACTCAGGACGGCATTCCCAAATTTCCTCGGCAGTTCGAACCGTCAAGAAGCATACACCGGTGCGTCGCTGATAAATTTCCGTGGAGAAGGGTTGTCCATTTCGGTTTAGTAAACGCGTCAAGGATCGATATGTCTTCAAACTCCTGGAGGATGTTGTCTCCTTTGATGTCTATTAGGTTTGTTAGCAAGTTCAATACCTGAAAGCAAAAAGGAACCCCACCTGTGTGAACAAGCTGGCACTCTGTATGCAAATAATCGAGCACGAGAAAAACCTGCTTCAGGCCTGCTTTGAGAAGTTCTTCAGTAAATCGAAGAATCGGGTTACGATACAGGAGATCCCTGAAGCTCTCCCTTGTCGGCTTTTGGACTAGACAGTAATGGTCCCCTCCGGCACGGGGGATGGTAAATATCCCCAACGCTTTTCTCACATGGCCATAGCCTGGATGTGATGAATTTCCCTGGTTTAGACGTTTGTAAACCTCAAACTCCCCCCAATTCGCTTCTTGGCGTGTATACACCTTCAGGGACACATGTTGATGCTCTCCGATTCCGTTAGCTCGTTCATGACTTCAAAGGATGGCCTTACTTGAGATCTCGAGCGAGCCACACAGTGGATATGACTCCGAACCCTAGTTTCCCAACGACTTGGTACTTGGAATTGAAGGTTTCGCCAATGTTGACGGGGTAGTATTGCCCCATATTGAAATCCGCAAATTGTTCCTCCTCGAGCACCTCTGATGCATTGATGGTTTTGAAACCGGTGTTTGAAAAGCGCATTGGCGGGGACGGGGCCCTTTGAATGGATCTTTTGGCCCATTTTAAAATAGATGCCATGGCCAGAAGGACAGCGAAGAAGAATGTATTTGGAAAGGGGTCAACTATCTCAACACGTGGGGGCCACAAGGTAGCCTTGAACTGCTAGCTCTATCCATCCCACCGCAGTTACTCTAATGCCGGAAGATCACCTTCACGCCACCTTTCTCTTCTCACACACACAGTAACTCTGGATGTGACCTGGGATATTGGAGATCAATGGCTCACTAGCTGATCTGGGTGGATAGTCTGGTCTGATGGCTGATGGTGTTCATGGACTGAGACAACCACGTTGTCTAGATAAGATCTGTGTTATATGTCTGACATAGGCCTGAACGGTGTTTGATCTAGAGTACCTATGGGTCTAGTTTGAGTTCTTAGTCCAGGAATAGGATTATAAATAGTTTAGACTTTTTACTAGAGCTTTCCAAGATTATAACAATAAATAACCTTGTTAAAGGAGGTGAGCACGTGATTTGACCCCAATATTTACCACGTGTGAGGGTGTCAAGTGTGGGGAAAGCTCCAACTTATTTATTAGTCAGCGTGGAAAGAGCTCCGTTCGCTTACGAGCGCGTTGTCGACACATTGCATCACGACAGTATCAAGCTCATCATCTCCAACTCTACGTCGCCTCGCCCATCTCTCGCAACATCGCCGTCATGGTTTCCTACCGATTTTCTGTTCTTGCCCTGCTGGCTCTACGCACCATTGGTGCCGTAGCTGCCAATGCCGTAAGTAAATCCCGCCTCGAATCCATCCACGTGCTTGGAGCCTCCGTTGCTCTCTATGATATTCATTGAACTCTCTAACCCATTCCAGTCCCCTGAGGATGCCGCTAAAGAAGGTGTTACCCCAGCTGAGGATGCACCGCCTTTCGACGTCTCCGTAACTGCTTCCTTCCCCAGTGCGGAGATCTTTGGCCCCAAGATTATCAATGGCCAAGGCACCCACGCCCTCCTCGATATCACCAACAATGAGGGTGCGCCCATCACGCTGGTCATGGTTGGTGGCATGCTTTCACGCCCTGAGACCGACCTCAAGGCTGGCGCACATGCCTCATCCTTGATTGTGAAGAACTTGACGACTACGAAGTACACGGTGGAGGTCCCGGCAGGAGCCAAGGAGAGCTTACCATATACTTTCACGACGGACCTGCAGCCGGCGGACTTGCAGCTGTCTTTGATGGCCATTTTCACCGATAACAAGGGCAACGTTCGTCAAGTACCAGCGTTCCATGACACTGTCAGCGTTGTTGAGGCGCCGACTAGCTTCCTTGACCCCCAAATGTATGCATAACCCCTTTTCCAGAAATATGTGACAATTGAACGAACCAATGCTAACTGGTCCTCTAGCGTCTTCCTCTACCTTGTGCTTGCCGCCGCTACTGCCGGTACGCTCTACTTCGTCTACAAGACCTGGATCGAGACTCTCTTCCCCCAGACTAAGCGCGGAGGCAAGGGAGGCGAGCGCGCACGTCGCTCGCTGGCTGGTACCAAGAAGGCCGTTCCAACCGATGAGCAGCTGAGCGTAATTGGTGCTGATGGACCAGCTGTCACCACCAAGGATCTGGCACAGCAGGCATACGATGAGAGCTGGATCCCAAACCACCACATCAACCGCCCATCGGCGAGGAAGGTCCAGAGCAGCTCTAAGAAGATTCCCACGAAGTAAAGAGTAAACAGTAATCTTGAGAATAATTGGGGATAATTCGTTATGTGGGGGTTTCGGAGCCGGAGCGGGGGTGGGGGTGGGGGATTGGAGTAGATACCTGTACAGTATTGCATAAAGTAAACTAGTGCATGATGGGAAATGGCTGGTGGATGGTTGGTTGGCTGGTATTTATCATAGAAATAATCAAAAAAATGGTTCAATCCTCACTACAGGTATATGCAATCAGTACTGCGTTTAGTTTATCACAAATATGCATATACTATATGCATAGAACAACAATTGTTCCAACCCGAGAACGATGTTCTTAATTCTTTAACTCCAACCCCGCAAGTCCGCGGCTGTATGTCCTACTTTCGGTATTCAGGCACGGAATTATTTTTCGCCGTGCTTCGTCACTCCGGAGGGGCAGGTTCCGATAGGAGGAACTTACTTCGTCCGATATTTGGGTCACGGAGCCTTTTACGGCCATCATACAGCGATTATTCGGCGATTGACGGCAATATGTGCAAATAATTGTGCTGTAACGTGGTCATAGGTCTATACGGCAGAAGGCAAGAGGGGAATTGCTACGGGTATGGCGGGGATGGCGGGGCCGGTGGGGAGTGTGAGTGAGAATGTTAGTGGATAACTTATATTCCCGGCTGATCTCTGTTGGGGAGCTCTTGCTTTGATATAAGAGCGTGTGTCCCTGTGAGGGACACTTGCCATAGTTTAAGTCCGCAAGGTACTTTTAATAAACACAGCACGATGAAGTTCCGCGATGGTAAGAGCTCCCCTTTGCGATTGCAACCAAGAGCACCTTCTAATGCGCGAGAACAGGCATGTGGCTTGTGGCCGAGGGGACGACGATTGAGTACGCCGAGCAAGTGTACTCCATCACCGAGCGCGCGGACAAGAAGGCACTCTCCCTCCTCTGCCCCACGAGGAGAATCTCCAACCGCGGCGATGTCCTGAACCGCAGCACCCTCACAATCGTAAGCCCCATCCTTTGCGCCTAACACCCTCCCCAGCCTAACATGCCCAGGACATTGAAGCTGTCTCGGATGGTATCATCTCAGTCGAGTCTACTCACTGGGCCGGCGCCGTTCGCAAGGGCCCTAACTTTGAGCTCTTCCCCGACAGCGCCCCAGAAGTCGAGGCCACTATCACGACTGCCTCGGAACGCACTATCCTCAGCGCCGGCGCCCTCACCGCCACCGTCGCTGGTGCCTCGCAGCCATTCCGCATCGACTTCAAGGGTGCCAATGGCCGCGTTCTCACAGATCTGCGCGAGCGCAGCGTAGGCCTCGCTTACAACCCACCCATTAGTAATATGCAGCAGACGGGCGATATGCGCAACATCCAGCACCATGTATTCACGCAGACGACGCTGGGAGTCGGAGAATCCGTGCACGGGCTTGGTGAGCGCTTCGGACCATTTAACAAGGTCGGGCAGGCGGTTCAGTTGTGGAATGCGGACGGTGGCACCTCGAGTGACCAGGCTTACAAGAATGTCAGCTTCTGGATGAGCTCGAGGGGGTACGGAGTCTTTATCGACACGCCAGAGAAGGTCGAGCTAGAGATCGGAAGCGAGCGATGCTGTCGCCTGCAGACGAGTGTAGAGGGGCAGCGCCTAAAGTGGTTCATTATTGATGGGCCGACACCAAAGGACGTGCTAAGACGGTACGCAAAGTTGACCGGCCAGGCGAGCTCGGTGCCAGAGTGGAGTTATGGCCTGTGGCTCAGCACGAGCTTCACGACGGACTACGATGAGAAGACGGTTACGGCATTCCTGGAGGGCATGAAGAAGGCAGCCATTCCCGTCGACGTGTTCCACTTTGACTGCTTCTGGCTCAAGGCCTTCCAATGGTGCGACTTCGCCTTCGACAAGGAGAAGTTCCCCGACCCAGCCGGCCAGATCAAGCGCATGAAGGACAGCGGACTCTGCAAGAAAGTCAGTGTCTGGACGAACCCTTACCTCGGACAAGCCTCCCCCCTCTTCGCCGAAGCCGCCGCAAACGGCTACCTCCTCAAGCGCAAGAACGGCGACGTCTTCCAATGGGACCTCTGGCAAGCCGGCATGGCCATTGTCGACTTCACCAACCCCGCCGCCCGAACCTGGTTCCAGGGCATGATCACCTCCCTCCTCGACATCGGCATCGACTCCATCAAAACCGACTTCGGCGAGCGCATCCCCGCCGAAGACGTCGTCTGGCACGACGGCTCAGACCCGGGACGCATGCACAACTACTACTCCGTCCTCTACAACGAGACCGTCTACGCCGCCATGACCGAGCGCTTCGGCAAGGGCGAGGCCGTCCTCTTCGCCCGCGCCGCCGCTGCCGGATCCCAGCGCTTCCCCCTCCAGTGGGGCGGCGACTGCGAGTCCACCCCCGAAGCGATGGCTGAGTCCCTCCGCGGCGGTCTTGGTTTCGGACTGAGCGGCTTCGCCTTCTGGAGTGTCGACATTGGCGGCTTCGAGGGCAACCCCCCGCCCTGGCTTTACAAGCGCTGGGTCGCCTTCGGACTGCTGTGCAGCCACAGTCGACTCCACGGCTCCGACTCCGTGCGCGTGCCATGGGCGATCGACAACGACGACCAGAGCGACGAGGGTGCCACGGCCGTGCTGCGCACGTTCGTGCAGATCAAGGCTAAGCTCGGCGCGTATATCCAGGCCGAGGCGGCGAAGAGTGTTCGTGATGGCTTGCCACTCAGTCTGCGCGCTATGTGCATTGAATTCCCCAACGACCCGACGTCATGGAGCTTGGATAGGCAGTTCATGCTTGGCTCGTCGTTGATTGTAGCGCCGGTGTTTGAGGAGGATGGGAGTGTTGAATTTTACCTGCCTGAGGGAAGGTGGACTTCGTTTATTAGTGGGGAGGTTAAGGAGGGGCCGAGGTGGATTAAGGAGGTGCATCGCTTGGATTCGGTGCCGTTGTATGTTAGAGAGGGGACGGTGTTGCCGCTGAGGGCAGAGGGTGGGGAGATCAGCCTCAAGGCGTATGGGATTAAGGCAGGTGAGGTTGGGAAAGTAGAGGAGATTGTTGAGGGGGCCCTTAAGGAGAGGGAGGTTACTGTTGACGAGGCTATGTTGGCCCTTAAGAAGACCGAGGTCAATGTTGATGAGGCTGCGTTGGCCCCTAAGGAGGAGGAGGTCACTGTTGATGAGGCTACGTTAGCCCCTAAGGAGAAGGAGGTCACTGTTGACGAGGCTGTGTTGGCTTAGTTGAATAGACTGCAAATAGAAGAATTATGACCATCTCTTTATATTATGACATGCCAGATCCAAGCGTCAGTTCTTCAGTCATGCCGGAAAGTTGGTAGACGAGGTATGCAACATTACTACTAACTACTCTTGACCTGAATATAAGTCCGCACATCTTGCGATCCAACCGAAGATATAAATGTGCGCATAATCTACCCCTGTACCGTAAATTTGCGCAAAACCCGCACAGGGTCTGTAAGACTATAAACAGGGCCCCGTAGGATTACAACCCGGTGAATGTAGGCCTTTAAAAAGAGCCTATATTGCTAAGTATTAGGGCTTGAAACGTAAATTTTCAAGATCTGCAGCAGGATAGTAAGGGGCTTGTAGCAGCCATTTCGAAAATTGTGGCAGCTAGCTTCCATATGTGATAACTGCTAAATGATACATCACCAGTCAGTAAGTCTAAATACTGCGAGTACTCCGCAGCCCGTAGAAGGCAAGAAAATACGAAAAGTAATACAAATTAACTAAAACTAATTGTAAATAGAGCAAACTAGCCGCCATCCCTTCAAATTCCAAATATCTAGTACATATAACCAATATCAATCCATATATGTATCAAAACCCCCAACCCACGCTATCCCAAAAAAAACCCCTCACGTAATACCCCCAATTGAATCCCAAACTCCTACAAAACCTAAACCAACAGCTTCTGTGGTCCCCAGGCCCCTCCTGATGGAGGTATTGGCGCATCCACCAGACCCTCTTTACCAAGCAACCTCAAATGCTCCTTCATCCCCACCTCCAACTCCCCTATCAAAACAATCTCTCGCCCAGCGCAATAGCTGCTCCACACTCTCCGGTTCCAACGTACTCACCACCTTTGCTCTAGTTTTATTCGCATGGGCCACTGGCCGCGCCATCCACGCCACCGACGTGTCAGACATGCGCGCCCAGTTACGATCCTGGATCATCTCCGCCTTGCTCCACAACCAGACATTGTCGGAGTTGCCGCGGCAGAGGGGCTGTGGACGGGGAAGCCTCGGTGGACTGAAGTTCTTCAGACTGCTGTCGATGATCTCAGCGTACTCATTGTGGTCTCCGCGGGTATCAAGGAAGGAGAATCGTTTGCTGTAGATGGGGCTAATGGGGCAGTTAGCTCTATTTAGTTCAACACGTACTAGTGAATAGGGTGTTAAAACGGGGTGAGGAGGGAGGATAAGAGGGACGCACTGAGACACGAAGTGGCTCTTGAACTTTGCGACGATAACAAACTTGCGGTACTTTGAGTGCACATGTCCACATCTATCGCCGGATTCACGCACGAACCTCGAGATGTAGTTGTGATCATGACTCTGGAGTTCGGTGTATGCCTCGTGGTAGCCGGCCGAGATAATGTTACCCACGACGATGGCGGCCCGCTTCAGGTAAGCTGGGTGGTGTTAATTGCGAAAGAAATGGGGAGGGGAATGGAGGTGGCATACTGTCTGGTGCACCATTAGCGAAGGGGTTATCAGTATCCGTTAAATCATTATCAGCATCGGGTTTGTTGGGGCCGTCGGTCGTTCCCTTCCCGGGCTCATTGGCCGTTCCCTTCCCGGGCTCATTGGCCGTTCCCTTCTCGGGATCGTTGGCCGTTCCTTTCTCGGGCTCGTTCGCCGGCGCCTTCTTGGGGGTTTTTATTTTCTTATCTTTTCCCTTCGGCGGTGTCTTCGTCACACGACCTCCTAGCGTCGTTGGCAGGGGAGGAAATTCTGTCGCGGAATTGGTTTTGACCGTCCGGTGCGGCTGTATGCGCGTTGGCTTTCCCTTGGGAGGCATGGTGCATTAGGGGGCGGGGATTGCGAGCGTTGAAATTGCGGGGAGACAACGAGGTAAATTATATCCTTGGTGTCGATTGTTTGGGATCTCAAATGTTCTCGGGAGTATCAATAGAGTGGGGGGGGAGATATAGCGGGAGAACTCGAGTGCTGAACAAAAGAAGGCATCTTGTCATGTCCTCGGACAAACGGCGACGAGGGCGATCAAAGAAATCATCAATGAAATTGAGTTTCCGCCCCGTGATAGCCCGCTTGCGGTGGCAGACTTGGACAAAGAATGGAGTATGAGAAGAAAAAAGATGAAGGGGGGGAAGGCAAAATTGGTATTGAGATGTGAGGGGGAGATGTTGGGAGTGTTATCTTTGGGGATTGTATTGAGAAAGACGAAGATATAAGAGCATCAAAACCTAGTGTTCTCATACCAAACGGTTTTGAAAGGAAACTTACGTACTTATGAAAACGGATTCGTTTAAATCCTGCGGTATGAAAGAAGAAGTGCGCTGAAACCGAGAGCCACCCCCGTGCCACCGTCGACAGGAGTTTGCACAAAATAGGAGCAGTTGATAGAGAAGTGCGCAAACCGCTATCAACGAGAATAAATCTATAAACTGCGCTCTAAACGAAGCGGCATGTGGAAGGCACTATCTATCAACTTGAAGTGAGGAGGGAGCAGTTGCCATACAGCGAGCACAACTCTACGTACTGGACCGACGAAAAAGCAAAACCACTGCAGTCTAGCTAAAATCGAGTACAAGTTGACAAATGTCAACTAAATATGCGCAAACTAGGCTGCTTGAATAGGGAAGTGCGCAGATTCAACTTGACATCTGTCAACTTGTTGCTTTTAAACAATGTAGTGACAACAATATGTGTAGAAAGCATCGAAAACGCCAAAACGAACTTTCTAAAAGTAGAAGAAGAACCTGCCTAGGCTTTGCTCAAAGGGCGGGCATCTTTTGATAGGGGCACCCACGAGCTGACTTGAAAGCGCAAAAGGGGGCAGAGAGGGAAAAGTTGAAGATAAATCGCCAACAATAGCGAGTGGTATAGATGCAAAGGACCTCTAAATAGACGCAGCAGCAGCACGCTCGCAGCTATCGGTTTCTTTCAGCAAGTAAGTGTGCTCATAAGAGCTCATTCTCACCTATTTCGACCACTTTTCTCTGGGCGAACAGAGCGGTCGTCTGTCCATATAAGCGACAAAACGCACTACCATCGTGTTCTGCCTAAATGTACGCGGAATCACGGAAACGCAGAAACACAAGTGGCTGTGCGCAACGGGTGCACGTGGCACAACCGTCAATTAAGTGATCCTAGAGCATAAGTGTGGCGCATCACTATAAATGTGTGCAGAAATGTCAGCAAAATTGTGGTGCTGTGCAAAAACTGGGAAGGACCGTGCGCGGCTGTCCATGGTTCTAACGGTCTGGACCGTTTTGCTGTTAACTATCTTACAGCTGACTGTGAGATAGATGCCTCTTAATCCCCAAGTGATAAAAAGAGAGGCAAGCGAAGTAAAACAAGGCAAGAATAGTAGAACAAACAGGATCTCACTTTCAAGTTCAAACGTGTGTATGTGTATGATGTGTATATGTGGTATTTAAAATCTAATTAACTAAATCTCTCTCTCTCTTTTATTAATCCCTCCATCTCTCCCAATTATCAGACTCTCTCATCTGCTCTCAAGCCTCCCATTGCCGATGTAAAAAGTGATATCTCTGAGCTGCTCAATCGCAAGTTTTGAAAATGCAAATCCAAATAATAAAAAAACCCCGCCAGCAATGCCATGCGGTGTATCTAGTGTCGTGGTGATCGTGTTGTAGTTTGTTCGTTCCAAGAAAAATAAAACGCCGTTATAATGCAACTCTCATCTCATCCCCTCTTCAAGATAAAACTCTTAGATGCGTTGAGCAACCGGTGGCGACAGAACACCAAACTTGGCATTCTGCACAGCTCCAGCCCAGTACTCCTCAGTACCCTTGCTCAGAACGCTCTTGACCCTGCTCTTGAGGCTCTTCTTCTCTCCTGCCGGCTTGGAAGCCTTGACACTTGGAGCGCGCGACGCAGCGGGGGTGCCGACTGCAGACTGGAAGCCGAAGTTGGCGCTGGGGGAGGTCCAGTAGTCCTCGGCGGTGCTGCGGCGGGGAGACTTGGGGGAGATGATGGAGGCGGCGCGGGAGGGACCGCGGGAGGATGGCGCCGAGTTGGGGGCGGAGAAGGTCATGCTTGGAAGGTAGACGCCAGACATTTTGATTGTTGTTGTGGGAGTGTTTGGTGGAGTGGGTGGTGTGGTGATTGTGGTGGTTGTTGTGAGGTGAGAAAGTGGTAGTTTGATGGTTGTGAAAGTTTGATAGTTTGACAGATTGGTTGCGTTGGTAGATGTTTGAAGCTTGAAGCTGGACTGTGGATGAAGCTGATGTTGATGCTGATGATAGAACAAAAAAGAGAACTCACCATCGACCTACCCTCTTCTTATATACTTTTTTCCACATCCTAATCCACATGTTGCCATATTTTTTCTTCCCTCCCCTATGACTACTGTCTGTCCCGTGGATATCCACGCCTTGCGGTACATGGGTCGTGAGAACGCCATCTGGCTCACAAATCGAGTATTAGTAAGAGACGACTGACTAAACTCCCCCACCAGCATCCACCACCACCCACACCCAAACAGCCTTATGACACCCCCCCTGTCCAGAGCTTTTGCAGAGGCTGCGGTACGTCAATTGGATCCCTGTCGTAGGGGATTCATGTCCGTATCCCAGATGCTAATTCGGGAGTTAATTCGGTCTCTCAGGGTCTTGTATGCGCCTGGCTGGGTGTACTGTACACGACAGACGCCGGGAAGGGTACACGGATAGTGAGGTTTCTGGAGGATTCTCAGGGTTTCTCGGGGTGTCTGTTCACTGTCCGATGTCGCTGGACCAGGCCGGAATATCACCCTCAGAGGCCGGAGTTGATACTCCTTGAGGCCGGAATAGCACTCCCACAGGCCGGAATTGACACTCTTTGAGGCCGGAATACACCCACGAACCCCCCATCCAGGCCGGAACTCGCCCATCACCAACCTCGCACGCCCCTCCAAAAGGCCGGAATAGCTGTACACATTTCAACCCAGAATAGCTACACATCACCAACCTCATCCACATCATCCACAACGTCCAGCCCCGAATCGCCTCGTCCAGGCCACACCAGACCACACTCATGGCCACAAAACTGGACCCGCCGACGGTATCCGCGACGCGATGGGGTAAGAACTTGACTCCTCGCCGCCGAGGGTGCTCCATCGTGGGATCGTGGGATCCATAGTTGGCAAATTCTGACAGTTGGCGTGACGGCGGCGGCTAGAGTGGAGAGGGTGTGGGTGGGTTGGGCGTGGTCGGTGTGGTCGGCGTGGTGATGTTGGTGGTGTGAGTGGAAGGCACTGCCCTGTGGAACACGCTGTGGACACGCTGTGGTGGTGGCCAGGGACAGGGGAGGCAGGGGACAGGGACAGAGTCTTTCGGGGGAGGGGTGTAGAAGGTACTTGTTGTTTTGTGTGTGGAGTGTGAATATTGTATGAGGGATTGGTAGATTGTTGGTGGTGGTCGGTAGGGGTTCGGTGTAGAGGGTACATGAGTCCCACAGTGGTCCCACACCCAACGTCTCATGCAAGCACAGAGTCTTCACACAGAGTCTTCACCCAACCACCTGAGTGAAGATTTTGTACGGGTGTCCAATTCCATTATGTACCATGTACCACATCAAGCCACCTAATTTGTACGCATGTCACATGTACTGTGTACTATTTACTCTTAAACTGCTCAGCCTCGCCAGGTTACAGACGTGTGGCGGATGCGTCAATCCGCTCGTCTCATTGGCCCGGCTATCATCGCTGGGCAAAATTCTTTCATCTTCATCTTCATCTTCATGTTCGTATGCTGTACTGTACTCCGTAACACGTAGTAATTATTGACTGTACGTACTGTTACTCTTACTTTCTCTGCTGTGCTATGCATATGAGAATTTTTATATGAGAATTTTCTCTCAGGAGATCCGGTTTCCTAGCTATCACTTTTTGATAGGTACTTTGATTTTCCCCGTATAGCTCTCTTTTTGCTCTATACGATATGAACATACTCTACTGTACAGAACTCCAACTGTACAGAACTCCAACTGTACAGAACTCCATCCCGTTAACTCGTATGCGCATACGTACGTAACCACGCACGCCTTTTCCAGTATCTATCAGGTAAATATCAATATATCCACATTACAAAGCGGCATCTATGACTGTAACGCTGTCGTCGGTCAGGAGTCATAGCAACAACCTTAGTATGAGCGATGCCGGCGAGCGAGTGATTCAAAGGGCGTGCGTGCTCCAAAGGGCGTGCTCCTCCCGTGTTGTAGATCGGGAGAGGGGTTATGATTACAAAGCAGTCATTGGTTCGTGATTCGTGGCTGCCATTGCGACGCTGCTTATCAAAGCCCTTTCTTACCATATCTTCCTGACAAATCAGGCGTCATTATCCCTCCGTCTTACTCTAATTCTGACAGGTCACGTGTGCCACTATTTCCCCGTCACAGGTCACGTGAATTGTTATACCCATTGACTTCCCGACGAAGAGACACAGTCGTTATTGGTATATCTTATTCTTATTCTCTCTTTAGTTATCAAATATGGAGGGTATATATGCTGTAGTCTACAATCGCCCCAAACGCCAAACCTCGCGACAACCCTGAAGACTAAAAGCCCATTGCTACAGGTTCTATCTCCCAATGTCATCGTCTCTATCACTCATCCCCTAGACTGTGCCAGCGGGCCCAGCCTTGGACCTTTCCCCGCTACCTGGGGCAACAATGAAGCCGCCGGATTCGGCGCCGGTGTCTGCGCGGCTTGTGCCGTGGCGCTCATCGCCTGCTTCAACTCCTTGTTCAACCCTTTAAGTGTCGACTCTCCCGTCCCTTCTAATACGTCGCCTGCTGCCCCTGGCGGTAGTGCCGCCCTCGAGGCCGGTGATCGCGGGCCCAGCGCCGGCGCGTACATCCCCACGTCCGGAACCTTCACGCTCTTTCGCCGCCCCGCCGCTTCGCGCGCCGCGTCCGCTCGCTTGAGCAGCGCCAGGTCCACCTTCATCTTGTCCATATCGCCTCGCATCCGTTCCATCTCTGCCCTCACGCCGTCCACCTCCATTCTTGCCATCTTCAGCTCTAACCGCATCGCCTCCGCTTTATTTGTCAAGTCACCACTCCACTCTGGCATGTCGTTCGCTGCGTGCCAGACCGCCAACTGCGGAGATGTCGCGTACTCCGGCGGCGGCATCGGTGGTCTCGCGCTCTTTGCTAGTTCCAGCTCCACGACCGCCTTCTCTGCTCTGTTTACCACCTGCAAGCCCTCTCTCACATCCTCGAGCTCTTCTATCATCCTTGTCATCAGCTCTGATCTCATCTCCGTCCTCACCTTCTCTAGCTCCGCTCTCATCTTTTTCCTCGCTTCCTCAAACTCGGCCCTCATCTCCGCCCTCACTTCTTTCATTTGAAGTGCCAACTCACCACTTCCCCCCGACGCGTCATTCGCTACCTTCCCTGTCACCACCGACCCGAGTTCGTTGTCTTCCTCCCCCAGTGGCTCAATATACCTCTGTCTAAACACATCCCTCATCTTTCCTGACGGCACCCACTCGTCCTCCCACTTCACCAATCCCCGATTCGTATCCCACTGCCCCTCCCACCACGTCCGCGCCGCCCGCAACCGCGCCATCGACTCCTCGCACAGTCGCTGCGGAATCCCTATAACGCGCCGCTCCCCTTGGTAGCACCGAAGGTCCTCCCACCGCGCCGTACTGATATTCTGTATATCAACGTATTGCACCCTGTTTGTTTTCCTACCCGTGTAGTTCTCGCGGAATAGCAGAGCGTCCTTCCAGCTCTCTCGCGCCTCGGGCTCGTCTCTCCAGTTCTCGCGCGGGAAGCGCGAGAGCGGCAAGTACTTCTTCCAGAAGTTAAGCAGCGATGTCTTCGCCCCGAACGACTTGAACGACCGGATAGTCATAAAAGTTACGATTGCATCCTCCGGCCCCGACACATCGACGCTGAGGACGACAATGGGGTGGTCCACGCTATTAGGATGAGGATGCAGCAAGTTTGTGTCCTCGGGGTTCTTGTAGTAGGGGGGGAGCCAGAGGAGGCACCCGGGGCTGATATCCCACAGCGCTGGGCGCTCTTCCCAGCCTTCGGTTCGTTTGAGCAGCTTGGTGGTGTAGGGCGCAAAGGTGGGGCCATAATCCATGGCCTGCTCTGCGAGCCGTTTTCTATCGATTTCATCCACCGCTGGAGTTGCTGTGGCGGGGCCGTAATCCATATAATGTTGTGATAGCCGTTTTTTATCGGTTTCGTCCATAACTGGAGTTGTTGTGGAGGGTCCTACAAACGAGCGGGACCCGCGACCTCTCCTCCTGCGACGCATCAACGGCATGGGGATTTCGGTCACTGCTGGTACTATTTTGTCGGTGGATTGTGATTGTATGGGCGTGGGCGGGGACATGTCGTGGATAATAGGGTCCAGATGGGTCCCCTGGCCAGAGAGATCGGAGGAACTGCTCCCTATTTCAGGCCTTTCCTGTATATCCTCTTTGGACATGAATTTTTCTAGTTTGATATTCGGATTTATTGTCTTGTGTTTATGCCCTCGCAGCGGTGGTCGCAAGGTTTTCGAAGGCGTGGCTCGGCGCATTGCTGTCCAGTTGGTTCGCACATGTATTAGGCTATCCCCGGTAGACAGCCTAGGGGCGTGGAAATCTCGACTGACGCCATCAAAGACAGAGCTCCCTCTTTTCTCTTGTGTGTCGGCAAGGACAGACGAGCCCTCCCCGGCCTTTCGAGGGGTCGAATCCTGCTGGTCGGAGTCATGCTCTCCTTGCCGACCCTCTGGAGGCAGGAGCGAGATTAGGTTCAAGTATCGCCGAGGCACTTTTCCAATCTTTCGGCTGAGATCTATTGGCGGCGGCGGCGTCGTTCGGATTAAGTCTTGCCATCGCCCTTTCGCATCTCTTCGGTTGACGTGGGCGAACGACTTAGTGCTTGGGGATGTCGGGTCGATATTGGCGTTGTGACTGTCATTCCTTAGGTGTCGCCTTGGGGGTCGACTTGCGAGTGACCCATAGTAAGCTCGTCCTATGCCGGCCCAGACATGCTGGTATCGCCGGCGCCTGAAATATAGCATTGTGCATTTTTAGTTTGGTGGTTTGGGGGTTGCGATGGACAAAAAGACGATGTTGGGTGTTGTGCGAGGCTGAAATCTTGGCAAGGCTGAGATTTGTTTACTGTCGCCAGTGTTGATCTGGGGTCTGCTCCCAAGATCTTGAGCTTATTTCTTTGATTGGCCGCCTGTCGCGAACATGCCCCAAACCACAAGTTCCGAGGAGCCTCTCGCTGGAGCATCAGCGCTAAAATCTCACATTTCACGACTGTTGGCTTGAATTTCTGCCATATTTTCATGTGCATCGAGTGGCACAGTTCAAGGCACACGTATGACGATAAAGCGGGGTTCGGCTGCTCTTTAGGGGGACAGAATCCAGATAAGATGAGCTACATCGCGTTGAAATGGGCTTTGGGATGGTCTAATAGGATACAAGATGGTAAGCTTGTGCTGGTCGCTATGTTTTTATAGCTGTGCTTATAGCTTTGCTTATGATACTGAAGCTCCCCCCTGCGTCGTCAGACCCGAGCAGCATATATAGTCAAGCACCGCCTCCCCTCTCCCATTCTCACACCCGAACGTAGACTTCATCCACCTCCTCCACAAGACTCTTTGAACACAAAAGCCATCATGGCGCCAAAAACACCATTCGAGCACTTCGAAGAAATAGCACTCCGCTATGAAACGACCATGGGTGGTCTCAGCCGGGAGCTGTCTCGACACATCATCCGCGGTCCAGCAGCCTCCATCAGCACCGATTCAGTCGTGCTAGACAACGCCTGTGGCCCTGCCATCGTAACAGAAGAGATCCTCTTCGCCTTGCCCGTCTCCAAACCCCCTCCAACCATCCACGCCGTCGACATCAGCCCCGCCATGATTGGCGCCGCGCGCTCCAAAGCTGCCCTCGCCGCTCATGCAGACCGCATCCACCTCGCCGTCATGCCGGCTGAGAAACTCACCTTCCCCGACGCGACTTTCTCCCACTCGATCACCAACCTAGGCATCTTCTTCTTCGCCGACGCCGCGCAGGGCGCGCGCGAAATCTTCCGCACCCTCAAGCCGGGGGGCGTTGCCTTCCTAACCGTCTTCGCAGCTTTTCCGCATCTGGAGCTCGTGCGCCGCGCGCAGGCTGCGGTAAGGCCCGACGAGCCGCCATTTTTGATTCCCGTCGACCCGGCATGGTTTGAGACTGCGCATATCGAGGGCTTGCTGCGTAGCGCGGGCTTCGAGGATGTAGTGATTGGAGACACAGTGGGGCATTACGGCGCACCAAATGCGGATGGGGTGGCAGATAGGCTGTTATCGCTCTTTGGGGCAGTTTTTGAGACGTGGAGTGCCGAGGAGAAAGTGGCCTTTGGGAGGGAGTTGAGGAAGATAGTCCCGGGGGCGTTGGAGACTTTCCAGAGGGGGGTAGGAATCACAGGTGAAGTTGAAGAGGTGGGGATACCTATGGGGACTTATGTGGTAACCGCCAGGAAGTAAGGGGAAGGCGGTGGCAATAGACCGCTGTCTATTTGAGCGTAGTTATAAGACTACGCTTATCTTACCTCTGATGCGACGGTTAATGCTGCCCGTAGTTGAAGGCTGGCGTTATACTGAGTCATTTTACATTGCATATTAGGACTTCTGATGCAAAATGAAGTATGGTTGCAGTAGCTTTCTCAAAGGGCTATATATATGACAATGAGTCCGAGGCTTCTTCTGGCGCTTCCCTCGCCGTCATTCGCCGACCTCCATAAGAGAGTTCCCCCTCCTCCAATGCCATAAAGTGCCCAGAGGTGACAAATAAATATCCTCGCTGGAGACAGCCGCCGAGATATTCGCGGAATTTTACATACCCTAGATAAGCATGAGACAATTGCTTCCCGTCTGAATGACTCTTGTCTTGTCAAACATAACGACTCTACTGCACTGTTCGTTGTCGGCTTCATTATTGACGCCAATATTTGAGTTAAATCCCACTATTTCCCACCCCTATATCACTTATTGAAATAAAAATAACACCCAAACCGTACCCACCATGATAGAACGCCTCACTGTTGCAATAGCGGCCACCCCTCCCATGACTCTCATGCTCTCCCAAAGTGCCCTCTTCATAACCCTCTGGCTAACCGTCCGCCGCCACGTCTCCCTCCATGGCCCCATCCCCGGCGCCCGCACCCTCACCACAATCAATAGCTGGTTCTACCACGCCTCCAAGTTTTACGAATATGTCGACATTCTCAACGTCCTCGCGTCTGGCGGAGAAATCGACCTTCACTTCGGCGTCCACCATCTCACAACTATGTACATGACCTACGCCCGCGTGCTGCACCACAGTGAGGGATGGTGCGTCTTCGCGGCGCTGAATACCGCACACCATGTGCTCATGTATGCATTTTTCGGCGGTGCAACATGGGTTCGCCCTGCATGCCGTGGACGGGGACGGTGCAGCTGCTAGTGGGGATTGCAACAGATTTCTGGGTTGGGAGGAAGAATATCGAGGGAGGGGAAGAGGTGTGGCCGAACTTTGTTGGACGGGGATTATTGGCGACTTATCTTGTGCTATTCTTGAGGGATTTGGAACTTCGGAGAAGAGAGAGGAGGGAGAAGCGAAAAGAAGCCGGAGTGGACGAGCGGGGTTGTTTCTGGTAAAAAGGGCGTGGTGGATGATGAGGGACGGCATTCGTTTTTTTTTGCTGGAGACGCAGAGATGATGCAAGTAATTTTAAGGAGTTCGTATATTGTTTTTTTTTTCTAGAGCATTGAAGTATTGGAAAATTATGTATTATTGTTGATGAAAATGAAATCCGAAGTTCTGCTTACTCCAAGTAGAAACTATTGCTTTCACATGGGGATGGTGCATCATAAGGTATATATTTCATACTATTAGGAATAGTATACTGGCTGATTATTCAGCAGTGCAATCAGTCCGCAAAAAGAAGTTCTTTAAACCAAAGCTATCGTCTCTTTATTGCTCATACGTGGAGAATGCATATGCATCTCATTGTCCTCATCGTTCATTGGAGTCCGCGTTGGCACTCCATGGTAATCGACGCCGTTTGCTGCATAGGCGAAACGTGACCCATCTTGTGAGATCCAGGCATATTTATTGTCTTCGCAGTTAAGCCAGTATGGATCTCTTTTGCTTCTAATGAATTCGTCAAGGTGGCAGACTTGGTGCCCGCCCGACGTAACCTTTGCGGTCATGTGGCCATTCCAAGGTGTAAAGATACCCTCAAAGGTAACAATGCATGATTGGGCCAATTGTAAGAGAGCGATGAGAGTGAAAACAAGTAGCTTCATACTGGCAAATGGTGGATTAGACTGTAGGGAGGCAAATAGTGTGGATCTTGTGCGAATTCGTTCGGGACTCGAGATTGCTTGCTGATAATGTTAGATCAGTAATAAAATGATAACCTAAAAACCTAGGGGAGAGCCTACTTAAATACAAAACCGAAGGAGAAGATGCCGAGTTGACAATAATACGATTAATCGAGATCAAATTGTGGGGATGATTTGAGGTTGATTTGAGGTTGATTTGAGGTTGATCTGAGGTTTATTTGAGGTTGCATTTATGTAACAACAGATGAGCGGAAGTGAGAAAAACGCCTTAACCGGGGATTGAGCGAGTTGGATTGGAATAAAAATGACGTTTATCATATTTTGGTAGTCAATGGTAGTCAGATCTTGTCCTACCTAACTGTCGAACAGCTATCATTAGTTACTGCGATGTAGGTGCCTTGAGCTCCCTTGTTAGAATTGTCACATATCACCTAAGCCGTACAGGGGCTCCGCAAGGAGGCGCTACGGCTGTTCGAACCTGAGGTTGTGCGAACACAATTTTGTATTCTCCTCGATCGGACCTCATATAATTACAGTTTTGAAGTAAGGGGAAAGCAAGAGCGTAGGTAACAGCTGGTTTTATGACAGAGCGCTTTTATTAGGGTAGCCAACTAAATCTGTCAACAACTTGGCATATTAAACCAAATTTGTATGACCACAGAACCCCAAAAAACTTCATCATCATCATCTATCGGCCATACTCGGCGGCTTCCATGATCCTGAGCCGCCCATCCGTTTCTCCCACCCCCCCATACCCATTCTGGCCCCATAGCTCTTTCTGCCTGGTTGCGCCCTCGCTCGATCCTCAGTCGTCGTATGTAGACTAGCCGAACGGGCAGCCGTTGTAACTATAGAGTTTATAGAGTTTGATGGCATAGGCAATCGCGGCGCCTCACGTTCCTTGCGTCCCGGCTCGGGCCTTGGTGGCGAGCTCGATAAGAAGATATATTTGCTCCCATTGGACTCGGGGGGTGTAAAGGCACGGATGTTCCGCCGGTTGGTGGCAGTGGAGGTTGTGCCACCAATACGGTGCCGTGATAGGGTCGGGCAGATTGTAGGAGGCACATAAGGTGCGATTTGAGCGGGTATAGCGGTTCGAGGGTTCCCTCGTTGTGAGAGCGTCGCCCGGTGGTTCAGACGAGGTAGTGACACAGAGGGTTGGGTTGTATGTGTTTGACGAGCGGCAGTAATAGTCGTGGCAGGCTCATTAGCCTTGCTATTTTGAGGCTTCCCAAAGTATGCCGCCAGGCTAGGTTGCCCATCCGGCCGCTTCGTGGATCGTTTAGTACTCTTTTTGTCGACGACTTCATCATCATCAAAAGTATATGGTCGTTTGGCACTTCCGGCGCCGCCCAGGTTCACAGGTTGCTCCCGAAGTACCGCTGCAGCCGTGGAGAAAGCGGGAGTGATAGTCATTGTGGTGGTGTAGCTCGGCTTCCAGGGTTCCATGTTTCTCTTGTCAATCAATGGTCTATCATGCGCAAGGGACTTCCTTGGTTCACCATACTGTGCTGTGCCATCCCACTGATCCCAAGTCTTTGGGGGGCGTGCCTTTGCTGTCCCATCCTCTGGCCACAAATCATCCTCTTGGCTTGGAAGTGGCAGCTCGTCTGGCGTAAAGGTAATCTTTGGTACCTCAAGCCTAAGAATTGCCGCAATATCCGGAACGACGTTTTGTTTGCTGAACGAAGGCCCTTTCTGACCAAAGTGCAGCAGAAGAGAGGTCGGCGTGAGGAAATTCGACGGCCTGGTTGACTCTCTTCTTGAATCAATGAGCGGATAGCTCACATACAGCAATGCTTTAGCTCGCGTCATTCCAACATAGAGGAGCCTTCGCTCTTCATCCGTATCATCGGCTCTACCGTTGGGAATACTGCCATCGTAAGCTCCTGGTATAAACACAACTGGCCACTCCAAGCCCTTTGCTGCATGAATGGTAGAGATTGTGACCCGTGGCTTGTCTTCGCCTTCGGCATCTTTCGCTCGTTTGTCTGTCGCCAGTGATATTTTCGCCAGAAAATTCGAGAGAGGCGTTGAAAGCTCGTTTTGTTCCAGGCCGTCTACTTCTGGCAGAGGCTCGTCATTATAGTCTGGGGATTCAGGATCATCTGCTTCTTCCGCCAGTGCCAAAATTTCCTTCACGTTCTCCAAACGCGACTGGTAGTCCTCCTCCTCAGGATATGTCTTTTTCAAGTAATCTTCGAGCTCTACGGCCTCTATGACATGCTTCATCAAGGATGCAATCGTATGCCCTTCTTCGTCGCTAAGCATTTTCCGTGCATCCTTTATGATTTTCATAAATCGTGAGATCCCATTTCGAGCTTTAGCTGAGAGTCCGGTTGCGAGTGGACCGTTTTCCATCAATTCCCATATAGACATCCGTTTCTGATCGGCTTCCTCAATGAGTGATTTAACGGTTACATCGCCAACGCCGCGCTTTGGAAGATTGACAACTTCAGCAAAAGCATTGTTGTCTGCAGGGTTGCTGATAACTCTCAGATAGTACAGAATAAGTCTGACCTCAACTCGGTCATAAAATGCTCGCCCACCTGTGACGATTAGTATATGTATATTATGTCTTGGTGACGAGCGTTTATGACAAAAGCAGCATTGACATCAACTTACCAACCATCCGATACGGAACTCCCGCTTTGCCAAGGTACGTTTCGATATGCCGCGATAAATACGCCGATCTTAGTAAAATAGCCACATCGCCGTACGTTATCAAGTCACCCGTAAGTGTGACACAGCGCCTAATCTCATGCATAATCCAGTCCCCCTCAACCTCCGCAGACTCGAGGGTTCTCAAAACAGGCCTTGTCCCCACCGTATGTGTCGCCAACAGACTTTTATTGATTCTACTCGTATCTTGTTGAATGATCTTCAAAGAAGCGGCTAGAATGGCGCCCGAGGAGCGGTAGTTCTCCTCAAGCGAAATGGTGATGGTGTCCGGGTATTGTCGTAATAAACTCAGATAGTTCTTGACCTCTGCAGACCGGAAGCCGTAGATACTCTGATCAGGGTCTCCTACAATAGTGACCTTCTTTCGTGACGCAGCCATGAGGCGCATTAGATCGAATTGGACCAGGTTCGTGTCCTGAAACTCATCTATCAATACTGCCTCGATATTGGAGACACACTGTGGGTGGTCTCGGAGCAGGTCCACGCATCGCAGAAGTAGATCATCGAAATCGAGTAAATTTGCTCTCTTCAGGGTCGCTTCGTACTCTGTGTATATTGCATCAATTTGCTGCACCTCTTTGTTGTTACTCTTCATCGCCTTCTCCATTTTCTCGCCCCAGCCGCCCTTCGCCTTTCGGCCACTGATCTTATTTTTCGTCGCTTTCGGATCAGCCATGAAGTTATTCTTCTTGATAATTCGTTTGATAATGGTCTCCGAATCATGCTGGTCCGCCACACCAAACCCCTTCTTGATGCCGATGAGATACCCGTAGCTGCGTAGGTATCTTACGGAAATGCTGTGAAACGTCCCCAGGATTAATTTCTGCTCTCTGTCATCCCCAAGCAGCTTCCCAATCCGCTCTTGCATCTCCTTGGCAGCCTTCTTTGTGAACGTCGCGACAATGATATTTTGTGCTTGTAACCCCGATGCGAGCAGCCATGCAACGCGCGAGGTGAGCGTGTGCGTTTTACCACTGCCAGGTCCAGCCAGAATGGCGAGCTGCTGAGCGGGCGAAGAAACGGCATCGCGCTGGGATTCATTGAGGTTCGATAGAAGAGTAGTAGACATGGTGAGGTTCAGGCGATTCGGGAAGAACGTCGCGATACTGAGCACAGCTCGGATTGAATTCCCCAGACCGCTCCGTCACAGACAAGAGAAATGAGGCAAAATTGCCACCGGGAATGATTGATCGTACTCAAGCCAATCGGTCCGTGGAATGGGAACATAGGCCAGCCGTCGGTTCCGCCTCCCCACCACCGTCTTGTGCCGTTCCCAATCCTGGAGGAGTAAACAGTCGCGACCCAAGTCGAGTCTAGTGACTAACAGTATAACGGTGGATGAGGCCCAGAATAGTTAAATCTTCAAAGCAAGATCATTATAATCAACCTGAATACCCAAATGGCTTCCAATGGGCAAGTCGTGAGGCGTTACCGTCGTCCTCAGTATTGTTGTCGCGGTATATTGTCCCAGCAATGGATTCAACGCGACGTCTCGCGTGATCACGTGACCATCATCTAATCTTATCTCCCATTATCACCAACCAATTCATCACCCTTCCACATTACCACCAGCGATCCATCTTCTCAATGCTAAACACAAGATTACAGCGCGTTGGTTTTTAGCAATACCAGAGAGCACAAAGAATGTGTGTAATGGTTTCAAACTCGGCGCATTAGCACATAGAGTATATAACTTTTTATCCTCTCTGCGGTCAGTATCATGAGGGTAAATTGAACCGACTACAGTACTTAATTAGCTAAGCGAGCAAAGCCAGAACTCATGCTGATCTCTGCAGCAGCCCAGATTCCCATACTCTTCAATGAGGTCTCGCCAGTCCCGCTGCCTGTGGGGGGCAACGAGGAATGCTAATCGCTCGGTTGGAGTACCAGAGGTGGACTCGCCGATCCAAATCAGTTTGGTGATCCGAAGCAAGCTTCATGGTCTGCATGAGCTGAGGCCAGACACTACCAAGGGCAGAAAAGACTGGGCAAACGCACCTCCATTGCTAGAGTTGGTCGATCTGTTCCATAAATGCCCGTCGGAAGGCCCTAATACGTTGCTGTGCCGAGACTAGGACTCTCCAACGCGGCAGCAGCCGTCGTTCCGGTGCAGGGATGGGCCCGTGTAGGACATGAAATGAGGGCCCCTGACCACTGGAGCAACATTCACAACCTCCACAACCCCACGCCGAAGCAAGTTCAGCCCCAGGAAATCCTGCGCCACCGCTTGACCGGGTCTCTGTTGCTGGGCACCATAACACCAAAGCCTTCTCTGATTCGCGAGAATGACCGGATCCGCGGCAGCATCCACAGTTCCCCGCCTTACTAACTCGAAGCCTTGCGGCCGCGGTTTCCGGGTTGCTCCCCCCTCCCCCCCCTCGGGCCGTTGCAGGTGCTGAGGAACGCTAATAACTTATTTGGCTCGTGTGTGTCGAGTTGCATGTGTACAACGTGCCTCGGAAAGTTTCAACTCGACGGACAGAGAAGGGCGTGCCGGCGTGAGACACGCGTCTCTCTTGCCTTCCAGTGAAAACGGCAGTGGGTGGCTGTCCGCGCGCGCCCCATAGTTGTTTAGAAAAGCCCTGAGGCTTCGGGTTTCTTGTCACCGCGATTTCCCATTTGGGAGATTGATAATGATCTATTGAACTGGGATGGATTAATTCAGGAAAAGGAACTAGTGGCAACACTTGGAAGGTGGGGGTTCGGGGCAATCTCATCACCCATGTCACTGGGCCTATAATGTCATACATATAGTGTCCACTTTCAGCGCAGAACCTGAAAAAAGGGGAGCCTCGCCAAACATGACAAGGTTTGTACGTGAAATGTCAACCGGGGATTGATCAGAGTGTGTTCCGGCAACTCTGCGAACCGCCGTCTATCCCTGTTCATTTCTAATTAGCTTCAAACATTATGGGAAATATTCCGTAACGCACGGAAAGCTCGATGATGTATAGGGGCTCAACATTCAATACTTGAAGATCTCAATGAGGATGGGAGTTGCTGTGTATTTTCTGGTACAGTACTGCGCATCCTTGAGCTTCTTTTGTTGGGTCTTGCGGCCTTGATATCCCCACGCATTTGAGACTGCAATGTGAGCACCACGCTGGTAGCGTGGCTTGAAGAGGCCGCGTGGAGAAACAATGAGCTGCATCATCCTTCCTTTTCAGCTGCATATGGTCAAATTCATGGAGTTCACGTTGCTATGAAGCTAGCCCAGGCCAATGATGATCTGCTAGCCTGGGACATCGTGGTCCAGGAGAGAAGTACTCCTCATGCAAGGCTCCGTACAGCATTGTACAGTACAACAAGTACAGTACATCGCTGTACGCGTAGTACACATACATGATCGGCGAGTTTTTGGGAGTGGCGACAGATGAAAAAAATATCAGAGGCACTCGAGTACGATTTGCGTCGCATTACATGTGGTGAACAGCACAGAGAGACTGTGAAGCAACACCCGCCATGGTGCAAGCGCTCCCTGACATGCAGTACGACGATCATGTTATCGGCTCCGGATAGCTGGAATATAAAAAATTGGTATGGCCAGGGTTGTGGACAGGTCATTTTCGTACCGTCGTTGCATCCTCTGGGACAAAACAACCCTGTCTGGATTGTCGGCTGGCCCGTCAATTGGCGCCAGGCAGTCTGATTTGACACAAAATGAGCCTTGCCTCGCAACTCCGCAACCACAGCGACCTATCCCAGGCTATGGAGAACGATGTCGGGTTGGGATTGCGTGGGAGAGACGAAGTGGGCTCATACAAGCATGGCACCGACGGTGGAAAATCACCTGGGAATTATTGGATCTGTCTCGGGCACATTGACTGAATGGCGCAGTACAGGCATGTTCACGGCAGAGCTAAATGAAGTCTCGGTCTGTCGCTCAGTCGTCGAGTACTAGAATGATCATGGCCAGAACGCGTGTGATTCAGTATCTCCAGTACCTATACCTACAGTTTTGCAAGTCCTCACCCTCACGCATAGCACATATTTATGCACTTTTAGTGCGGACTAGGTCTTGTATAACCTCGCTCGTACAGGATGGTACGCCATATGCCTGCCGCCCTGGAAGGTTGTGTCTCCAAAGAGACGAAGGAGTCGATATCGGTGCATGGTTTATAGATGCATGGTTATAGTTACACGGCGACGCATTTGGCACTGCATTTGCCACCAACACAAGCTGGCACACCATCACCACCGGAAGCCCCGCAGGAATGTCAGAGGCGTTTTATACATGGCAACACAGGATAGCTCTAGTAGACCAGACCATCCCCGAAGGTCCCTACATATTACCTCGCAGGGAAATAATAGAACCTCCCCCCCCCCGGGCCCGCATACGGTGCATACATCATCTCCGGACCTGCTTGGTCCCAGAAGAGCAGGCCAACATGAGTTAACTGGAAACTTATCTCCGTATCCCTATGACGCCCAGTCCGAGTCCCAGTCCCGGTATTCGCTCTGAGACCACACGCATCCCCCCTCTCCAAATGTCTCTCAGCCTTGGTTTATATAAGTATCCCTACACACCTGGCCCTTCCCGTCACTGAACTATGTCTATTCCACCAGGAGGCTGCAGAAAGGGTATATTAGTACCAAGGAGGCATAGCCTGTCGCATTTGGAACCCCTCCCCTCACGATTCTTGTCTTGACTCTTGTCTTTGTCAAATCGGCTGACCATATAAAGTAAGTCGTACAATCTCAGCATTCCATATTATCGAAAACTGATTTATATTTTGCAGCGCAGCCCATAACATTCCTATGGCGTTCAGCAACCACGAAAACCTATCGTCCGCACCACCCCGCCGGCCCTCCCAGGGCCCTCCTACTGAGCAAGGAGAAGACCACATGATGACGCAGACCGACTCATCCTTTGACCCCCATGAGTGGCATCGGCACTTCCAGAACTGTCGCCGCTTTTTCCTTGACCATTCACAGCACAGTCCATTCCTCCAGGCTGTGGCTGCCTACGTGAATATCCTCTTACCATATCAACGACACCCGAACCCGATATCAGCATACTCCCCACTTCGATCAACGACATCACATTCGGGGGACTCAACACCCTCTACGCTCTCACCCAGGCTTGACGACCGCCACGGCGAGTCGATCTCGCTAGTTCCATATATCCGCCGGCTTGTTGTAACCGGCTTCGACACGCAGGCGATGCTCAAGACGTTCTTTGGCGATGACTGGGCCAAAGGAATAGGGCAGCTACACGAATCCGAGAGACGCAATTACCTCTTCGCCGCGAAGAGTGGGAGCTGGCTCGAAGTTAAGGCTAGCTATGAGCCGTCGCCCAACGAAACTATACCATACATGATGCCGATACGTAACCCTGCGGAGAATGAGATCCGCGCTGCAGAGGAGAAATGGAGTGAGTGGCTTGCGATGCAGGACTGGATGGTGGGACCGAGGGCACCTCCTTCTGAGGCGATGAGAGCGCACCTTGAGATGGACTCTATGGAGTGAGAAGGCTGATATATACACTCTGTTTTGGATATAAATGACACAAGCGGCGCGAAGGGTTTGCAGTTGATGAGCACTTCAATTGCTCTCCAGATACCCGACGCCATATACCCTATACCTACCCTCATACTACTTGTACTTAGAAAAGGAGTCAGCGATGAACTTTGGGGTGATACGGATCGAGGTGCAATGCGTTGTTGCCACCTCTTCCAAGGGGGGGAGATGGCCGGCGATCTTCTTCTGCGTCGGTATTCGCGGGCTCCTGCGGGCTTCGCGGTTGAGGGCAATACTACTCGAGGATTCTGTCACATCTCGGATTGTATAAGATCAGCTTTTTGACGCAGTTGGACTCGTACAGACCGTTAAATTGGTTACTTCGTGTCTCGGTTTCTCAAACGCCTCGGCCTAAGTTTCTGCCGCCCCGGAAGCCCCGACCTTGAACGGAGACCCCTAGCGCGAGGCTGAGGCGGGTGAATCCAGTACCTGGCGGCCTCGCCATCGTGACGTCCGAAGACGTGTAGAATAACAATATTCCTACTGAAGTTCATCCATTTACCACAATTGACCCTATACCACTATATCACTGTATCATGAAACTTGGCTATGCTTGAATTGCAAACGGTCCGATAACTATGGACGAATGGGCGACCTTTTTCGCCCATGCACTCGATCGGCGTCTCCCCACCGACAAGTTGGAGCAATTCGCAAAGGTCCTCAGCACCAAGTCACCTCTCGCCACCCCTCTCATCGCCGAGCTATTGCTACGTCCCAGTGAATCCAGGAACTATGACTTGGACCCGCAGGTCTCTCTTTACGTTCAAGCTCTCCTCCGAATCGACATCCTTGACGTGCCGTCGGTCTTGCGCGCGCTGCTCAGACACTCTACCTCTCGCCCTGTCGACGCTACAAAGGAGGACCAAGAGGTCGCCAGCGGCTCTCAGACAAGATGGACAAAGAGTTACGGCCATGAAGAGAGGCTAGTGTATGGCCTCTCAAAAATTGTGGCAGCCGGGGATCGACCGAAGTCTGCCCAAGAAGCTTTGGTGATGGCGAATGCGCTCACGGAGTGGATGCGCTTGTTGGTCATGTCAAACGCGGCAGATGATATGATGCGGGAGATTGGAGCGGGGAATGACACTCATAACCAGGAGACTATGGCTGTGAGGGTCGCGGTTGGCGCGCTGTTAGTTGCGCTGGCCGAGAACTCGACAGTGAATGATGCGCTGAAAAACCGGTGTCCCAAGGGTACGTATTTGAAGAGTCTCGGGTGCCATTGCGGTCTTATAACTGTGAACTGAGCAATGCTAACAAACATATAGATACCCTCAAAGGGTTCTCGCAGTCACTAGCGAATTTTACGCCGCTTCTCATCAACGGATCTTCCATGTTCGCCGAGAGACTCGAATTATACACAAAGACACTCGTGGCCCTGGAACCCATGGATAAAAAGGCCCAGAAGGCTGGTGCTGAAATAGACCAGATTATAGACTCCGCCATGGCACTTGGTATGGACAATATACCAGTGGTTGAAATACCTACCATGAACTCAAGAGCTGGCCTCTACGTGTATCTAAATTCTTTGGTGGGAGCATCCTATTTATATTGATGTGCTCTACTAACAAAGTTGCAGCTGACTGGAAGACCCATGGTTGATGACAATCAACTTTTAAATTTCCTCCATAACCGATACCAGGTTCGTATTTTGTCCATTGTTTTCAACACCAAAGCTCACATCTATCAGGGCGATATCCAAACGACATGTATTGACCTCATTGTGTCCTCATTTGACATTCTTGCCAATGCAATTTTCCGCTCCGAAAGTCCGCAGACAACATTCCTCCTACGCTCGTTCCTTATCAACAAAGTGCCTTTACTGATATCCATGATATCGGCCCCGATGTTCCCGCCTCTAAGTCCGGAGTTGTGCATCACGGAAGCTCTGAGCCATGTAGATACCAACGCCTTTCCGACCTTCTCCTCCATGTTCGATGATACCAGTGCAGGTGACATGTTCTCAGACTCCGTGAGACAGGATTTCTGCTTCTCGTGCTGTCTCCACGGCCTGATCCCAGAAGAGAGCATAGAGCGACTTCTGGGTGAGATTCCAATGCAGACACTACCTGCAGGCGGCCGGTACACCAAGGACGAGGTCTTGGAGCAGTGTCTCTCTGACTCTGAGAAGATTGAGGCGTTCACTGACGAGCTGGAACACATGGACGGAAATGTGGGTGCGGTTAGTCAGGCCATAACGGAGCTACTTCGCCGTCTCTGCGAGAGCAAAGATACCATGGCTCTGAAGTCTCTCTGTGCCCACCTTGCACGTAAGCCGTCGTCGCTTGACGTACTCTTGATCTTCGACAAGCCCCTCACAATTTTACCACCAATCTGCCAGCTTCTCGACGCCTGGCGCTATGACGACGACCAGGGCGAGTACCAACCTGTCTACGAAGAGTTCGGCTCCATCCTCCTGCTAGTTCTGGCGTTTGTGTACCGCTACGATCTCAGTGCCACAGAGCTTGGTGTCCAAACGCCAGATTCTTTTATTGCGAAGTTGCTCGTTCGTGGGTCAACTGCACGGCTTCTGGACGATTTATCATCTGTGGAATCGTCCCAGCTGGATGGATGGATCAAGGGCCTCTTCAATGCAGAAGGTGGCGGGTTAGGGGATGAACCTATGGCGCTTTGTCCTCCGCAGGATTTCTACCTCCTCGTACCCACTCTCTTTAGCCAGATTGTGCTGGCATCCCAACATGGCCACCTAACTGACGACGTCCTCCGCGGCGGCCTTGAATGTAAGCCACCCCCCATATGTATTTCCAACCGGACAACACTAACTCTATCGCAAGACCTTCTCGACCCCTCACTTCTCCCTTCGCTCATTCCCGCCCTTCTCTCATTAGCATCTAACATTCTCACTGCCCCACCTCCGTCATCTCTCTTACAGGCTCTCATTCTACCCCAATCTATCTCAGCAGAAGCCTCACTCCTCCATAACGCGATCCTCCCAATTCCCGCCCCTCATCTCTCACGCTCCCTGCGCGCACTCCAACGCTCAGTGCCGACCCGCACCGACCTTGACCCTCTCATTGCCGCTCTCCGGCCACATCTACACTTTTCCCGCAGCGCCATCGATCTCACCACCGACTTTCCCGTCCCACCGAACATCCCCACCGCCGTCCGCCACGCCGCTCGGGCTCTTATTAACTGGAACCCCCCCGCCGCACCGCCGAATTACTCTCCTCGCCTCCCGGTTCTTGCAGTACGCATGCTTGGGGCGCGAAGGGCTCTACTTACGCTACTGGAAGAGCTAGCACATCAGTGTGCCCTGGGGAATTCGGGAACTGCATATGACGTCGTCGCGTCTTTGGTGTGTGCGCCACCGAAAGCAGCAGCTGGGGTACAAGGTCGTATAACTCTGCGAGAGGCCTTGGCATCAGAGGCGGCGAAAGTGGGTGCGGAAGTTGGAAAGGAAGGGCCAGAGGCAGAAAGGGCAGAGGTTGTTGTGCGGCTGTATCGGAGAGTTGAGGCGTTGTCAGCGGGGGGAGGGATTGATGAGCAGGCCGGATTGATGGGCGCAGATTTAGGGATTGCAGGAGTTGGGGGAGAAGGGTTGGTGGGGGAGGATATGATGGGTGTGCTTTCTGGGGAGGGAATGATGGGGCTGGAAGGAGGTATGTTGGATGATATGAAGCTTGACTTTTAAGGGCGCTCTACACCTTCTCGCGGTGACCATCTACTCCCCAGATATTAAAAGGGGGGTTCATTTGCATGGCTACATCATCGTATGTATATGAATGTCATATAAAACGTTATATCCTTGATTCAATTGAATTCTCAGTGGTGAGGTCACAGCTAACTAAAAAAAAAGCTTCCTGACTCTGACTCTGCACCTGGTTTGCTACATGGAAATGAGACGTCAGTCCTAGAATCAACTTCCTCCGTTCGCTTCCTGGAATCTTTCATGAAATGTCGACAAACGTTTGGATCTTCGGACCATGTGTTCCTCTCGAGGGTTTGACCCTTGCGTTGTTAAAGTTCATTCAATACTTTACACCTCACCTTACTCCGCAATCGGCATTCCGGACGTCAACACATTCCTGGACATAACTGATACAGCCAGCACTTGCAGACCAAACATGGCACACAGGGGGATCGACGGCTCCACCAATAATTTGAAATTTGGGGATAAGCAACCGGATCGCTCGTTGCAGGGCTAGAATTGGATTCGACGAGAGAATTTAGACTTCAACTTCAACTTCACCTTCTTAGAAGAGAAACTTGCAGTTTTAACCTGCATAAGCTGCGTCTAAGTTACAGTTCTTGGCGCTTACCTTCCTCGCTGAACCTATGTGGCTCAATGTCGCCAACACGTGTTTCGGTCCCACGTGCTCATCACTGTCCCACGTGCATTATCATAACGCTCTACGAGGACATGTAAACCTCATTGTTCAACTTGGAAAACATTTCTTTTGCTGGATATAATCTAGAGTCGGACTTTGAGAGATCATTTCCTCGTTTGTTATGGCGCGTCTGAGATGTCTCAACTTGACAGAACACTACATATAGTGCTTTGATTTCCACAAGATGTTCTCACGCGATATCCTCAAATTTCACGAGCTCTTCCAAGTAGCATAATCAAGAAACCATGGCATCCATTATGAAATTTTCTTCGCGCGGCCTTTTCGCCGCTGCTGCGGTATCTCTGGCTGCAGCCTCGCTGGCGTCTGCTGCGGCCAACATGGTACCAAACTACGAGGTCAAGCTCTTGATGAACCCAGCTGTGGTGCTTGGATCAGACTTTAAACTCAAATCAGAGGTTCTCTCTGCTTTTGCGATGCCAACGACCGTTACCAAGATGAGCGTACAGTTCCTTGACGATGACGCCCAGACGCTCTACAACGCTGGCTGGAGTCCACGTATCCGCAATATGGAGGGCGAGTCTGACTACGACTTGACCTACAAGAAGAGATATGCTGTCTCCGGGAACGACATTAACGGCGCACTCACCAAAGCCAACTCTGAGGGGTTTGATGCCAACACCTCCAAGTACGAGGCTCAAATCGAGTGGGGCTATCAGAAGAAGACCCTCTCTCTCAGCAACGACAAGACCGCCTCAGGTGCCAGCGGAATGGACCTCCCTAATGTGGGAGACTCCCGGACCATTCTCATCAATAATGCGCCAGACAAGTTCAACGACTGGACATCTGACAACTGGGGCACGACTGAGCTGAAGACGTCTCGTATCTACGGTCCTGTGCTGGCAAAGCGCTCTACTGGCATCTTCAGCGGCGTAAAGCTGTACGTTGAGGTGTGGCCAATTAAGGCCGCATCAGGTTCGGGAATTGAGTACATTGTTGAGGCGTCGTTCAAGACCGACACCAGCAGTGACGCGTCAACAAAGCAAAGTCAACTTATGAACTTGCTTCAGACCAAGGGGTGGTTCCTTGCTCAGGACTCCTTGAAGACGCAGCTTATCATGGAACGGTACTAAATATTTATCGAGCCTTTGAATAGAATAGAATATACATCAAAATTGCAGAAAGCAGGTTAGGAGCAGCGTGTGAAGTGGGTAAACACATAATTTTATAATACATATACCAAGGGAGCATGTGGTGTCGTCTATAGTATATATCTAACAATATAGATATATTGTTTGGAGTGCCACAAGGTGTCAATTACAAGGACAACCTTATTTGCACCCTTTCACGGCTTTGTTTTATGGTCTCACTGCACTGCAATGATCTTTCAAGCTTAAATCCAAGGGATGGATTCTGCTGCGAACAATGGTATATAAACTTAAGAGACGATGCTTGGTATGCTGTAAATAATATTACAGCCTATGGCTATTGCTATCAAAAGCAGCCATTTAGTTCAACGGCGGACGTTATATGCAATGGCATGATATGTGCCAGTGCCCGACATGCGATTGGGATCGACTGGTTCAGGCTTCGTCAAGTCCCCACCCGCCTCGCGTAGACTCGCCCTCCGAATTAAAGTCGCTGTAGACCGGGTATCATCCGTTATAGATCAAATGTAACTACCGAAGCTCACATCACGTCCTGCTATACCTGCCTCCCTTTTGCTCGTTCGACATCCGAGACGATGCCCGATCGTCATTCTCGCTGTCAAATTGCACGCGCACATCTGTAGACTTTACGATGCCATGGTATGTCATGATTTCCTCCTCGCTGTCATTGGGGCTCACGCTGCGGCACTCAGTATGCTTGGCCTGTGAACCGTCGCGCATACTCTTCATCGCTATGCTAACGCTGGTACCATGGCGGTTATAGATAGCTGGGTTGTCGCTGCGCAAGTTGCCGCCGCTTTTCGATGTATTATAGTTGACGCTTGAGCCAGCAAAGAGGCCTGGCATCAAGATTCTGCCGAGAGGTCTCAAGGCGGGAATAGTAGCGGATATGATGGCGACATTTGCTTCCACGGTGGAAAGCGTGATTCCAATAGAATGGAAAGGATCTCCGTTCGGGTTGGGCACGTAGAACAACCTGTATAACTCGACAAATCGGACGATAGCCACTACGGTAACGCTGCGAAGTATGACCATCAGTATTGAACTCCAAGTTGTGCAATGTGCTTCTGAAGCGACATTTACTTACGAGGTTCCAAGCAAAAATGCGCCGATTACTGTCATCTTTTGTGCCATGGGCATGTTAAGCCCCAGGAAAATCCAGAAGGGTAGAGCAAGCACCAGGATATCCGTGAATATAGTTAAGGCCGAGATTGCGACGTGAAACGACACATCAACACAAGTTGCGGTGGCCATTACAGCAGAATCCCAGTTGGCTGCAATTGGTAGACATTGCAGTGTTGCCACGAGGAATATGGCGATGGCCTGCAAGGCGTTGAAAGTAAACAGAGCGTATATGGCGTAGCGAGTAGCTGGCCTTTGGCCACCTAGGCGTAGCAAGAATAATAGGACCGAGGCTTTGACGAATGCGAGGATTGGATTATAAAATAATTGTGCCAGATAGAACCACCACATTCCAGGGGAAGGATCGTAATCTGCTGGCACATCGACCGCATACCATCCCCAGTAATTCAGCTTGATGTCTGCAAGGCCGATCATGTCAGTTCTCCTTCTTCGCTTTCAGGACTTTTCACATACGCATATAAAACGGCCCACACATCAGAAGTGAAAACATCTGTCCAGGTATTAGGTATTTCAGCTCTGCTTAAAGGGGCATTGAACGGCCCCTGACAAACGTATTTGGACAACGGAGCTTACCAATCCAATAATGATGAAGTAGTCATCTAGCAGTTGATGTTAGAAAATATTCCATTAAAGCATTCTTGGCTGACGAGGTCGGAGCACTCACCGGGACCCCATTGCTTGATTTTGACTCTGCAAAAGGCTCTCAGACACACGAAAATCAGTGCCAGGGCGGGAAAGAAAAAGTTGATAAACAGTCCCGCAGCTTGTAGCGGCGGTGTCGGGATTCTTGTGACATCCCCATGGGGAGGGCGTCTTGGGAGGATAGTATGCATTATATCCGGAGTACCATCAAGAATCGGCGGGTAGTAGTGTATCTTAAACGTGACGTTGGAAATCAACGACCGGCCATCACTGTTCGGTTGACCCAGAGAGCAATTGAGAGCAGCTATGAGCAAGGCTTCGATGACAGCGGGGATCGGAGATAAATAAGGTGTTAGTGTCGGTGCAGAGTCGATCTCTTGTGCGAAGAGAAAAAGGAAATGATTGCCAATCAGAAGGACCGTTCTGCTTCGGGGGGAAATCTCGGTTGCTTGTTATGCGAGAGCGAGGACTGGACTCCAATTCCACATTCTAGAGCAATGGCCAAGCTGACGATCATGTCTCTGTATGACAGCCAAGAAGGCACCGGTGTGTAACAGCCACCATAGATGTGGTTAGAGGCGAATGATGGTGAAAGATTCTCGGGGGGGACAACGGAAGTGGAGGCATAATCTGTCACCATAGCCATAGATAGCGCTTTCCGTAATGCTGCTTTAAGGGAAACTAGACTTGGTGGTTAGAGAGAGCTGGATTTCCTGCAGGAAGCACACTACCTGGGAAAGCGGCAGGATTAGTTGCGCCTTTTTTCATCCCGTCTTCGTACAGCACCGACCTCCTGGATACCTCAGGAGAGGCTCGAGCCCTCAATAAGCTGGTCATGGTAATCGAAATATTGCGGGGTAGTCCAATCAAAATGGACTATATGGAAGACAAGGTCGCTAACCTCAGTCCTCATTACTTCGTAAAACTCATTAGACCATGTTAGACCACGTTAGGGGTTCTTGGGACCTCTTAGAGCATATAAGTAGACACCACTAGCACACAGTTAGCGAGTTAGCACGACTTGTCAAATGAGCGAAGTGGAGAGGGATGCCTGTGTTTAAACTCTAAGCGGTTTGGCTCTACGCTGGAGCTGGGGTTTGGCGAAGTTTAGCGCGAGTCTGACGGCAGGGCGGCGGAGCGGCGCCACGCTCCTGCCAACTTCCAAGACGGATCGGCATTTGAACGCCCCAACCCAAACTTCGGCGACTGACCGAGCTGAGCAACCGAAGCATACTTGGGAGTTGATCTAGTAGTGATCTAGTAGTCTTGTCTGTCCCTTGGCATAGTAAGTATCCTTTTTTTTTTCGTGTACATCATGCAAAAGGGGTATTTATACCGTATACCGTATTCCGTATTCCGTACATGTTCAAAGGCCAAATCGCTAACAAAACGGGGTCTTCACCATGTTATTTTCGGTCGCAGACGTCGGCAGTGACCCAAACCATGCCTGACAGGAGTGAAGTGCAGCAAAATACGCCAAGGTTAAATATCGGGCCTGTGCTATGCGTCCAGCACATTGGCTCAGGTAGACAGGGGCAACGACCCAGCAGCTGCGACCCAAGGTACCCAATCCGGGAGTTGCGTTCCGAGAGTTGCAAAACCATGCAGGCCCGCTACATCTTTCAGGGGAACGAGCCCCGGTCCCCTGAGTTTAGGGATTCTTGGAATCATTCGCACATTTCGGTATAATTTACCCCGTCTATCCTCAGTGGTACGTATCAGACGGCGCTGGGCACCTTCTGGTCACGCTCGAGCATTATGGTAAGCTCGGCATAAGCAGACGAGTGAGAAACTAGCTCTCTTGGCATAATTCGGAGATTGCTGGAATTCTGATAGGCATATTTCCGGCAGATCCAGGATGCCACGTGTGTATCGCGAGATTGACTAGGATCTACTAGATCGCCCGCATATTGCCCGTAGATTTCCCGAGAATATATATATTACTGCGAGATGCCTCACGATGGTCTCACTCTTCCATTCCCGTGAAGGTTCACGGCATCATGGCTTTCTCATCTTTCGCTCGAGCGCTGCTTCTGGCGAGCGCTCTTCCCCTCGCAACCCTTGTCGGCGCCCAGACAGTGACTCAGAATGGCGAATTGATCCGTACGCGGCCCTCACTTTCCTCGTTATCTCCCGCGATGCTAATGCAATTGAATAGCTGCTGATGAGACAACTGTGGCCCCGGCTGCCCAGCTTCTTGAAGACCCAGCTTCTGTTTTGTCTGAGGCCGAAAGGTTTCAACTTACGGATGCCGTCCTAGCGAACCTGACGGAATTGGAGCTTAGCAATGTTTCGCTCTTCAACTTTGCCAGCTCTGACGAAGTAGTTGCCAAGCGCTCCATTTTCAACCGCTGCAAGACGTCTCCAGGAGACCTACTCTGGCCGTCCAAGCCGATCTGGACCGTTTTCAACATCCTGACGGGAGGCGCGCTCATTGAGACGGTCCCGATTGGCGCCGTTTGTTATAAGAACAACAAGCACTATAACGCTGCGAAGTGTGCTAATATTCTAGCTCACTGGACAGAGTCGGCCACCCAGTAAGTCCTTTATATTATAATTCCACTTTTCAACCCTCAACCATAATTCTTCCCCCTCATTCACGTGCATTACAATATGTCAGTATTAGTTAACACCAAGCAGTGCGGGAGACCCTACCTCGGTCATGTCACCTCTCTACCAGGGCGAGACCTGCATGCCTCAAGCCGGCAACACAAGCACCTGCGAGCTAGGCGGTTTCCCCTCTTATTCTGTTAAGGCGACAACCGTCTCGCAGATCCAACTCGCCGTCAACTTCGCTCGCAACCTCAACCTTCGCCTTGTTGTTCACAACACTGGCCATGACTTTCTCGGCAAATCAACTGGTGCCGGTGCGCTCTCGATCTGGACTCATAACCTGAAGAGCATCAGCTTTATTAAAAGCTACAGCTCCCCCTCGTACAAAGGGCCTGCCTTCAAGCTCGGCGCTGGTATCCAGGTGCTCGACTTGTATGAGGCAGCTAAGAAGTACGGTGTCACTGCTGTCGGCGGTGAATGCAAGGGTGTTGGTGTTACTGGCGGTTACATTGCTGGAGGCGGCCACTCTCCAATTTCGTCAAAATACGGCATGGGCGCGGACCAGGTCCTCAGCATCGACGTTGTTACTCCCGATGGGCGCTTTGTCACTGCTGACGAAAAGAACAACAAGGATCTGTTCTGGGCTATCCGTGGCGGCGGTGGTGGCACTTTTGGTGTGGTCACCAGCATGACTGTCAAAGTCCACCCAAAGATGAACTTTTCCGGCGTGACGTTCACCATCCTGAGTGGTCCCGGTACCAACGTTCCTGACAACATCTTTTGGGCTGCCCTTGAGGCCTACTGGCGCAAATTCCCTGGATACGCTGCGAAAGGCACCTACGGGTACTCTAGTATATTCCCGCTTGGCCCTGCCGGTGGATATATGTGGAGCATGCTACCATGGCTTGTACCTCAGATGAGCCTTGTCGACTTCAAGGCTATGGTGACCCCGCTCTTTGACGAGTGGACTGCGCTGGGTCTCCAATTTGAGCCAGTGTTCTTTGAGCACGATAACTTTTACGACACATGGACATCCCATTTCCCCGTCGAGGGCGTCGCTAATAGCAATCTGCGCACCGCATCGCGCCTGTTCCCTATCAAGAACTGGGCAGATGAGGTAACTCTAAACAAGACCATCTCCACCATCCGTTCTGTTATCGAGGACGGTTCCGCATTCATCCAATACAACATTAACGGAGCCGCACCAGCCGGTACACCAGACAACGCAGTGAACCCAGCATGGCGTGATGCTACTCTCTATGGTATCTTTGGTGGCGGATGGGCTCCAGATGCTCCATTGGAGGATATCGCCTTTGCCAACAAGAGGATAACGAACGATTGGGGAGCTCGATTCCGCGCGATTACCCCGGGCAGCGGCGGTTATCTCAACGAAGGCGATGTCATGGAGCCGAACTTTGGACAGGCCTTCTTCGGATCCAACTATGACAGGCTGAAGCGCATCAAGAAGGCGACGGATCCATGGAACGTCTTCTGGGCGCCTACCGCTGTTGGCAGTGAGGACTGGTATATTACCGGCCAAGAAGACTGGCTGACTCTCCAGACTGGGCGTTTGTGCCCGAAATAGGATGTTAAAACATATGGCAGACAGTTTCGTACATATAATATTTAATACCTGTCCCGCCAAGATAGATCACACACGTTCGGCCTGTCGGCAGCACGTTAACTTCAAGCTATTACCATAAAATTTTAATGCACAAGAAGGCGTCGGCTGCGGCCTTAATAATAATTATCCGTCTTCACTAAGTTTCCACTTTATATTTTGATATTTTGATATTTATGCTCTCTTACTTCTTGAACCACCCCGCATGTACTAGGTATCTCATACCTACTACAGAGTAACACAGAATTGTGGAAGTAAGTATCGCAATATGTTTCGATGAAAGTCATTCGAAAAATACCGATGTCACGCAAAAGCTTGCGTGAATTGAACGAATCACTAGGTTGAGATGCGATTCTGGTTCTCGTTACAGCGTCAAACAAAACTGGCAGAGAACAAATAGTAAGCCAATATGGTCCGCCAGCGACATAATTTCAGCCAGTCTTTAAACATATTTATCTCCGAGGCTTAAAAATGGCGGATGTGGCTTGATTAATTTGCAATAGTAATTTTGGCGCTCCCTCGGCGCCTTACCCTCCGCACTATATAACATCGAAATTGCAATTTCTTGGCTGATTATTGCTTCCCGCTTTAACACTCCTGCAGATCAACACAAACAAGGCTCCCCGCAGAATAAAGTGCACTGTGCCTGGCTAGGTTACCAACACCTCAGGGACAGCTACGTAATGCCAATTGGACGAGATATATGATGGCGCCTCCTCGTTGTTTGTCGCATTTGCGACGGAGCTGGGGTTCCGATACTCTCAACGTCAATATATAAACTATGGTTTCTGGCTCGCTCCTCAGATTCTCGTGAAGCTCAGCCTCCTTGCTACAGACTCAATCGACCTTTCCTGAGCAACCGTCATGAAGCTTACCGCCGGAATAACGTTGGCCTTCCTGGCCGCGAGCACCGTAGCATCGCCAACATGGCCAACATGGCCTCCGTTCGGAGGGAAGCCTAAGTACCACAAAGGCATCCCTTATGCTGAAGGATCGAAGTTCATGTTAGATGGCAAACCGTTCCTCTTTGCTGGAAGCAACGCATACTGGCTCCCATTCATCAACGTGAGTTACGAACTTTATTCCTCCTACCGAGGGTGATACTGAGTTCTAGAATAGAACCCTTCGGATGTGAGGAACGCTCTTACACAGGCCAAACATGCTGGCTTGAAAGTCATGCGTACATGGGCTTTTAATGACAAGAACGCAACTTATATTCCCGGCGGGCTACCAATGTACGGAGGAGAAGGAGCAGGCGAATCCCCGATATATTTCCAATCGTTCAAGGACGGAGTGGCAACGATCAATTACGGCCCTAATGGATTGCAAGCACTCGACAAGGTGGTCAAGATTGCTGAAGAAACTGGGATTAAACTCGTCATGGCCTTAACCAACAACTGGGCGGATTATGGAGGTATGGACGTTTACACAGTTAACCTTGGTGGGAAATACCATGACGACTTTTTCCATAGCCCGAAGATCGTCAACGCCTTCAAGAAATACACCGCTGCCGTTGTCAGTCGGTACAAAGACTCCCCGGCTATATTCGCATGGGAGCTTTCCAATGAGCCCCGCTGCGGTGCTGATGGAACGAGGAATCTGCCTCGCTCTGCTGGCACGAACTGCTCCCATGTGATGGTTACCGATTGGATTGCTGATATGGGGAAATTTATCAAAGGAATCGACAAGAAGCATATGGTTACTTGGGGTGGCGAAGGCGAGTTCTACGAGGAAGGTAACGAGGATTGGGCCTATGCAGGCGCTGATGGCGGACACTTCTATAATGAACTGGCACTGCAAGAAATGGACTTCGGTACTTTCCATCTGTACCCTGACTGGTGGGACAAGACCGCCGAATGGGCCAACAAATGGGTAGCGGACCATGGAAAGGCACAGGTCAAACTCAATAAGCCTGTCTTGTTTGAGGAGTACGGTTGGCTCCATCCAGAAGATCGGCTTGCATTCGTCAACAGGACTGTCCCTGCGAACCAGACGAGGGTGGCTGTCATTGGAGAATGGCAGAAGATAGCTCTCCAATATAAGATGAGCGATGCATACTGGCAGCTGGGTGTGTGTGGGCTTAGTACTGGGTGCAACCATAACGACGGGTTCACAATTTACCTCAACAACACCGAAGAGAGCCGTCCTCTTATCTTTCAGCATGCAAAAGATGTAGCAAAGGTAAATTCAAGGTTATAAATATATAGAGGGAGTGGTGGTTGAAACCGTACCGAAATTGGAATATAATTATATATTTTAACAATTATATAAATTTATGAGTGTTTTATGCATTCCGAACTATCCTGGTTTTGCGTGCTTGTATTTCAACGCTACCTTAGAATGATTGTTAACTTATAGTCGTAAATTAATTAATCTCTCTCATTGTAAACTCCTGTTTTCAATTAGACGTAGAGGGAAATTGTTGTGCGTATGAAGTGCAATTATGTGTAGCTGCATGAATATTTAGGTGTGGCGTTGCTAAAGCAGGAGCGATGACGCATCGCCTATGGTAGCTTGGATCTCTTATCGTTTATGTAGGTAGAACACCTCTTCCGACAGCATCCTCTTTCTCCAAACCCTAGTATTAGCATTGTCATCGACCTTCACGAGTACAATTGGTTTAATTTTAGCCTGCTGTTAAGGCTAGAGCTATTGCAATGGCCTCACACCCTGACGAGAAAAGACACATTGTCATTATAGGTGGGCTCTAGCTTGCGAAACCCATCACAAACAAATGTTTCTAACGAACGTGATAACAAGGTGGTGGCATCATTGGATGCACAAGGTGAGCTTGTCTTAAACAGAAGCATACTTGCGCAGCTGCTAACTGAAGCTCAACAGGTACGAAATATGTAACCAACCGACAGCTATATCTAGACGCTCATGAATCCAGTGCATACTTCCTCACTCGCCATCCGTCCTTTAACCCGAAATTTCACTCTATCACAATCCTCGAGGCCACAGCTATCGCAGCTGGCGCATCTGGCAAAGCAGGAGGCCTCTTGGCTCTGTGGGCATACCCTCCAAGCATTGTCCCGCTGTCGTTCCGTCTCCACGCCGAGCTAGCTGCTGAACATGACGGCGCGAAGAGATGGGGCTACAGATCTGTACAAGCGGGATCTATTAGAGCAAAGGCCCAGTCCGACCGATTGGAAACACCGAAGGCGGATAGCGGTACGGGATCAGCGGAATGGAATAAGCTTCCAAAGCAGGATGAAGCGAGTCTCAAGTCACTGGAGAAGAAGGGCATACCGGAAGACTTGGACTGGTTCATTGCCGAGGGTCTCACGGAGTATTCCTCAATAGGCGACGCGGATGCAACTGCACAAGTCCACCCATACCAGTTTACAACCTCCATGGCAGAGCTGGCACAGGAGAAAGGTGCCGAAGTCAAAGTTGGCGCGCACGTTGACTCGATCGATTATACAGGCGGGCATGTAAAGAGCGTCACATACATGGACAGGCAAACAAAACAGATTCATACTATCCCGGCAACAGATATAGTCGTTTCCGCAGGACCGTGGAGCAGCCACGTATTCCCTGACATTGCGGTCGATGCATTAAGAGCACACTCTGTCACAATCAATGCACATGTAACTCCTTACGTCCTCTTCACCGACATTGAGCTGCCGAAAGATTTTGGAGCGCAGGATGGCAAGAAGCGCAAGCATGGGAGAAGAGTTAATCCGGAGGTATATGCTCGCCCGAATGGCGAGGTATATGTATGCGGTATGTACATAGCAAATCCTCCTCGAGTTGTACGAAGGCAAGGCGGTATCCGTGAGTGGCAGCCGCTGACTACCTTGCAGGAGAAGGCGATGAGCTTATTCCCCTCCCCTCCACAGCCGACCTCGTGCAGTGTGATCCCTCCCGCTGCCAAGATGTCGTCGACTACGTCTCCTCCATCAGTGATGAGCTACGCACAGGCGAGGTCACTGCCAAACAAGCGTGCTACCTCCCTTCTATACCTGGTAGTAGTAGTCCGGTAATTGGTGGAACAGGGATCAAGGGGATGGTGGTGGCGACGGGGCACTCGTGCTGGGGCATCCAGAATTCGTGTGCGACTGGTAAACTAGTGAGTGAATTCGTATTTGAGGGAGAGGCGAAGAGTGCACAGGTTGGCGCGATGGACCCGAAAATTTATATGTGAGATGGGGGTTTGACAACGAAAGGTCATTACTATATAATTTATGACTAAAATGTCCGCAACATGATTGTTCAAGGTTGGAGGTTGGTCAAGTTAGAAGTCCGGTTGAAATATAAGCTGGAGCAGATAGGAGAACATATTAATAACTAGTAAAGGTATGAGAGATGCGAGGGACCTATTGAATTGTACTGAGGCACGTTTAATGACATATTATCAGTCATTTTATTAATGGAGGGGGAGCATATTCTATGGCACTCAATTTTACGCCAGCTTATTCACCTCCCAGAACTTAACATGCCTAATGGTGCAAGATCGAGACCTGCACCTTAAGAAGTATATGAACTGCTACTAGAGGTCAAGAATTTCACTATTACTAATAATTAGACAGTTGTATTACAAGTATTAGACTCCATTTTTATAGTCTTGACACAGGTCTTATTAATATCATCACATGATTAGATTATGGTTTTGATTGATTCATGTCAATATTAAAAGATTAGATAAGATCACAATACCAAAACAACTCCACACTGAACTGCCTCATTACTCCTTCCTCATGTATCGAGTACAATCTTGAAGACTCCACTGTTAAGCGTTCCTAGGCAAGGTATAGTATAGCGCTTCCTCACCGTATAATTGAGTAGAGCCACAGAATATAAGGTACTTAAGTGCTGGCCAACATGTGACTGAAGGCATCGGCCATAGCAAACTACTGCACCTATTCACCGGGCCAAGGCTGCTATGTGGACTTCTATCTGGGCATGTAACGTTGCTCGACTACGCGGTCTAAGCACCTCCCCCCTCCGTTATCAGAACACCGGGCCGTCTATCAGGCTGTCAATACATAGAAAGCACGCGAAGATCCTCATGATATCCTATCTATGTGGGCTCATGCAGCGCGGATTATCCCAAGAGATCTACCGGGCTCCGACGAAAACGCGATTGTGACAGCTGAAGTGTCTATCAGCGACGAGGTTTGGTGGCGCGGAGTGAAAGGTGGGGGAACTAGAGGGAGATCAGGAACGCCCATCGAGGAATGAGCATAGTGGGCGACAATCGACTGACTCTGGACTGATGACAGGCACGGCACGGGAGCCTCTCGAAGTCAGGCGGATTGTGATCGAGGTCGCAAGGCTGAAGTGAAACAGATCCACTACGATGTGATGCCATGTGAAGATGGTGCCCTGAAACGATGTAAGATTGCTGTCGCTTGGAGCTATAGAGACAATACCACGGAACGGTTTAATGATAAAAAGGAATGGGCCGAGGAAGAACCTTGAACGACCTCTCCAAGTTTAGTGGGTGCACTAATTCCGGAGGCTCTGTTGGGCGACGTACAGTATTCTTCTTTGTTGACGTTTTGGAAGCATTGGGCTGATGAGAACCCCATAGGGAATGAAGCCCCCCCCGGCCGGCGGCTGGTAGATGAGAACAGATGCAATATTGACGATAATTTTGCTTTGCATACGACAATTGTCGAAGCAACGACAACAAGAAGTATTCGGCAATAGCATGATTGCATTCCATCGTGGGCCGAGGCGTGCATTCTTTCGAATATTTTCCCCATTCTCGATGGCTTAGGTTGTCAAAAATGATATAGTTGTCTGCAATACGTCGACGGCCTTCAACGAAATCCGACACTGTCTCATGGCTGCTCTTCAGAGGTGGGAGACGACATCAACAAGGGCATGAATTGCGAGGCTCCGCGAGATCGCTCTGTCTCCGCGTATGGGTTGAATTGCTTTGACATTGGACGAAATCATTTGGCCATGGTGAGAATAGCTAGTTGAGTGACTCCATTCACAAGCCGGGAAATAAGATAGAACTCAAGTGCAAAGAGTTAGCCAGATTCGAAGATCACAGAGAGAATCATATTCATTCAAAACTGGCAATTTCGCTGATGGAGGAGCCACTGACACGTTTGTCATTGGCTTAACCTGTGCTGGGTGGACTACCCCTATCCTCGATATCAGGGCCCAGAGAAGAAAATGGGATTTAAGCAGCAGGACCCAGAGGCTGTTACCATACAAAGACATGGTTCATTTCAACTCGAGATTGGAAGGTAGCTTGATTATATTTTCTTCTTAGGCTGCATCATCTCGGGTTCTGGCAATGATATGAGGCCTCTTGCGAAGTTCAGGCATGGGGTTTCCACTACAAACTACAGAAATGCCATGAAACTAACGAAACAGGGGCTAAAAGCGAGGCTTGCTGGAACAAGACAAACTCCGTGATAATATCTCCATCATTCCGTGAGAGGCATCGGTCTGACACCCGTGTATAGAGTTGTCACTATTCGTTTTTGACATGTGTCGACTTCAAATGGCAGGTAGAAGACCACGTTTAAACCATGCAATATGTGACTCGTTGCCTACATAACAATATGGGTAACCCACTGACCACCTCCACCTGTTCATGAAAACCTTCTAGGGGTGGTTCTCTTAAGAGAATAATGCATAGGTATCGTGAACAAGAGTCAATGCTTGGAGCAAAACGCAGGTCCACGGAAACCTACACGTAATACGTCAATCATCATCCCTACACTCCAACTGGAGCCGCAGCAATATTGGGCCGTACTGCGAGTCCCGTGCCCCTTCTCAACACGATGATGCCCTATACAAACATGACACCAGCACCGACCTGGCGAAGTGATTCCACACTGCAGCATCTGGCGAGCTGCAATCAATCAATATGGTGGCAAATTACCCCGCCCCCTAACCCACATCTCCTTGTCGCAGACGTGTTTGCAAAATCTGTCTTCCCCACGTTCAGCTTCCCCAGACCCACTGCGTGAGACCCTCAACCGTTTTTTTAACTCCTCGTCCGCTACTGCATGTAGCCATCCTTCATCCCCCAGACCGCCGGCCTGTCCACCCAAATAGTGCGGGGAAGTGTACAGTACGTGGCTATACACACGACAAATAAGTATTCAGATGTGAGGCTTGGTACCTGAGCTTACCCTCTGTACTTCCAGAGGCGCGAGGGAAATACAAGTAAAAATCCCAAGGAAAATTCTGTGATGAACGGCTAGCTTCGGCAGCCGCGTAGCCCCCTAAGTACCGTTGAGTGTGCTGTTGAAAGAC